CAAATCCGGTGGATCATGCGGGGGAGGAGGCAGGGATCAAGCTCTCGTTTTAGACGGTTTTTTTATGAAGGCAAATCGGGGGTGTCACGGATGGGGTAGCCGGGTAGCCTGGCTCGCTGGGGTTGCAGAACGGTTAGAAAAGGCTTCAGAGTGATAGGTCATGTCTTGTCCGATCAAGATTGTTCTAGACTGCTCGATGGGCCAGTCTCCTTAGCCTCAATCATGCCAACCCTTACGAGTTCAGTTCGAAAGGACAGGACACACACCCGCTCATTTAACGTGGCTGGGTTGCACAAGTTCGCCGTCCATCTGACTTATCATTAGCCAGGAAGAGAAATGGGATTCAGAGAGGTGTTCGTCTGCTCCCAACGGCTAGGTAGTCTTCCCCCCTTCCTTGGGCGTCCAGCTTCCCCTCTGCCACGCATGCGAAGAATCAGGGTCCTGAGCCAACCCGTTTTTGACGCACCGTAGCATTCGCGGCCTTACCGTTTCTGAGATGGTGGTATTCCAAACGCACTGTTTTGGGTGTTTCTCTGTTACTCCCTGTCTTGTGGAAGCCGGAAACCGTCTGTGTCGTCCACCTCTTCCACAGTATTACTCCGTGGCCGCTGTGATTGAACCCGGCGCAAAGCACTTACCCACCCCCCCGCGACCTCGGGCTGAGAAGGACGCGACAAAGAAGTTAATGATTATTTTCCTGTGAGTTCAAGCGACCCGCTCTTGACGATCACTGGGCGCACTCAAGACGTGTTGCTCTGCTCATTTGTTATCTCCAAATCGCACGAGAGCTGCGATAGCGTGACTCAAGCGGGCAAGACACTCCGAAGCGTCAGCTTTGGCGCGCCAAACATCCCACTCCCGCCGACTCCCTTGCCAGCGCACGATCCGTAACGCCAAGTGCGGCGGGCCAACGACAAGGTTGAGCCTTTCAATGCGAGTCGGGTGTCGCTGACAACCACATGAGAACGACAAGGTAAGTGTGTTCACGAAGACGACATGGAAGGTTTCCATCCTTCCTCGTCACGGGGTGATGGGACCCCCTGAAGGCTTGCCATTGTGTTTTGGCTCGTTTCGACAATATCCCGACTTGGTGGAAACCAACACACCGACGGATCGACTCCTATCATGGTAATCCGCTTGTGTGTGGTTGTCGACCTTTCGGACGAATCCCCAGCGGCCATTTGGCCAGACTCTCACCGAAAATTGCATAGTAGACTCTAGTATCGCAACAGTCGGGAATTGGATGAACAGGACCCTGTCTGGAGGGATTGTGGTTATCGCAACTTACCATACTGCAAGCATACAGAACCCTGACCGAGACGGACTGGTTTGCGCGTCGGGACTCTCGACTGCACGTTGGATCACACCTATTGCCCAACGACTACGGTGAAGTAAATAGTGCAAACAGTCCTAAGTCACATCATGTGATGATGGGGGGCGATGCAGGAGGGTGTTGATGTCCAACGACGCAGCGTGGCCGCAAACCGGTTGATGCCCAACAGTGGATGGAACGTGAGATTCATCTTCCTTTCAACTTTCGAAACGTTATCTCTCTTGCGATAATCCATCAAGAGCATCAGACAGATCACGATCATGATGACCCTGATAAGGCCAAACACCGAAGGTTATGGTGGCGGGGGATGGCACCGGCCCAGAGGCCGAGTTCGGAGCAGAGCGCACGAAGCACCCTCTCGCCGGCTGGTATGAGCCGGCCTCGCTCGTCTAACCCTGGGGGGTTGTTATTGCAAAGCAATGGTAGATGTGCAAGCTGTTTGCGCCCGCTATCTACCTCTGGTCGCAAAGGTGACCATATCATGACCGAATCAAGCGCAAGTGAGTCTATGTGGCGATAAGCATTTGCGAACGTGGTGTTGATGGATCAATATCATAGTGGTGTGAGTGTGTGTGTTTGAGCTCCTTTGGGGCCACGCGCATCGGCCAACACGGACGGCATCGGCTTCAAGAAACCGATCAGGTGATCGCCAACTTGGACTCCCCGGGCCACATCTACGTTGCTGCTATCTATAGTAAGCTCCATGTCTGTTCTCCAGGTTCTCCACACCAGCGATGGTGCTAAACTGAATCGGGGTATCGCAGACGGGCATGGGTGACTTATAAACCGTCTTGCAACTGTACACGATGCCATCATGTCGAGGGTTCTCGCCAGAAGGGTTCTTTCTTATCCGGTACATCATTATTATTACATCCCTTTTCCTTTGTCACCAGACAAGAAGGTCTCTCTCACATTACGCTCACACACATCATGGATCCTTCACAGCGCGTCGTCATCATCGGGGCCGGCATAGTCGGTACCAACATCGCTGATGAGCTGGTCTCGCGGGGGTGGACCAACATCACCGTGGTTGAACAGGGGCCGCTGGCCATGCCGGGTGGCTCAACATCTCACGCCCCCGGTCTCGTATTTCAGACCACTGGTTCCAAGACCATGAGCTCCTTTGCAAAATACACGGTACAAAAGCTGCTCTCAATAAAATGCTTCAATCAGGTTGGCGGCCTCGAGGTGGCAGAAACACCAGAGAGGCTCGAGGAGCTCAAGAGGAAACATGGCTATGCCTCCTCTTGGGGTATCGAGGCGCACCTGCTCACCGCCGACGAGGTCAAGAAGATCTACCCCCTTATCAGCACAGACGTGGTCCTTGGCGGCCTGCACATCCCGACCGATGGCCTGGCATTGGCCGCCCGCGCAGTTCAAGTGCTTATCGAGCGCACCCGAAAAGCCGGTGTCCGTTATCTTGAGCACACCCCGGTCACGGGCATCGCGCGGAGCCAGGGCCGAGTCACGGGCGTCGAGACGAAGAACGGTACTATTCCCGCGGATCTCGTCCTCGCATGTGCCGGCTTGTGGGGTGTAGAGGTCGGTGCCATGATCGGCTTGCCGATTCCACTGCTGCCTGTCGGCCATCAGTACGCAAAGACGACCCCCGTGCCAGCGCAGAAGGGCAAGAAGCTTGAGGTGAACGGCGCTCAACTGCCCATCCTTCGCCACCAGGATCGCGATCTTTACTACCGCGAACATGGTGAACAGTATGGCATTGGTTTCTACGGTCACCGTCCCCTTCCAGTGGTCGCTGCCTCGCTCGGCGAGACATCCGAGCATGTCGATGAGCATAACATGCCGTCGCGCCTAGACTTCACCCCCGATGATTTCAAGCCGGCATGGGAACTCACCAAGAAGCTCCTTCCTGCCCTTGCCGAGAGCGAGATTGAGTACGGCTTCAACGGCATCATGTCTTTCACCCCGGACGGTGGTCCTCTCGTCGGCAGAGCACCAAATCTGGAAGGATTCTTCGTTGCAGAAGCTGTCTGGGTGACACATTCCGCCGGCGTCGCTCGCGCGGTAGCCCAGCTTCTCACCACCGGGAAGTCCGAGGTTGATCTGGGGGAGTGCGACATATCACGCTTTGAACAGATTCAACTCGCGCCTGAGTATGTCAAGGAGGTCTCTACACAGAACTTTGTCGAGGTCTACGACATCTTGCACCCTCTTCAGCCGCGGGAATCACCGCGCAACCTCCGCGTTAGCCCGTTCCACTCCCGCCAAAAGGACCTTGGTGCTTACTTCCTTGAGACGGGAGGATGGGAGCGCCCGCAGTGGTTTGAGGCGAACGCGGGACTTGTTAGCCAATTGCCTGAGAAGTGGAAGCCTAACAAGCGCGATCCTTGGTCGGCAAGGTACTACTCCGACATTGCTGCCGCGGAAGCCTGGAAGACGCGGACGGCAGCGGCAATGTACGACCTCACGCCGATCCGCCGCTTAGAAGTTTCTGGACCCGGATCAGCCAAGCTTCTCCAGCGGCTGACCACGAGCAATGTCGACACGAAGCCGGGCAATGTCACATTTACACTTCTTCTTGACAATGACGGCGGTGTACTTAGCGACATCTTCGTAGCCAGACTTCGCGACGACCTATTCCAGCTTGCCGTCAACGGCCCCACCGATCTCGCGTACTTGGAACGGGAGGCTCGTATCCAGGTCAAGGCATCACCGGCACAGTTTGTCCAGGTCCGCGAGACCACTGGAGGTACCAGTGGTATTGGTCTGTGGGGACCCCGGGCCGCCGACATTGTCGCTGGTATCAGCTCGGACAACCTCAAAGACATGCCTCAATCGCAAGTCAAGACAGCCATCATCGCTGGTCTCCCAGTCACTGTCGTGAGCCTGTCGTTTGTTGGTGAAACTGGCTGGGAAATTTACACCAGTGCAGAGAATGGTCTGCGTCTGTGGGATACTCTCTGGAAGGCGGGTCAGCCGCATGGAGTTATCGCCGCAGGTCGCAGCGCTTTCAGTGCCCTGCGCCTGGAGACGGGATTCAGGACTTACGGCGCCGATGTGACTACCGAGCACAACCCCTTCGAGGCCGGTCTTGACTTTGCCGTTGATTCCAGCAAAGAAGGCTACGTCGGTCATGCCGCCATCAAACGCCTCGCAAACACCAATGTCACCAAGCGACTCCGCTGTCTTACAATCAATGACGGGAGCTCCGTTGTTCTCGGAAAAGAGCCTGTGTTCCTCGATGGCAAAGCCGTCGGTTATGTCACGAATGCTGCCTTTGGCTACACCATCGGGAAGCCTACTGCCTATACATATCTACCTAATAGTGTGAAAGAGGGCGATGTTGTGGAGATTGAGTATTTTGGAAGGAGAATTGAGGCAACCGTGACGGCGGAACCATTGCGTAAGGCGCAAGTGAGTGAGAAGACGGCTACTTCATCACCAAAGAGGGTTGCTATCAAGTCTAAGTTGTAATTAGGTGGTTGGTCTGGCGTCTGGGTCGTTTCACGGGTAATTTCTTGCATGATAACGAGGCAAATGAGCTTTTAATGATGAGTTTTTGCGCGTCTTATGCAATCGACCTTACATGAGAAGCTCCCGGAGTTGAGAAATATCTATCTAAGCAGAGGGAATGCCATCAAGGAAAAGACAGCCGTCACTTGAACCTAACGCGGATATTGTGGCTGCCTTGTTTCCTACCATCAATTTAGACGGCAAACTCCATAGATGACCCCGATGAAATCATCTCTACCTCATAAGTCATCTTCTTAGCCGTTGTCCCATCGATGGTTGTGATGTTAGGTAGCTTCCAAAACTGAACGTCGAGCTTGTAATCAATGTAGCAAGAGTTGATCTGATATGTGCGCCAATCTGGCAATTCCGTCGCATCGCATTCGCAGATTCCAACGGAAAAGCTGCTTACATCTTCCCTGTAAGTCGTAATAGGCACGAGAATCGTACTGGGTTCTTCTGGGAAACACTTTTACCCCAGGAACAAGTTTAAGCAATTAAGGTAGCTTTGGTGTTCCGCCAGGATGATACATGAGGGTAAACTCACTCTTCTCAGGTACCAATGCATTTGATTCTTAGCCCTCCAAACCCCCAGGTAGACATCAAGCTCCTTGTCTTCTTGAAGGTGCTTATTCCGATCGAATTTCGCGCGGTAAGTAACACTGTAAAGGTAGTCAAGCAGTACGCTCATCGCCCAATGATATCTCAGGGCCATCTTGCTTGATTGTACCTGCGCTGAAAGACAACCCGCTGCCAATGATTCCAGGAAATAAAGCTAGCTTATTTGAATGAGCCATGGGATAAAACTCCCTCATAACCCATTGGCTACCTTTTCCGTGGCTCATCAACCACCAGCTAATACCCCTCTTAAAGCTACATGGACAAGGTCATGCCTACTCTCCTGCTTTTTCAACATTCCCAAATTCGTACATAAGTCAATGGGGACCTACGCATCTCCTCCCAGCCTTCCAATCATGGCAGAAAAAGACTCGACTGCTAACAGTTCATCTGGCCGACCGCAAGCTCGCCAGACATGGCCACAGGAGGGTGAGCGATCGACTTTCGGGAGCGAGCTTCCCCGCCATGAAAGATTGAAGTACCAGGATTCCTTCGATGCAGTGACAGCCAGAATTCCTTGGTTAAAGTGTGGGAGTCGAAAATCATCAAGAATAACGTTAGTAGATAATAAGTACGTTTCCTACTTTTATGTTGCGATGAAACGACGAAAGAACCCTTGACCATCAAGTGGAAAGATTTCGCTAGCCAATTATACATCTTCTTACAGTCCACCATTGATACTGATTACGTTCTTCAGACTGAATCCTCCGCTTACCTTGACCTTGCTAGCGCGGATCACACATGAGATCAAACGAAATGTACGAAAATACGGGAACAGGAAAGAATGGACAATGTATTGAATGAAAATGGAGACACACTAGGGTCTCTGACAGCCGAGCTGGAGCAGAAAGTTGCCGATCTCGCTGAGATGCGCAAGCGCTGGAAGCAGACAGCTAAGGAGCTCAGTAAACTCAAGACGTCACAAACAGGGGACTTCATCAAGTGACCGATCGGCATGTTCTGGACTCGCTGTAAAACAACATTCGAAACCTTGCCATCCAATATTTTGAGGGTAAGATAGGAACTCGGGACTCAACACACGACGAACTCAGGGGTTTTAAGTTCTTTGAGTACTTAGAGTGTGTTGCCCCTGATGCAACAACACGGAATGCTCTACTGAAATCCAGGAACAAACGATCAATGCGAAACAAGAACCCGAAGTGGACGGGTTCATTGGAAGGATGGTGAAAAATACAGCATCCTGGATAGTAGCCGCAGTTGCTTCCCTGGTCGACGTTGACGATGATGGGCTGGATCTAGAGATTGAAAGGATTTTGCACGAGGCCCTAGCTCTTGATAAGGAAGTTTGTAGACAAGTTGCACGAGTGGTTTGGATAACTTGCGCGACACCGACGAGCTATGATCCCGAGACAATGGAATGGGAAGGAGATGATGAAGCTGGGAAACGAGCTCAAACAGTCAGGCTTGTTGTCGCTCCAGCTCTAAGAAAGCGAGAGAAGTTGTCTGGGGAGGACTTTGATGTTGATCGATTATTGCTCTCGATGATAGTTTCGTGTTTCAATCCTGGGGACTGAGGAAACACGATTCACCCAATGCCTTTGCGAGGACTTACACAAGGCGGGGTATAAACTAAGTGAATAGCAACGATTTTAGAGCTCTAAGGTATCGGCAAGAAATCGAGACTGGTGTAAACGGTAACCAATTTTAAAGGGGTGAAATAGTGTACCAATCAACACATCCCTACTTTGGTAACCCAATCGCTACACTCAGACATGGACTGTTTCAATTATCACGGACTTGGTAGTTGCTACTTAGTCATTTAATTATCATCCCGCTAAAGCTTGACGACCAACTTCTTTCCAGATACCTTCCCCTTGCGCAATTGGTCCAATTCCTCAAGCAAGACATCAATACCGCCATTGATCTCTTTGAGAGGAGGAGGTCGTAAAATCTCAAGGAGGCGTGGAAGTATCGAGTAGAACCGCGCGAGCGCCTGTCGATGTTCCAAATCCACTGGGAACTTTGGTCCGATTGGGGGCAGCCAGGCAAACTCTTTGCCAAATACGGTGTAGAGCATGATCATGTCATACTTAACACCTAAACCTTTGACTCTCCTTGATCAAGCAGCGTGACGACCTTGCCACCCTTGGCTTGAAGTACTTTAGCTGTTAGAGCACCAGTGCCCTTTTCTGAGATACATTCCAGGGCCAGACTAATGTCTGGAAAGGCTGTTGTAACATCCTGTACCCAATTCTCCGATCTGTAGTCAAAGACGTGGTCGGCCCCATAGCTCTTGACAAGATCATTAGAGTGTGGAGACGCTGTTGTGACCACGGTGCAACCAGCTAACTTGGCGAGCTGGATGGCAAAGAGACCGACGCTAGTGGAGCCTGCGTAGATGAAGACGGTTCGTCGCCGTGTTGATGCTTCGGGATTTTGCTTAGGCTCATCGGGCCACGGAAGCCCAAGGTGGACATTCATGGCCAGTATGGCGGTGACGGCCGAGACACCGTAGGTTGCTGTAGCCTCATCTGAAATACCGGGAGGAACCTTCCACGCCAGGTCTGCCTCAGCCTTGAGGTATTCTGCGAAAGCACCTCTGTCGTGGTGCAGGCCGCCGTGGACAACACCCGCTACACGATCTCCCACCTTCCATGACTCTACCACGGAATTGCCAACTTCAATCACCTCTCCTGCGTAGTCGCAGCCCACAATGCAGTTCTTTGGTGAGATGACGTCAATGTGCTTGTAGTCGCTCGGGTTTAGAGCCACAGAGTGCACCTTGACCAGAATCTCCTGGCCGGTGATCACCGGTTTGGGTAAGTCGATCACATGGGCCCCCTTGAAAACGGACTTTCCTGAGGTGAGATTGAAAATTCGCGCGGGAGTGCTGCGGTTTGATACCAAAGCCTTCATTTTGAGAAGACGAGTAAGTCTCAGGGGCACTGGAGGTAGTGTATGAGAATTGGGCCTTGTTGGTCTCTGGTGTTTGACTCGAAATATTCAATGATCGGGAAGCGCTTGAGATTGAGGTGTGATGGGAAAGAGCCCTTGGAAAGGAGACAAAGATGACTTGGTAGATGAGACGGCAACCAAGAGCCACGGGGTTTTAAATATTTGAGGAAATAAGCACCACAGGCAGGGCTTCTGAACAAAGAAATCTTGGTTTGTAAGGTCCATCCACATTCTGTTAGTTTCTTCGTGACATCAAACTGCGATGTGTGGAATGCTCTCGGACAAATTGAACACCGTTCCTTGGACGCTTAAGTTCAGAGGCTTAGACTATTATAGACTCCGGCATTTGTATAGTGTAATCTTTTCCGTTGGGGCTGTCACATTCCTAGAAGGGAGGCTCTGGAAAAATGGATTCGCCGATTCGGAAGACGAGGCTAACATTCAAAGACTAATTGTTCACTAATCAGCCCTTCCAGGTGGCTGTCTCGCCATTTGCGCCCGGCCTAATCCGTTATCAGCATACCGGCGGACACTAGATGAACCGACTCTGGACAGTTGCAAGCATTCTCGTTTTCGGCCATCATTCTTCGTGGAATGGCACCTTTCCAGACTGTGGCTGAATCTTTGGGGATTAGGTATGATAGGAGGGTGGATTTGTCAGTAAAGGTTACATGTAGTTTCAAATTAGTATTGAAGACTCCATTAATGCTTACTCTGCATGTGTTTGATGCCTTGCTACGTGTCTCAAAGCTCCGTGAAAGCTTTTGTGTGAGTCGAGCTGTTCATGTTCAATAGTCCGGCTGAAAGAGATAAATACATTGGGTCCGATCCCGCAGCTCCTCAAGATTTTAGATATCTAAATCATCATCATTTTCTTCGACATATTCGCCGCATTCTTCATACCTTTAGCAAACTTCAAACCTACGCCATGTCTTTGAAGAAAGTCACTCTCGTTGGTGTAAGTTCCTACAAAGATTTCGCTTGTAGGCCGAGTTCACTAATGATTGAGATGGTTGCAGGCCAGTGGCAACGTTGGCACAGCCGTTTTGCCCGAGTTGCTCAAGTCTGACCTCGATTTGACTATTCTCAGCCGCGAGGGATCTTCCGCAATCTTCCCCCCGGGAGCCAATGTTATTAAAACCGACTACAGTGAAGATTTCCCAGTGAAGATTCTTGCAGGCCAAGATGCGGTTGTCAGCATGCTCCCGATCATGGCTCTCGGAGAGCAGCAGAAGATTGTTGAGGCTGCCGTTAAGGCAGGCGTCAAGAGATTCATTCCCAGCGAATATGGATCCGACTCTGCGGTATGGGCTTCTTCTGTGTAGACGAGGTAGCAACAGATGCACATTCTCTAACTAACATCAATACCAGTCTGAGGAGGTTATTGCAGCCGTCCCGTTTTTTTCAGCCAAAAAATGCCCATCTTGGCTGGCTCGCAGACGAGGATTTGATCAGCTGGACTGCCGTCATTACTGGGCCTTTCTTTGATTGGGTAAGTGCTCTTGATTGCATGTACTGTTTTCAGCAACTCGTCAGAGTGTATGATTGCTGACCTTCTCGAACTGCTACAGGGCTTGAAGCTTGGAATGACAGGCTTCGACTTTGTTACCAAGACTGCGACTCTAGTTGATGGCGGTAATACTCGCTTCACAACAAGTAACACGGCACAAATTGGGCGGGCCATCGTTGCAGTTCTCAAACATCCCAACGAGACCAAGAATCAGCTTGTTTTCACGGAGTCATTCACAACGACTCAACTCGAAGTCTTGGCCTCTCTTGAGAAGTTGACCGGGGAGAAGTGGAAACGAGTTGAAGTTAGTTCGCAAGCAACCAGGGAGGATGGATTTGCGAAGCTTGGAAAGGGGCAGATCTTGGAAGGTGGGGCCGCTGTGATTATGGCATTGGTGCTTGGGGAAGGCGGGCTTGAAGATCATACACACGTCAAGGGAGGTATTTGGAATGATCGCCTAGCTTTGAAGATTGAGAGCATTGATGAGACTCTTCAGGCAGTACTCAGTCTGTGATTGTGGTTCGAGAAAGCTTACCGTTGCTTCGCAGCCCGCGTCGTTTCAGACTCTTGCCTGTTTTGGAGAATTCTATTCCAAAGTACCTCGGTCTATTAAACCTTGAAGAATTGGAATTATCAACTTCGAGTTTTATCTCTCAACTGATGCTTGGCTAGGTAGCCTAGTGACAATGGCTTTGCTGAGTCGATACAATTCTGTTAAAGAAAAGACGGTATCTACAATTGATAATCTCATTCACTCTGCCAATTTATCCATCAACATTAATTCTGGTGCAAAATTTCTTCCCAACTTTTACATTTTTTGCACTTAACCCTGAATCAACCTCAGAGATAGTCTACGTAAGAAACTTCAAAACGTTCAAACTCATTTAAAGTGGACTTCCACAACAGAGTCAGACGATAATTAATCAATCAAACCGGTGTCAGCATGCAACACAACTTTCAGCGATCCCTCACTGAGCGAGGCCTTGATATCACACAATCCTCGTACTCTAAGTACTTACCTTGTAGCTAAGGCAGTATTCAAATCATAAATCCAGTTCGTACAGAGGGCTCGAGCCTTTCGTCTTCTCACAGAATGCAACCTCAACGTACCTGACCGATAATCCCAGTATGAACTCGTGTTTTATGACCCACGATTTACCGCACCAACTTCATGCAGTACGTCATCTAACACTAATCACTTATTCGTTCCAATGACGAGATCACGTAACAATGCTTAAATCAACATACAACCTTGGTTCTTAAACACAATTAGCCTTGAAGCTGAGATACGTCAATTGATTGCAGGCCGACCCAGCAACTCAGACCAGTCCTCCCCCTTGATGTAATCACCGATCGTAGTCAGGTCTCCCTTGATGTCAAGCTAAAGAGTTCAAATCGTAAGCCTCGTTTTGTGGAAGTCTTGAACAGCTTGCACCTACTTGCTCCTGATAAATAACCGATGGGTCATTGCCCCAGTAGCCAAACTCCAAAGCGTATGCATGCATCTCCCCAATTTCAAGACCATAGCCTCCTGGGGCAAGCTTATCCATTACATCCATAGTAATGGATTCAAATACTGCCGGAACCCCAGTCGTCTTACTCCACAAGCTCACATAGTCTGGCCAAGTCAGGAACTCGGAGCAAGCCAGCAAGTGTGTGCCTGGAGAACCCTGAGCTAGGGCCTTGACATATTTCCCTGTTTCCTCAACAAGAACATGTGGAATCGGATACCTGAGTTCTCCTGGCATACGTAGGACCATGGTACCATCTCCCCGCTAGAAGCAGGTCGTTTTTTGTCAGCTAAGGAGGACACGATTTTAGAACGCACACACCTTCGCCCATGGAATGTTGACGGGACCAAATCTCCAATTCGTCATAAAGAGCCCTAGCTGAAGCAATGACGTCTTGTTGTATAAATCAGGAAAATAATCCCGTACATGATCGACCACGGCGGCCTTCGAGTCAAAATGGAAGACGTTCTGGAATTTCCCTCCTGACCATTTTCGAGTTGCTGATAGTGTTGACCATACGAACAGCTGAAGTGAGTCTAGCTCGGCGACGGCCTGCACCAAGTTCTTTCCTTGCTGAACCTTGAGTTCATAAGCCCATTCAAGGAGAGACTGTCCTGGTTTTAGTTGCGGATTCGAGGTCAGTGCCAGAACAAAGGAAAACACGGTGTTTCCGAACACAACATTTGCACCTTGAAGAGCAGCTTTCAGAGAATCGGCTTTGTCCAAGTCGCCTTCAACGATTTCGACACCCTTAGCAGCCAGTGCCAAGCTAGCTGGCTTGGTTGCATCTCAAGTGATACCAAGCACCCTCCATCCAGCTTCCTGAAGAAAGTTTTCTGCGACAGAACGTCCCTTTATAATCGTAGGATGGTCAGAATTCACTTGTAGAAATAGTAGAAGATTGCGAGTTGCCCACCTGGGTGCTGGTCACGCCACACACCACTATCAGTTTTGACATCTTCGAAAAACTGTACCTTCAGTGGTAATGAAACTCGAAATAACGGAGAGACTATGTTTTCTTTCAAACCAAACGATGCAGAACTGCGATACTAAACTTGGATAAATCTTTCCGAACCCCCTTTGCATTGCCAACCGGTTTTGAACATGTTGCGTTGCTTCAACCGGATGAACACTACACCCCGCCACTCGACTAAAACAATTTCCTCATCCCACCGGCGCTGAATTGAGCCGAATTTGGGTAGAATTCTAATTTGTAGATTTGTCAGATTGTCGGGTACTTGAGATGTCCCGACAAAGTTTGGCAATTAAAGATTGGTGATCTCCACCGGAGTGCGGACGCTAGGGCCTTCTCTAAGTACTCCGTATTAGCATTCCAAACTTTAACGTCCTTTTGCTCGATACGTGTACGCCTTTTCTTTCCGAGGTAGTCGAACCAAAGTCCAAGATTCTAGTCAAACCCTCTACAAGTAAAATCTTATAGTAGATAGTCAGACTGAGGTTTATTTAGTCTGAAAGCGTGACTTTCCCGATAAGCACATAATGACGTATCATACACACACCTGCCTGCGTTGATGGGTGAATGATGGCCACCTGCTACTCTATTGATTCTGTCTGTACCCCGCTGCCTGCAAGCCTCCGTGCAAACGACGCGATGCAAACAGCAGTACATTTCATCAAAATCGCAGCTTGAATAATCATATCGGATGTTTTACGCCATAGGGCAGAAAAGCCAGTGGTTCTTCTACCTTCCTGAAAGTGCATGTGTGTATCTCGGAATACATTGAAATGTTTGGAAAGGGACGCGTGAAAACGAATTCTAACACATCAAACTTCTTGCAGATCGGTCAAATACTGAAAAGAGTTATATCCGTTTGGACTTAAGTCAAACAGCCACTGACTCTCTTCTCTGACCTTCGGTACCTGTGAAACAGCGCTATCCATGATCTTGGTTAAAGGCAAGTCAATTTTAGTGTAACAAACAGCGAAGAACTAAATTTGCAAAATCCCTTTTAATCATCTGATGCATACATAGGAAGATGGTTGGAGCAGATTACAGAGAGGTGTGGTTGAGTTACGAGAGTTGATGCTCGGGACTGTCTATACGCGAAAGCTATTCAACCCAGCTACGCTAATCTTCGTTTTAAAGTCGCCCAATCCTGCCGGTCGATAAGAACGATAGTGCAAAGGCTCTGTACTATTACGCCAGTAATCTATGAATGATTGTATTCCAGAGACAGGGGGGTATGTGGAGCAAAATGGCATGATCCGTTACATTCACCAACCAACAGGACGGGTCTTTATCCGTCCGCGGTCAAGCAAACACCCAAGTGGGTGTTTTCGGCATGACCCCTGAGTTCTCTCTTTCTTTCAGAGAATCTGAAATCTGAATTTAGCGAACCCCGCACTTCACAAGTTCAGATCACACTCAACACCAGATTACCAGAACGAAATTTGATACTCAACCATCATGGGAAAGAACTTTGAGACAAGCCGCATTCGTGTAGGCATCTTAGGCGCTGGGATCGCCGGCTGCTGTCTAGCTGTTGGTCTCCTTCAGAACCCACTCTTAGACGTTCAGCTGTTTGAAAAATATGCAAACATTCGAGTCCGCGGGTCTGGTCTTGCGCCACACGGCAACGCCATCAGGGCCATGGACTTGATCTCGCCCAAGATCAAGCAGGCATACTTCAATAAATCGCACTTCATGGCCAACGACGAACACACTGAGATGGCAACACAGTTCAAATTGTCTAGTGGTGAACATGCTGGAGTTGTCTTTGCTGAGCTAGGGAGGGCCAAGGGCAGACGGACCGTTCATCGCGCGCACTTCATACAAGGACTGCTTGAAGAAGATGTGGTTCCCCATCATCACGTTCACTTCAACAAGCGGGTCACTAAAATGGAGGAAGACCCCATCACACGAAAAGTCACCGTTTCATTCGAAGATGGCACTCAAGATATCTTTGATATTGTTTTCGGCGCGGAAGGTGTCAACAGCCCGACTAGGAAGTTTGTCCTCGGGCCTGATCATCCGAGCGCCTCTCCCGTCAACCACGACCAATGGCGTCAGTTCCACACCACCGTCCCCATGTCCGAAGCCAAGATGGTCGTCCCTATAGAGTCAGTCAACACAGTCATTACGTATTGCACACCTTACGGGTTCATCAACGCAATCCCGCTTGACCTTGGCCAAACGTACAGCGTGGGCTGCTATCAAAGAGACACCAAATGCCCGGAACGTGGCGCTCCGTTAAACCCCCAACTCTGGAAGGGTCTACTTCCGGGAGTCGATGCCTTGATATCTGTAAGTTGCATTGCCTCCGTTTCTCATGGCATCAAAGTCGCCTAAACAGCCATATTTTAGCTTCTAGAACAAGGCCACACAGAGAATTGGACTCTTCAAGACCATGACCATGCTCCCTCCTACTATAGAGGACGGGTAGCCATGGTCGGTGATGCCGCCCACGGAACACTTCCTCACTCTGGCAACGGCGCTGCACAAGCCATTGAGGATTGCTCAGTGCTCACTGGTATCTTCTTACGCTTGACATCCTTGAATGAGCTTGAAGCCGCTTTCAAAGCCTATGACCAAGTGCGCATTCCACGGAGTCAAAAGATTGTAGAGATTACGAGAAGCTTTGGGCGACTTTACAGCCGCGATCCTGATGAGATTGTCCTGGATGAGATGAAGGCTGAGATGAGGGAAGGTGGAATGTACATCAACGGAGTGGACATGGAGGCTCAAGTCGAGAGTGCCATCGATGCCTTTGAGAGATTCAAAGAGATTTCAAACTGACATTTGAGAAAAGAGCTTTGATTTCCAAAGTATGAGATGCTTCAACGCCGTCGAACGTTGAAGGCCATAACAATCTATGGCCACGCCCCTGACAATAAGACGAACACTTGGAAATAAGAGCTCATAATTTGATGCAAAGCCCTAGTGATTTATATGTCTCCCTAAAATACATGTGAAGCTCATAAAGTCATGCAAAGGTGTGAAATTTAAGGCTTCGATTGCGGGCCAGCAGGCTCAACTCCTCTGCATTGAGTTTTGGCTAGATGAAAGCAGGAAATAGCATCCGGATTGCATTGGTTTGCCCGGCAACGACGTTTACCCCGGCAGTCTTGAAGTGTGGCTAGAAAGATAAAGTTTGGGAAATCGATATGAGCATGATGGCGAGTGCGCTGAAGCCATGGCACGCGTCACCACAGAGGCCGAGTACGCGCTGGTGACGGATAGGTATCTACCTAGTGGAAGCTACTTATGCAGTTCAGCAAGGTGGGTAAGCTAGATGTGAGGGTCCGTATTGTGCCCTTTTTGCCCGCTATCCAATAAGTTATCGACAAATCTACATTGACGGGGACTTCAGCGGGAGGAGCATCTGATAAATTACTTAGTACCTTAAGAAGAGAAACTCTATGGGGGCAATTTGAGGCCAATAGCACGAGGCCTTAAGCAATTTTCGCCTTGGCTTTACCAGCTTGGATAGCGTATTTGGTGTACGGAGTAAGTAAATCAAGTCTCTTTCTCAAATACTTCAGCCATAGATCCGGCGCCTAGAGAATGAGCGATTTGTTTGAAAAGATGCCAGGTTGGCTTCTGGAATCGCCAAAACACTATCTCATTGGTACTAACGACAGTAAACAGGTCCAGGGTCTCATTTGATCTGTATGGGACAGCCCTTGAGTCTCCCCCAGTCCTCAATTCCCGTCAAGCTGGCTTTCAGTTCCTCCAACACGGGCGCCATATCCACTTTGAAGGGCTTCTCCTCGGCATCGTTGTACCACGTATAAGCCCTTCTCGTCTCATCCACGACGACTTCCAAGTCTTTACCGGATTGCATTTGGGACTTCAATGCCGCAGCCATCTCCTCGGAAAACTGATCAACCGTCTGGTTCTCATACCCAACCTCCCGGCCCCACGCACGGCCCAGCTTCTCGGCAAGTTGAGACAGTTTCACCGTTTCCGGCCCGCCTACGACTATATTCCGTCCGTCGAGCTCCGCCGGATCCCGTGCCAAGGCTGCGACCATCAAGAGCGCCAAGTTATCGAGAGAGATCCACGACACCTCGAGGTCTGGTTTGTGGCAATAGACTATTCGTCCTTCGTCTCTCAGGCGTGGCAAAGCCCAGCCTTCGAGTAGGTTATCAAGGAAAACGCCGGGTTGTATCGAAACGAGTGCTACGCCGCTTCCTTGGACCGCCTCCCGCAAAATTCGGCGTGTCTCCCGACGATGCTCCTGGGCCTCAATGCCGACATTCGTCTCGGGGACGGGAAAGCTCGTGTTGAACACGATGAGCTTCAGAGTCGACGACTGCGCAGCGGCCTCAGCGCCAATGGCCTTTGCAGCAGCATAGAGGAAATTTGCTGGCTGAAAGGAAGGCAAGTTCAACAAGACTGCTTCTGCTCCGGATAGAGCAGCACGGACGGCGAGCCGATCGGTGAGCTCTGCGACGCGGGTCTCGACGGGCGGGGAGGTGGTGCGGGGTTGCCGGCTCACAGCGATGGGATGGTGGTTTGCCGCTCTGAGGGCTGAGATTTGGGCGATGCCCTGTCCGCCTGTTGCGCCGAAGACAACCACGCGCATGATGTGGACTTGTTCGGTTATTGCTGAAGGATTGCTGAAGGATTCTTGGGTGCATGAGCCAGGTCCTCCGTCACCGACAGAAGCGAGTTGCGGTGGTTTAATACAACGCAGCCCTGGCTATTGGAATGTTGTCACGAATCAGCATATAGAGTAGCTCATGGAAATCGGGATCTCAACTGTGGTCTAATCAACTATGGAAAAGGGGAAAAGAGAAGCCCTCGAGGGAGCCCCTTTTGTATGCCCATACCCCTATCTAGCCCTTATCTCTACCCCTAAGATATCCACTGCTATACCTCTTTCGTGTTATACCCCCTCGGCGGCGCCTAAGGGTTATTACCGATATATATATTAACTTATCGTCGCTGTCTATTTCGTTAAGTTATCTACTTTATTAAAATAAGACTATTTTTAACTATTAATTATAGCAATTAATACCTAGTATCTGGCCTCTAGTTAGCCCTCTATCTCTATTATAAAATAATCGCCGCTTAAGAATCGCTTATGGTATACCTTTAACTAGCCTTAAGTTAAATAAGCCGTTCTTTTTATTATTTTATATCTCTTAATTAGAGGTTATATATAACTTAGTTATATTATAATCAAGCTATAATATACACATTACCGGCCTCGACCTTCTTCTACATTAACTACTCTTTTTATTTAAGTTATTTATAAAGGTCTTTTTATCTATTCTTATTAAGCTTAGCTAAAAGCTTCTCTTTATCTACCTTAAGTAAATATACGTCTTATTATTTATATTTACTTATAAGGTGTTACGGCCAGCTAGTTATAGTGAGGTATGTTTGTAGAAGTTGAGACTGCGGAACTGATAATAGTAATAGTCAGATGTAATAATCAGATGATTATTATACTTCGTTAAATAGTCTTAAGTAGGTTATATCTATATGCCGTAAGGTAGGTAAGGCTTACTAAGAGGTTAGAGATAGGTAAAAAGGGAAAAGGTAAATAAGTTGAGGTACGAGTTGTGATAATCAGAGAATTGATTGTATTAATGATTATTCTATGATATGGTGGGAAAGTGTAGTCTATATATAATATAAATAACTTATCATATGTAATCATATGTAATCATATGTAATCACATGTAATCACATGTAATCACATGTGATGCTTAAGTCCGAGCATTAAGTTTATACGGGCATATGTGCCTGTCGGCGCTTTAACATGTATATATAAAGCGTATTTACGTTCGGGCTGTACGTGCGTACAAAGCGTTGTATCTCAGTAGATACGTACCCCAGTTGAGCCTCTTATTACCATGTAACGTCTTAAGCACGTAACTCCTATGATACCTGTATTTATAAATTATAAATATATCATTAAAATTGTGGAAAATCAATGAGTTTAGATATATTTATGAAACATCCGTAACTAGCCCTTATATTCATTAAGATATTAATATTTATCTGTTATATTATAGAGTAGTTACTAGTTTTAGGGTACTAATTAAGTATAAGTTTTAGAATTTTAGTAAATATTCTAAGTGGCTTTAGTAATCAATCGTAGTCTTATTAAAGAGGTTCTTAGGAAAGATAGTTGAAAGCGATTTCGTGCATGATAAGCGAGCGGATCGGACAAGCGAGCGGATCGCTCAACAGCAACCACTCCACGTATATAAATCTTGATCAACATCAACAAAGTTAAATTAATTAAAACTACCTATAATCCTCTTCTCTAGACATTTCTCTCTAAAATGGACATGTACGCGTATTATATCTAGTATTCTCGTAGACACCACATCGCCGTTGACTTATTTCCGTCCTCGGCCGACGGCCACTACTCCGGCGCATTTCCTCCTCAATCAAAACTATAGCCTCTCTCTATGATTAAAGGTCATCTACCTCAGCTATAGTAAGGCTCCCTCCTTTCCTAAGACGAGTTTTCTTAGATCTCCGCCGTCGGCTAAGTAGATTATTCTCCTCCCAAAGGGTTTTATTCTCAGCCTCTAAAAGAGCATTACATCATAGCTAGTATCCCTTTAGAAATATAATTAACTATATTATTAACTAGTATTAGCGAGCTACTTAAATAATTCAAGTTTCGATCTTTAATCAAAGTTAACTAAGAATTCACCTCTATTCGGTTATTTAGTATCTAAGAAGTCTACGCTAGGGATGTTGCTAGGAGAGACCCTGGGGGCATTAGAGTATATAACTTCACATCCAGCTTCAAAAGCACACTTTTAACACTTAACAGAACAAGCCCAGCCCCTATCAAACCTCCCTAGATGTTTTTTACCATTAGGGCTTACGTAAAAGCGTTACAAAATATAGAGAAGAAGTCCTCCTTCGTAATATACATATTACCCCGGCGCATCTTATTCTCAATTTATCTACTATAAGCCGTCTTTAGTAGCCCAAAACACTCAACGTCTAAGAGCTAAAGTAGATAAGACGAATAGGCCGGCATGTAGAGTATAATAATATTATTTTTCTTATAATATATCTTAAAGTCCGCAGAGTAGTGACTTTCATACCTATCAACAACGAGGAGGCAATATCTACTAATTGCACGCGGTTTTATATACTAATCAAAGTACTGGAGCCAGTCTAGGCCTCTTTTATTTATTATCCATCTGTTTTCAAACGTTACAATAACCCAGTTGCGTAGGAGACCTATTTCTATATACTAGGTGGAGAGGTAATATTGGCCTACAATAATAATATATAGCGGAACGCTATAGCCTAATGAACTGATGGTTTAAATAATTATAACCTATTCACGATTATTAGGCTGCGTTATTTTTGTGTTTGAACGCCTTTCAATACTTATAATAACCATTCCGGATATAATCTAGCCTATTATAAACCCAGTCTTATTAAAGTTATAAATATTGGAGTCCATAATACCGTACTTCGCGACTATGTTCGCCATAAGGCGAAACCACGTATTTATTGTATCTAGATCTTTGCATTAGGCCCTCTTATAATTATACTTGTAAAAAAATGTCACAGACCCGCTGTCCTAGACCCCAACCTTGAGGTTGGTGTTGAGTAACCCGGTGGCCGGGTTACGTAAGCCTGAGGCTGGATAAAACTCTGCATCCTGTATTCTGTCGCGCATGTCCAGAAACGTAGCTCCTTGAGCTACGTCTTGTCAACAGAGCCTGTACCTGCTTAGGATAGAGCCTGCCCGTAGCAATAGATTGTCTGATCCGCCTGCCCAGCATCCACCTGCCAAACAACCTGCCTGCTACCGTGACAAAGCTCTCGGAGTTCTTATAAAATATAAAGGTTACGACGTAATACCGTATTCTTCTTATTTTTAATATAACTGTATAACTAACTAGTTATATAAAATAGATCTTGCTAATTCTAAGTATTATAGCGAGTACATTATATATAATCTAATAAACTATGGTAGTAGTAATATAGCGATTACTTATAAGTTTCTCTTATATTTAATTATTTAATGCCTTTAACGTATTAATTTAGTTATTTAACGTGCATAATAAGCGAGCGGATCGGACAAGCGAGCGGATCGCTCAATAGCGACCGCCACATCTTTTTCTTTCTAATACATATCCATCTACCACAATGATACAGTTATTAAATAAAGAAGCTGGTATAATTCTAGCAGTTCAAGCTATTGAAGAAACACTAAATTTGAGTATTAAAGATATAGCTCGGATCTACTTAGTGCTATTTTCAACCTTACGCGCCCGTATTAATGGAAGAACTTCGCAACTTAAAACCGTATTAAAGTTACGGAATTTAACGTTACTTAAAGAGGATACGCTAGTTGAGTATATTATTGACCTAGATTCCCGATTATTCCCTCCTTGGATTAGTGGTGTAGAAGAAATGGTTAATTGACTACTCGCTGACCGCAATGCGCCCCTAGTTGGGAAGCGCTGGGCTTCGAACTTTATTAAGCAACAACTATAGCTCTGGACGCGCTTTTTTGTCACGGTAGCAGGCAGGTTGTTTGGCAGGTGGATGCTGGGCAGGCGGATCAGACAATCTATTGCTACGGGCAGGCTCTATCCTAAGCAGGTACAGGCTCTGTTGACAAGACGTAGCTCAAGGAGCTACGTTTCTGGACATGCGCGACAGAATACAGGATGCAGAGTTTTATCCAGCCTCAGGCTTACGTAACCCGGCCACCGGGTTACTCAACACCAACCTCAAGGTTGGGGTCTAGGACAGCGGGTCTGTGACAAATACGACTTGGGGGCTAAATGATTATTCTGGATTAAAATGATCTAGGGCGACCTAAGAAATAAAGGATATGTTTAGAATTAGGACTTGTATATAAGATAGACTCGAGCCGGGCTTAAGGACAGACTTCTTATAGCTTCTTTAGTAATTAACTTCGTATTAGATCTTACGATCGCTTTTAGCTATTTTCCCTAAGAACCTCTTTGATAAGATTATAATTAATTATTGAAGCCTTACTTACCTTATAAATACGACGAACCTGAGACTACTTAACTATATGTAATAGTTAGAGTAAATATATTATATCCTTATCAAAGACCCATATTTCTATTCCACTAAGTTACTTATTTCAATATAAAAAGATTAAAGTGTCTTTTTCTATTAAATTTAACTAACTAACTTAGTTATATTTTAAATATATTATAAAGATACTAAAATCTTTCTTAATAGTTATTATTCAAAGAAATTAGGTAAATATGCAATTTAGTATGCGATAAGGAAATGCGCGGCTGACTGATATGCGCGGCTGACTGGTAAACCACGTTATATATATTATTAAGTTAACGTATTTATGCGGTATATTTGGCCTTATAACGCTGCTAAAGCTGGCATTTACGCTTTAAACCCGTTTTATCAAGTGTGGGCGGGTGCTTAGATAGTTTAGAGAGATCGTCGGTATCTTTAACGTCTAGGTTAATATACTGCTAGACGCTATATTATAGTACTTGGAATCGTAGCTAAAGGAACTACTACGGCTAATCTCCTTATTCTATAAGGCGTATACCTACCGTAGTAAGCGCCTTCGTCTTCTCCTCCATCTTCGTAATATAAACGCACAGGATCTATACGCTAATAATCGTGGGTTAGGGCTTAAGTAGAAACCTTAAAAAGAGCTGGGCTCATAACTATCACAAATCAGCATATAGAGTAGCTCATGGAAATCGGGATCTCAACTATGGTCTAATCAACTATGGAAAAGCGGAAAAGGGAAGCCCTCGAGGGAGCCCCTTTTGTATGCCCATACCCTGTCTACCCCTTATCTCTACCCCTGAGATATCCACCGCTATACCTCTTTCGTGACAAATGTTGCACCAGAATTGCAGTGTCCCCAATTTTTTTAATTCTTCCTGGCATAACGCCATGTCTATGTTTTCTTCCGTGCATAACAAGCTCGTGTGAGGAGGTTGGACCGATGGTAGGAGGATACCAACCGATTGCCAACCGCGGCGGCAAGGGCTCAAGTACTTCACCAACCAGATGAAGATGAAGCCCCATTTGGCCGGGCAGAAATACCAAGTGGCAGTAATCCCTTTCCGGTCAAGTGTCTGGTTTTCTGTGTGGGTCGCGTTGCAATAGAGCCACCATGCTAAACCGAGTCTGGTTAAGACTGATTTGTTCTGAAATTCATCTTATCAATCTCTCTACATGTACCTATCGTAGACCACAAGGTCGTTGTTCAAATTCGACCTAACAGTGACTAAAGAAAGAGAGAACTTGGTCTGTTTCATCCTAAAATTGCCAAAAGAATCGAAGTATGTCCCTTTCGCGCCACGAGGCATTATCCAATGATGCCGATATGTGAGATGTAACATTCATGTCGAGCAACTCGAAGCCTTCTGAAAACAAGGTTTAGTAATGACGACTCTTGAGAGAATGCTTCTCGATGTAAATTTGAATGGCGAGCGTCAAAGACTAACTGCATAGAGACATGTTATTTGAGACTTCAATGCTTTTAGGAGGTAGCTTAGTTGTCGCCCAATGGCTGGCCGCTGATGTCATGTGTGGCAAAGTTCAAAGTTCAAGTCCCGACTCCTACTTTACTGATTGACACAAAGAGAAGACAATATGTGCCATTCAAGTGCAAGCCACGATAAGAAAGATGTAAAGTATGAGCTGGTCATTTGGACTGGTAAAAGCTGAAGAACTGTTCTAAATCTTGTGGCGGTGTTGCATGATGAATTAGCCCGGGCTGTCCCGTCAATTGTTAGATAACGTCAATGTATATTTACGTACTTTTATGAGGGGAATAAAAGGTTATGCATTAATTAGACCTTTATTTTTCTTTGCCCGCCTAGGTATGATTTTAATTGGAGCTGAATTGGAGGAGGACTAAAGACGAATGTAATGACTCCATCCAGCGGCTCATAGATTAGCCTGTTTTCCCAAATAGACGCTTGCACTCATGTCTACTTGGGGTCTGGTTATCACCAGTGATACGTCAAGAGGAACTACCTTATCCATAAGTACTCTACTTCCTGCACTTCGAAAGCTAAAGAGCATTCAGTAATATTGTATCTCAACCCGTTCGCAGGAACTTTTTCACGTTCACTTGCAATGGAAAAGTTGGGTCTTAGTCGGACTGCCAGCTTTCGACATATGACTTGCAGATCTAAAGTACACCTCCACAGTCTGATGCTTAACTCCTAAAGTGCATAAGACAGTCTATTGAAAATACATCACATTGCGCCCAAGATACCCCTTACGGTCCTTTCCCCATCCAAACAAAACCAATACAACATCAAGTCCCGTGACTCAACTCACTTGTGCTGACCCTCGCCAATGCAGTAGGGAATAGGATAAGTTTCGCTTGTGCAAAGTCGAATGACACCCTTCACCCAAGACAGCTGGCCATAGCCCTGGCTCTCATACGTGTCCGCCATGAAACTCGCCCTTGTCGGGTTATCCGTGCACCCCGTCAACAAGTTACCCTGTACGCGACGCACAAAAGGCTGGCTGACAATGACGCCGTACATGTTGGCCGGGATATCGAATTCGAGAGAGTTCTCCTGGGAAGTTGACCAAGACATGTCGAGATTCATGCCCAAAGAAACGCTAATGATATCCGAGCCCCCAATGGTGATTTCAGAACCGATGGCGAGCGAGTTGCTGATTTCGACTCCGTTGGAGACGCTGATGCCCGCGGAGCTACCTTGCAAGGAGGAAGCTATGGGAGAGATGGCAACATCCCAGTTGAGGAACTGTTCATCTGACGTGACTTGAACCTCGGTGCTCTGCTGGCAGCCGCGGCGGGTGATGCCAGGTGTGCGTGTGGCACTGTATGATAAAGTTTGTGCGGGTGCGGGTGAGACAGTCTCAAGAGCATCGTAGTCTGTTGCCTTCATGATTCTGGAGGTGCCGTCGTGGCCGAAAAGAACAACATCATCGGCAGCCAGCATGCGAGGGCGGGAAGGTGCGGCAAAGACGGTAGTTGCCAGCCCAAACACTGCGAAAAGAGCGGAAGAGATCATTTTTTTTTTTCAAAAGGTAGTGACAGTCAAGCTTGAAGAAAAGCTGGATGGTGATCTTGGGCTCTTGGCTTTCAGGATGTAAAAGAGAGTGAGAACCAGGATGGGTATAAAGAGAGAGAGCTGAGACTAGATGAAGGCTAGATATTCCAAGAACAAGCTAATGATGAGGGCGGCCTGAGACCATTTTATCCTTCGTCAACATCCCTCCTATCTAGCCTCACTTCCCTTCATCTACCCTCTTCATATTAATCATGCTCCTGTTCCTGGCAATAATTCAGAAAACAGGCATTTCCTTACCTTCCCATGGCCCCTAGTGCCTCGGTCAGCTCAGACCGCCTCAACAAGATCCAAAAGAGTCTATTCCGAGAACCGAGAACCTCGAAACCCTTTGTCCTAGTGACTCCCCCTGGTCGTAGCCCTCCACTTTTGAGGCTGAAGGATCTCAATGGGCCCTATTTCTCAACCAGTAATAGCTCACGGGTCCTAGCCGGATCTCCGCCATAGTCAAAGAGAGCCGTGGAGTGAACACTGATCCGGACAGCGGCCGAGTGCTTCCCATGTCCTGCAATTTCACGTCCCTAAGGGCTAGTTACCGAATCGGGACGGCTGTGGTGGACTTTTGCTCCTTGGTATTAGACACACGTCGGTTTGTGGATCTGAAAGGGCGGAAGCACGGACTGAGCATGTCGTGTGCTTCTTTGCCCAAAGCTCTGGCTACCCAGCCGAGGAAGCTAGTTGGTCTCGTGATTCTCGTACAATGTTTTGCTTATTCCTTGGACTGCGTTGACTCTCTTTATAGTTGCGCAGTAAAATAAGCTTAAGTCTAATTTGTATCGGGAGTTCAGACCACCAAACTGAACATTTAATGCCCCCAATGCGCCCTCAACGCGCCCCCAAGTCCCCGTATGTAGCATACAACCAGAGAGTTGATTGGTCTCTGCTTCAGCGACGAGTCATGGACTCTTGTGCGGCTGTCGGACATGAGCGTCGATGCCCGTCTCAGGTGCCCATGCTCCAGAACCCCTTGGCAACCCCATCAGTGCGTCTTTCGGGTCTCGATCCGGGCGTTGGTTTTTCTACCCGGCGTGCTGCACACATGCTGGTGGCCCACGCAATAAAGTGGTGCACGAATTGCCCGAGTGGGATGTCTCCAGCAACGCTTGCCCGGCCGGCCGGGGTCATGGTAAAGTCATCCATTAGACAGCATGTTGGTAGTCTGTAGAGTCGCATTGCCAAGCCTCGGCGCCCCCTTTCTGGGAATTATATAGCACACAACTACATAGCGTTGCAGGCAAGCCTCATCCAGGTTGAAAAGTTTGCGCCAAGACCCCTCTTGGCATCTTGGCTTAGGTAAGGAGAATGTCCAACATCTTCACGCATCCAAAAGCCGTATGCGCCGAGCCCTAAGTCTCATCGAAACGCTGCGAGAAAGCTCCATTGCAAGCTGGGCTGGTGTCTGTGGAGTTTCCCGGCTTGGACTAAGCGAGAAATGAAGTACGATTTGTCTCCATCCATCTGCATCCTCAACTTGCAACGACCAAATGGCAGAGGTTCCACGTCGTCTGTTTTCGTTACAGGAACTACCTCGGCCTTGGAGCTCGCGTTGAGGATGCTTATCTGCCTCAAACATGTATCATGCCCATTTAGACTTTCCCTTGAATCTTTTCTTCCTTGTCTATCCGCTTTCGTTAGTTAGCCGTCTGGGCTAGGGAGTCCAGCCATGAAAGGCACCAGCCTACTTGCCGAGGAAAAAAGATAATTCTCGACCAAGTGCTGCGCCTTCTCGTACGACTCTGGTGAGATCCCACACCCAATAGTAGCATGAGCCTTTGCTTGCCTAGACTGCGCTGTTATCCGACTTGAAGCGGACTTTTGACTCTGCATAAGGGCTGAGTGATGCTTGGCAGAGTCCGACAGAAGCTCAGTACCAGTAGTGGATGCCCAACTCGGGCTACGTTCGTGAGGCATAAGCAGGTCCCATATTAACCTTGAATGCCTCCTTGACCGCGCGCTTCGAGATTCGGGCAACCCGGATGGCTGGAAAGAGGGTTGGCTCCTCTTGAAAATGAAAGACCTCTTGTCATACAGCCCCATCTTCCTTAGCGTCTAAACAGTAGGCTCTGGTCATTTGAATGAGATTCAACGACGACTTTTCCGGCTCTTGCTGGTTTTTGGATGCTCATTCTCAATTACTCATTGAGAAAATTCGCCTGACATGCCACTGTTCAGAAGGGACCAATAAGTTGTATCAACGCCCTGGAACGCCCAATCCCCAGCCTCTGCCGTGATGCCAGGGCATGGCCAGCCGAGGTAATCGGCGCTGAAGCCAGCGCACACGTCCTCGTGGGGAATAGTGTTGTCCTGTCCGAAGAGAGCTTCCAATGATACTGCAGGAGGCGTGTCTTGCTGGAGAGATTCCGATGCTACAGTCGTGGTGTTTGCTGGTGTTGGCAGCTGCGAGTGGCTAAGATCTAGCAAGTGTGACTCGGCTGTCTGGTTTGCGGTTGTCTTGATGTTGATAATCCCGAGATAGGGAATGCTCAACTGGAGGTTCTTCACCTCTGATTCGGGACAATGACGTGGTGTTACGCCGTTGCAGCAGTCGACAATGGGAAGCAACTGTCTGATGATCTCTGCACTTTCGCCGGACAACTTGTCGTCGTTCAACACAGCTAGTTCCTCCATCTTGGCCAGTACAGTCTCAGCCAAAGTCCTGTCCTCGCTCCGTTGCCTCGACCAATCCTCTTCGCGAATACCGGGAGGGCGGCTGAGGTGACCGAGGAGAAGTGTCATGGCCGCCATGAGCGATGAGTAGTCAATGTGGCGGCACGAGAATGCTGCGTTGTTGGCGGTGCGGAAGATGACGCATCGTCTCAGGACGGCCCTGCTGGACTCTAGACAGGTGTTTTTGCTGTAGTCGAAGCGGGTATTTGTCTGGTTGCGAAGCATGTAAGGGAGATGTAACAAGATGAGCAAGCTGTGGTGGTGGATCTGGAGCATCAGATGCGACATGATGCTCATCTGGCCAGTTGTGTCGGTGTAGTCGGGCACTGGCGGGATCTCCCACCAGCCACGTCCCATGGACTTTGCCGCGTGCTCGAGCTCACAATCTACAGATTGAGTGATGGCAAATGCTTCTGTCGCTGCAGTGCGATTTCTCTCGATGATTCGGAGCGAGATGGCGGTGTACCTCTTTTCCAGTTTCTCCATCGGCGTGTCACAGGCCAGAAAGGGTTCCGACATGAAGCTATTGTCCTGCGTGCCGGCGGAGAGGCCGAGAAGCAGTGATAAGTATCGATCGCAAGAATTGATGCGGGACCACAGCGAGTGAGAAGACGGCATCGTAGAAGGGTCGGTCGCGGGATCACACGACTTCAACGGCCGCGAGCCGTCGCGCTCGATGCCCATTAGTTGTGCCAGGCTAAGGGCCCTTCTCATGGCAAGCCATGCCTTGCGGAGGTTGCCAGAGTTGACGAGGTAGAACCCTTCAAGAATGAGGCACTCCAACCCCTCTGCGGAACCTACCAACTCGTCGTTGGAAGTGACCACGCTGGCGGCTGCGGTCCACTCTGCCATTTTTTCCTGGATCGAGCACTTGAGACAGGCCTCGAGTTGAGAGACATCGAAGCACGGCGGCATCTGCTGCAGACAGATTGTTAATTGAAGTAAATGCTTCGCCAAAATAGCCGGGTGCTTAGAGATATCTGGCATTGCAGTGAGGGAAGAAGTCGGTTGAGATTTGCCCTCAAGTATATCTTGGTACGAGTAGAAGATGACCAAGACGAAGATTGGGCCCCTACTCGACTGAACGATAGTTTGGGCATCCTGGAGGGATGGGAACATGGAGTGGATATCGCGGCATATCTTGTCGTACTTGCTGCCACCACGAGGACGCTCCGCTGCAGGCCGATTCGTTGCGGGTTGTGATGGGGGGCGGCCGGGGATCGGCCCAGAGACGGCAGTGGTCGCACTCACGGACTGCCAGGACGAGTCCTCCGGGGTGACTTGCGAATCCGAAACACGAAGGGAGCCTTCGACCGACGGCGTTGGCGGGTTCGATTTGTTGACCGAAGAGGGCTCGGGGCCCATTTTGTCGGCAAGCTTCACCATCAACTCTTCCAACCGACCAAGACGCTGGGCAAGGCCGCGCTCGGGCGGGCCGGACGGCTCATCGTCGGTGAACTCCTGGCTGACGCAGGCGGCACCGCGAGCCTGGCAGCCGTTGCAGGTTTGTTCTTCGTTGGAGGAAAACTCGCAGCGGATCTTTCTCTTCCTGCCTGAACGGGGGTGTTAGTGAATCAGAAAGCAATTGAATCGGGAAATTCGGCAGAGCTGGACCTCGCTCGGGGAGCCGGAGCACATCCACGGACGAACTTACATTGCCAGCAACTTCGCGTTCCTTTTCGGACTTTACGTTTCTTTGTCGGTCGTTCGTCCATGTTTTCGGAATTTGTTGATGCACTATTCAAACCAGACGAATTGCGGACGAATGCTAGCCTTTACATAGACCCAAATGAACCACAACAGGAAAAAATTGATCCAAGAGACTAGAATTACCTGGGCAAAGATCAAAGGTGATAACAAAAGCGTGATTTCGTTTGAGAAGCCCAGATCGACTGCTATGGGCAGTCCCGGTTTGCTGCCCGTCTCATTGATGTTGTTGTTGATGTTGTGGGTGCTTACGGATCTTTCGTCCGCCTCGTCCGCTCGGAGGCCGAAAGCGGACGACCGTCACACCTGGAAGTGAAATAGGTACGTATCGATATCGGAATGAACACTGCCCGTGTCACGTGAATCTGACGAATTTCATGTCTCGAATGCAAAGTGATCCACATCTGTAGAAACGCACAGTGTCCATTGGCTGTAGATATACGCTAGGTCCAATCAGGTAAACGTCCTCTTCGAATCGATCTAGACCTCGGTACGTACCTTCATCCACCAATCGGCCCCCTCCTCCTTCTGCCCCTCAGCTGCTCAGCATCCCCCTCAACTCGCGATCCTTTGCAAAGAACTTGGGCCATTTAGCCTGGTTGATGACTAACTCCCCAGCATCCAACACGGCGTTCAGACCAACTTTCTTTACCAACTTCAGCCAAGTCCAGTAAGCCCTAACCAATCAGGCTTGTTGGTGTTGACGTGCAGCAAGGGGTAGTGTACCGTCCTCCTCCTTTGTTGCTCGTCGGACAGCTCGTTACTGAGCTCAAGTCCAGGGGTTGGTTGACAGATTCGAAGCCGTTCGATTGATCTTGGCAGCATAACGATTACTGAGCATAGGAGATGTGGACAGTGCTGGCGTGAGGCGCTAGAGATCAGACCGAGCCTCTCAGCCTTAAAGAAGCCCCTCGGCTGGTTCAACTCCCCTTGACATGGGCCCCAAATCTGATTTCAAGTTCATCACCGTCGATGCCACTGAAGGGAGTTTCCACACTGCGAGCAAGTCCACGAGGAGCCATGCTATCCGGACTGCCATCCAAAGGGGCCGTTCCGAGCTGCGAACCTCAACGGCCTCGATTTCACAGGACACCATCAAGCAGAAGGCCCAGTTGAAGGGACGGTTCAGGTTGGCAGGGACAGCGTCCAAGTCGACCAAATCCAAGAACCCAAAAGATCAACATGAAGAACAAGAACATTTGCAGCCAAGTCGCCGCTCTCATGTACACTACTTGTCCCATCCCCCTGCAGGCTCAAACCACCGTCACTCACACTTCCATAGTCTCCATCCGACGTTGCTGAACTTCTGCATCAAGCATCGCTGCCACCATGGGTTCAGAGACTGGGGAGCGATAGCGCTGACCCCTTCAACACGCTGCCTATTCCAAGTAGTCCTTGCGTAGATTCTCTGGTAAAATATTGTAAGACTCGAACCTTCTGCCGCTCAAGAGCCTTACGCCACCACGCCGTGCCGCTGTGCGTCTGAGCTAACTCTCCAGTCACCACCAGGTTCAACCTCAACTCTACTACGATCGATACTCAGAGACCATGGTTTCCTTATGCTATGCAGAGCGCTCTCATCATGCGCGTTACGCTGGCCTTGGCAGCAGAGTTCCTGACCGCCACCATGCCTCTTCTTGACTTCAAGCTCCAGCGCGAAGGGTACCAGCAAAAGGGGGAAGCGATGCGGATGATTAGAGATCGTCTAGCTTCTCAAGAATCGGCGCGTAGTGCGAGCAACGACCTCTCTGTTCTTGCCGGCGTGGCCATGTTGGGAAGCGTTGAAGTAGGTGATTCCCTGGCCTCATGTACCACCACCACGCTCCGATGCTCAAGCTCTTACACACATGTTGGTAGGCCTTTCAAGGTCACTTTTCAGCGGCCAACGTTCACTTGACGGGGCTCCACGCCATGATTGAAGCTCGAGGCGGACCGGAGACGATCAAACACAACTACATCCTATGCCGCTGCATCAATTGGTGTGACTTGACCTCCTCAATTCCGCTCCACAATGAACGGCAACTGACCAAACTCCCACAGGATTGACATACAAGTAGCCTCGGGCCTCGGAAGAGTGCCAAAGTTCCCCATGTTCCACACTCTCGCGCAGGTGTCTCTCCCGCCGTCGGTCGTGAATCGCGCAAGGACGCCTTCCCTGCGACACCTGGAGAAGCTCGGCGGCCACAATCCCGACGAGAGCGACGAGCCGCTCAGGATCTTCGTGGCGCTGAGGCAGGCGATTCTCTCGCAGGCAGGCGGTGCGGTGTCCGTGTCCGCAGACGACATCAGGATCGTTATGAACACGGCCGATAGCACGATTCTGCACTTTCTCTACGTGGAGCGCCGGACGGCGACACCAGTGCAGACGCGGTTCCTGGTTCTGGTCTCAGCGGCCCATGTATTCCTCTACACCGTCTTGCGAGAGATTCCAACGACAGGACACATGGTTCGGGTTCTCGTCAGGAGGATGCGCGACGCGCTCGACGACGCGGATTCCATCGCACTCATCTGGGTGTCTCACGATGCCGTCCTGCTGTGGGTTCTCTTCGTGGGCATCGTCGGGTCCGGAACAGCCGAAGACCGCGAGTGGTTCTCCTCGAGACTAAGCAGCTTGCTGGAACGAGCCAGGGGTATTTTGCCGCCGGAACGATGCAGGCGCGAGAACCTGCAGCAGCTCCTTTCCGGGTTCCTCTGGCGGGACAAGCACTGCTTACCAGTCTTGGATGAAGTGTGGACATCGTGGGAGCGCGGCCAAGGCGGTAGTGGTGGTGTTGGTGTCATGTAGAAATTAGAATGCACGGATGCAGCAAACCACTTGGTGTTCCCACAACGTCAAATCACGGACACGGGATTGGCCCAGTTGCTGCTCGCGGGTTCCCCGTGTGTGGCCGGAGCGTTCACCGCGTGAGGGATGCATGGATCGTGGACTCCAGCTTGCGATATCGTTCGCTTCTCGGAGTGGTCAGCGGCTGGGATGGCCCGAGTTGCAGCAATCTCGGCCGTTGATGCGTTCGTCCGGCTGAAACCGAAAGGGACCAAGGACTGGGAACATCACGATAACATGGGCAGCATGGCAAGAAAAGAATGGCACGACTCAGGGTTTGGAGGAATGTCATCTCCAGGAACGACCAGACCGGTTCCGATCAGAGTGCGACGATAATTTCGAGGATGCCCGCCATACCAACAGCGCGCGCCCTTTAACATATTACAAACGCAAGCCGGCTCCATCCCCGCAATTCTTACCCCGGATTCAATGACACAATCGGAATTGCCAACAGCTTCGTTCAGTCCATGTCCCTTACCCCCCCCCCCTGCTCGTGCTGGCCGCCCCCCATTATCCGTGACGAGGAGCAAGCAAAAGCCCGTCACAAACCGCTTCCAGTTGCTCCTTCGTACGAAGATCTCGCACGCCAAAACTGTGTGGCTCGGTTCTCGCGGCACGACGGCCGAGTCGTTCGACGCAAGTTCGAACCTTCGGATCCGCCAAACGCGATAGATCAGCTAGTTTATCACCCTCAACTAGACGCCAATACTACGTACAACCTGCTGATGCATATTTGTTATCCATGGCCTTGTTTGCCTTGTTTAGCCTTGTTCATCGACGTGTTGCGTTTTCTCGTCACACTCTTTTTTTTCTTTTTTTTTTTCTTGCCGCCCAATGTCTATGAAACCGGTTTCGCTTTGCCGCGGGTGTGTGTCCTGTTAATGTCGGGCGAGAACTCGGCGTAAATGCAACCTTCTTTCTCGTCACCCCCAAAAGCACGCCAGCTTCCGAAACTGTTATCTCTGCGGTTGGTAATGGTTGTATGTCAAATTATTGAGTAGAAACCCCCTCTGAGTCTCTGACCAGTCAGGATTCGTCCAAAGAACTGGCACAAAAAAGAAGATACAGAAAAACAAAACAGGGTCCGTATGGATTCCGTTCACGCACGAGAGAAGTCTGTCCGGCATGGATGCTCGCTTTCAAAAACCCGCGTCGCGTAAGATCTCGCCTTGCTCGCCTCGCTCAACAGGCGGCCCTGGACGGGGGCAGATGGGGACAGACGGGCATATGCAGGGGGGATCAGCCCTTTGTGCGCTTTGTGTGGCCACGTCAGCCGGGAAGTGCGTAGGAGGCGTCGACAAGCCTTTTGGGGCCTTCGAGTCGATCTTCTAGAAGCCTTCCTAATGCGCGACAGGTGTGAGTGGAATCGACATGGATACGACTCAAGGATGTCGGGAATGTACGGGACCGCGGCGGCGCTATTACGTCTAACTTTGCGGCCCTCTGCGGGTACGCGGCTTTGCAACCCACGGCTGGTTTAGCGCATCGAGGCAAGACACCCAAGACTCGCAGAAATCGCCTACGGCAGCGCGGGAAGGAAACTCGAAGAGGAGGAGGGGGACGGGTAGAAGGGTAGAAGGGTGGGAGAGATCCGAGAGACAGAGAGAGAACCTATGGGAGTCTTTTCCCACGGACGGGCTCAGGCCCCCCCCTTGTTCGGCAATCGTCACTCTTGGCTTTGGCTCTTGTTCGTTTTCGTCTGAAAGATTTTTGAGCCTCATGCTCTTGGCCCAACGTCCAATGTCCAAGGTCACCAACCTATGACGCTCTTTTCCTCGCTCGAGTTTCAGCAACTCTAGATAAGGCAAAGTTTTCTCTCTTCCGTCCGTTTCCCTCTCCAAGAGCTCAGACTATCTCTCTTGGAGTCCTCAGTCATGTCAGGCCTCTTCCCAGTGCGCCACCCGGTCGTATTTCGGGGTCGCCCGTGGGAACAGCACCATGGACTGACTCAAGGGGGGGCGAGATGAGGCCACTCTGCGGCTCTGCTTCTGGGTCCTTTAGGTAAAGAATAGGTCACAATATCCACCCTATTACGATGCAAAAACTCTACCAATTGCCTCAGTCCCGCATTTACACGACCGCGTACAGAGCAACCCCGTCAGCAACCCTCAACTTGCTGGCACGCGGTCCTGGTTTTCTTGACAACGAGAAATGCAATTGTTCACTGGGAAACTCGGGGAAGTAGCACGCGACCACACGCAAAGGCCAATGTGTCAATTCTGAAATCTCAGGGACGCTGGTCGATTTCGCGGGGAAAGTCTGCAACGGTTTATTCCCCCGCAATTTCACAAACGCACGGAATCCGGTCCCAAGCAAGGGGACTGGGTTGATGATTCTTGTACCGAGTACGAATCGTCGAATAGCAGAGCTTTCCGTGGGACTTGAGTATCCGTATGTCAGCCATCTAGGTAATCTGGCTGACGAACTCTTGCCGCCCACTCGCCCACTCTGGTCCCTCGGCCGTGGTAAGTCCATCTACCCATCCCATTCTATTCCCAGGTGCCGGTGTCACCGCCCACGATCGCGGGGGGGGGCCAAGAGATAAGGACCCCGGTCCAATCAACGTAGGTTCCGGGCCTCAGTCAAGGTGAACTGCTTTCAACTCGACGAGGTCGAGCCCTCGGCCTGACTCCGGGGTCGGTGCTGATGCTCCGCCCTTTGCCACCATATATCCAGCCTCCGTCTTCCCATCGTCTTCTTGTTGTTCCTCTCTTCCAGTCCAACCGGCTTTTGACTCTTCATCTCTCTCTCCCTTCTCTCTTTCTTCAACCGAAGTCAGACCTGTTCAACCCGGTCCATCCCATTGTGCGTCCGTGTATGATTGTCTCATACAACGCCATCAACTCCAACACCACCACCTCGCCTTTGACATCAACCCCGTCAAAGCTTCCTCCCCTCCTACTCCTCCTCCTCCGCCCGGGCCCCACGCCACACACAAAACTTGGGCTAGAGAGCAAAAAAGACTCTTCAACAGTATACACACACAAAGCCCATCATGGATCACGACCAGGTTAGACAACAGCAGGCTCATGCCGCCGAGAACAAGGACACCAAGTCCCCCGATGGCGCCGCCGTTGCCCCCCAATTTTCCCGCGATGCCGTCTTCCCCGGCGAAGTAGTCGGCGAGGTCACCGACCTCAACCGCCAGGACCTCGAGAAGCAAAAGGCCGCCGAGGGCAGTGCCCACTTCCACCGCCTCGGCTGGAAGCGTCTCACCGTCATCCTCATCGTCGAGGCCATTGCCCTCGGCAGTCTGTCTCTCCCCGCCGCCTTCGCCTCCCTCGGTATGGTTGCCGGGGTTATTCTGTGCGTGGGCCTGGGCATTGTGGCGATATACACCAGTGACGTCGTCGGTCAGGTCAAGATCAAGTTCCCTCACGTCTCGCACTACGCCGACGCCGGTCAGCTCATGTTCGGCCGCTGGGGTTACGAAATCATCGGTGCCATGTTCGCGCTTCAGTTGACATTCCTGGTCAGCTCCCACACTCTCACCGGCGCCATCGCTTTTGGCAACATCACCAACGACGGCGCGTGCTCCATTGTCTTTGCCGTCGTGTCCGCCATTATCCTGCTGATCCTTGCCATCCCCCCTTCGTTTGCCGAAGTCGCAATCTTGGGATACATTGATTTCGTCTCCATCATTCTCGCCATCGGTATCACCATCATCGCCACCGGTATCAACAGGGGTGAGATCACCACCGCGCCCTGGTCCGCCTGGCCCAAAGAGGGCATTACGTTCGCCGAGGCCTTCATCGCCATCACCAACCTTGTCTTCGCCTACAGCTTTGCCATTTGCCAGTTCTCCTTCATGGACGAGATGCACACCCCGTCCGACTACAAGAAGTCCATCTGGGCCCTTGGTCTCATCGAGATCTTCATCTACACCGTCACTGGCGCCCTGATCTACGCCTTTGTCGGCCAGGATGTGCAGTCCCCTGCCCTGCTTTCCGCCGGAAACACCATCTCCAAGATTGCGTTCGGCGTTGCCCTGCCCGTCATCTTCATCTCGGGATCCATCAACACCACCGTCGTTGGCCGCTACATCCACGGTCGTGTCTACAAGGACTCCATCATCCGCTTCATCAACACCAAGATGGGCTGGATCACCTGGCTCGGTCTCATTACCGTCATCACCGTCATCGCCTTCATCATCGCCGAAGCCATCCCCTTCTTCTCTGAGCTTCTGTCCATCAGCTCCTCGCTCTTCATCTCCGGCTTCACCTTCTACTTCCCTGCCCTGATGTGGTTCATGCTCATGCGCGAGGGTTCCGTCTTTGCCAAGGAGAATCTCATGAAGACTGTGCTCAACGGTCTTGCCTTCATCATCGGCATTGTCGTCCTGGTCTGCGGTACTTACGCCAGTATTGTTGAGATTGTGAGTTTTTTCCCTGCATATAACCCACTCAAATGTGTAACACGATGCTAATTATAATGAATAGGACCTCAAGTTCAAGACTGGAAAGATCAGCAGCCCCTTCACCTGTGCTTCCCTCGCCTAAATACCATTCTCGTCGAATTTATAGTTTTGATAGTGCAGATAATAATACCCCTTGAGTTATCTCGTAACATATAAACAGCTCGTCTCTGCTAGTGCAAAAGTCCTGAGCTCCACCAAACGCGCAACGCCAAGTGCGCATGTTCAAGACGTGTGCCCAAGATAGAGCCCAAATTAAGACTGGGAGCTAGAGCGATGTCCACCTAGCCTAAAGTCGATCCGGAACCTAGGTTGCGGCAAGGCGGGAGTTCATACTGCGCGCCTCCATACCTGCAGTTTGTCGTGGTTGGGCACGGAATGCTGCGGTTCACTCACACCTTACGCTACGGTAATGCTTCACTGGCGTTTACTGATGTTACGGGCTGGACCCGATTAATGGATCCGGGCCAGCGCCCGGATATTCTGCCACGATTGTCCGCGCGGGCTCCATTACGCCTACGCTCCACCTCCGCGGAAGCTCCGCTTGTAAATTTCTTCTCGTTAGCTTAGATTCTATATACAGAAATCACCCCTACGTGGCCGGCCACACGAGGGCTGGGCTCTTAACAACTGAGACATCCCGTCTTTATTGTTAATACTTACACGTATCAACCCTGTAGAGCAACGTTGACCAAAGGTGCCAAAACTCCAAGCAGGATCCATCCATCTCGCACGCCAACATCTTTGTCCTGAATTCCTGATACCAATTTGCACTGCCCCCACGATTCTCTGTGTCCTTGTATAACAACATGTAGCTTTGTCAATCGGACGCCACTATCATGACCAAGTGCGCTCTTCATTGACTCTTCCTGCCGAAAAGTTGAACCTGATCCTCGGAACCGTCAACTCTTACTGTTCACTCGAGGCCTCGCTTGGGTTTTCACTTGGGTCCTCGCTCCGGTTCTCGCTTCGGTCCTCGCTCGGTTGGCTCGGGAGAGTGTCTCTGGGATCTTTGGATCATGTCGTGCACGCTCGAGCCGGTGTTCAAGATGCTGCGAGGGTCGGTCTCATCTTGACGGGGGCCTTTGGGCTGTCTGGCTTGGTTGTGGTCCGAATGATCCTCCAATATCAGGTCCTCCTCAGTCTCATGTTGACGGGGGGTCTCTGGCTTGGTTTTCTTCCGAACGAGCCTTCGATGACAGACCCTTGAACTGGTCAGCCAGACCTAGTAGCTCATAGGGAGGGGCACTCTCGCCCGAACGTCCAGTCAATAGTGGCAAGTTGTCAGAGAGCGCGGCTATATCGCCTTTGTCGCGCAGGCCGGGAAGGTTCTCAATATTAGCCGCCTCCTTTGAAGACGTTGAGACAAGAGTGTCGGTGTCTGTTTCAGTCGGAGCAACTGTTTCCGAGAGACTGCCGCTCTAAGGCTGTCCCTGGGGCACGGCGCTGGGAGACTGTCTCTCAGGCTCAGGGCGCACTAGTTGATGTTCGGACGAGGGGCCTATGGATGTTCCCTCGGTTTGGGTGGGCACCGATCGCAGATCTTCCAACATAAAGGCGGTATACGTGGCATTTCTTGTCAAATGACCAAATGTATGGATCATCCATTGCCAGAGCAGACGCGGGCGCTTGGGGTTCGGACTTGCCCACTCCATAGGGATCCAGCCTGCGAAGGATTCCAATCTCTTCCAGCCGAATCGAATGATGGAATGGGGCTTTGTTGGATACTTCTCCCACATCTCAACAGGCTCCCTGCGCAAATCGTCGACCAACGCCTGCCCATAGCCAATCAGAACAGCCCGGGGGTTCTTCAGCGGCTCACCCTTGTTTCGCATGGCCATAATGACGTTCTTGGAGCGAAGACGGCCATGGTAGACTCCGTTGTATTCTTGTGTCATGGTACCGTCCATGAGCTGCTTGATGATCTCCATTCTTACGTCGAGATCAGTGGTGAAAGCGCCACGTGGCTCGGCGTCCTTGTAAAGTTCCACCTCAAAGGTAGGGCCAGCAATCGTGAATAGCTGGTCGAGGCAAAGGCCATCGATGAACTCGGTCGCGAGCACCGCAACATTCCGGGTCTGGTTGGTGAATGATGGATTGGACGTCTTGACCGCGGTGGTCCCAGCCTCCATAGAATTGTGGAGCGATATTGGGGAAGCCAGTGAGCTCCTTCTTGTAGAGGTGGTCGTATGCACCACACTCGTCGCTGAAAGCCGAATCAGCCTGCGCTGTGACTTTGATTAGGCGCTTGGTGATGTCAACGGTCTTGTACCAGAACAAGGCATCGAAAATCTTCAGCAAGAGCAGTTGTCCCTCGGACGGGATCTCGTGCTCTTGCTTATTCGGTGGGGTCGATGGCGAGACGACGACTTTGCAGAGGATCTTTTGGGGGCCAGGTTGGTTGGTATCCAGCACCTGGGCTGCCGCTAATCATGCGAATAATCTCGACCTCAATGGAGGCATCAGGATCGTTTTGATTGTTCTTGTTGATGGTCTTGGGCGCGTTGTTTGGGTGAAAGACCAGTCGTCTGAGCGAAAAGTCCTTCTCATCGTCGGACTGCGTCATATCTTCAGGCTCCCAGCCGCTCGGAAGAGGATACAAGTGAGAGCCGTAGGGAGGCAGAGGCTTGTGCGGCTGCAGGTGAAGTCGCCGGCCTGGGGAGTAAATCTCTTCATGGTCGAGCAGAATGCCTCCATCCTCGCCGAGACGTGTGGCAGCCGTCTCCTCGGGGGAGGGAGAAGCCATGGCGATGTCGTTACAAAGACTGATTCCTGCTACTACTGGTTAGTCCGTTTTTGGTTTGAGCTGGAGTGGAATGGACTTACGCGTTGAATTTGAGGGTAGAAAGTGGCGCGTTCGCGATGATGAAGCTCACTTCAACAAGAGCCCCAAGTCTGCAATGGAAAGTTGAGCAAAGATGCAGACGAAGGAAGGAGCCTTATTCAAGGCAAGGACGAATTACCTTCAGAAGTTGAGGTGGGCGAAGTGGAAATTCAAAAGCGCCAACGTAGCTCAAGGTAGCTTGAGATTACCTTGTTCGATGCCTACGATAACGAAGACAAAGAAGGGTGAGGTGGACAAGGAAGGGTAAGGTGAGGTAGGTAAGGTAGGGCACAAAGGCAAAACCCCAGGGCCTTCGAGGTGGGTCTGGCAGGACCCACCGACGGCAGCAGGTAGGTAGCAGGGTTAGGTGAGTTAAGGTACGTGGGTATCTCACTTCGTACCTTACCTTAACTTACGGGAAGCGGATTAAGCGAGAAACCCACTAAGCTGGGGTGCTCAATTGGACCAATCACATTACATCTACCTTAAATATACAGTGAGCTAGAAATCGGAAGGCACCATCCCCTAACCGTGGCTGCAGTACCTGCCGTATGGGTGGAAAATGGAGTTTTCACACAAAGGGCACTGCTAGCTGCAAGCTGCCGTACGTGGCACGATTAAGGAAAGCAATTGAATTAGGCACTTGTTACCTAAGCAGGTAATGGAAGGCAAGGTTTTCGCCAAAGATCAAGCCATTGTCTTGGTACTCCAAGACGAGGTGGGACGAAACCTGAGCTTTGCCGGGCTCGGGCGACGTGTATACACACGCGGCGGTCCAGTCGGGGATTGCTGTGATGGACATCGGCTCGTAGGGCTGGGGGTCAGGGATGATGATCTTCTTGTAGGTCTGGGTGGTGCTGTCCATTGTGAGTGTTCCCTTTGCGTGGCCTCCGAGAAGCACCAACGCGACCTCTCGATTAATCGAATGCTCAATTGATCTGGCGACGTCAGACTCGTTCCTGTGGAACACGATGGAAGGATCCGGTCTGGCAAGTTCTAGGCCAGCCAGCTCCTCAAAGTTGGCCGTGTCCAGAAAGTGATCGGCGACGTCGGTATAGTAGTCGGGCTGGGTGCGTGTCAGAGCCTTTGGCAGCTCTACCTGATGAGCGGACTCGCTGGCATCGCGCAAGTCTTTGGGTTTGTCGCGACTTCCGATAGGGATGACCGGGAGTGGCTCATCATTTCGGATTGCCAGGACAATCGGCGGCTTCTGGGGCGGGTCCGACATTGTGTCTTTGAGGACGGAGCATACCTTATGAAGTTAGTTGAAGAGAAAAAGCAAAAGAGTAAAGCAAAAGAGTTTAGCGTAAAACTGACGAGAGGCTTCTGATGCAGGGGATTCTGGTACGGCCAAAAGCCCAAGATGAGATGGTGGGAGGGCAACGCTCGAAGTCAAGGTGGGAAAAAGTAAGTTCGTGCCTATCCACCCCTTCAAGATCAATGACTCATGTATTGTTCAGTTAGGGATACTGCCTATTCACCCGGAAAAAATATTGTGATGGCATCAACCACCTCCTTCGAGAGCTATCGCGTGTCACGTGACCCGAAGAGTATTGCTGCTCAACCTGATCAACACAAAGAGAACAACATACTATCTTACGTAGTAGGTAGTCCGACAATGGAACATAGGTACTTAGCCTGCTCTTAAGAAGTATGGAAGTTGACGATGACCCAAACTTAACCAAATCCCCGTTGTGAGTCGAGGCTGTCAACTCCATTTCCGGGGTTGACGTTGACTGGCAGATCACTCTGACCTTGACCGGGCCGTGCCCAGATGGATATTAGGTAGTGGAGATGGGACGGGAGGAACATGTCCAGAACCTAGGAACCCAAGTAAGTGGGTGACATAATGGGAAACCGCTCAACAACCTTCCTATCTCTATTTCTGTTTTTCGTACTACTTTTATTATTATTATTCTTGTTCTTATTCTTATTTTATTTTTTATCTTTATCTTACACTTTACTTATTATATTCTATATGGAATGTTCAAGGGAAAAAAAAGTTGTAATAATAGTAATAATAGTAATAATGGAAATAGTGATAAAGGGGGTGTTGGGCTGCAAACCATTGTGTCACCCACTTGCCAAGCACCCAAGGCACGTGTGAGCCTCTACGGAGTACCTGCCTGACTGATGCCACGTGCCTACCTCCGAGTCACTGCTGTTCAGTGGAGGTCCCGATTGGCCACGGAACCTTACCTTAGGGACCTACCTACCTTAGGACCTACTTGTAGGTAAGGCGCGGAGTGCCCTGAGGTGGGTCGGGATTGGCGAGTGGGTCCACCAATTCAACTTCTCATTCTTCAAGTCAACTGTAGGTACCTTACGTCAGGGAAGAGGTTCTCATGCGACCCTTTCATAACTACCTTAAAAATCAGAGATGGTGGACAGTGTGACCAAAAGAGACAGGCGACGTCGATTTGCCAAGGTTGACAACTTTTAGACATCTCTAACAACCTTGCTGATAGCTGATGATCTCGATAGGCCTGTGACTTGTGCCGCACGAAGAAGGTCAAGTGTGACGGCGGCAGACCAAAGTGTACTAGATGTCTAGAGATGTCTCTCGTGTGCAACTATGCCGATGTTGTGAAGCCATCCAGCCGACGAACGAGGTCCAGTAGGGCGCAAGCAACTGCTCGTACTTCAATGATCGGATCACCAGAGGATGGCTCGACTCAAGCCGAAAGGACGTGCCCAAAATCACAACCATCTACAGGCAGCACCAGTTTCTCAAGAATCACCGTCTGAGCTACACGGCAGCGTGAACATTGCTCATCCATGCAAAGCTCGATCCTCACACACTCTAGGTCGGTCTGAATCAGCGCTCGGTAGTTGTAGTAGGCAAATGTTTGGTGTCGCTGACACTGCAAATCTTCAAGACTCTCTCATGGGTGCCGGGCGGGATTTGCGATATTTTGGTACGGAAAGTCTCTACTCCAAATCAAATGCATGGTTTGACTTCCTCCAGGTCCATCTTTCGCCATTGCATTATTCCACACCCATCCACCATCCGACGAGCAAACAACATCGGGCCGGCGATCAAATGGGCAGCCGAGCTCAAGAACAGGACCTTGGTCTCTATGGACGCATCACAAGCTACAAAATGTACTTGAGAAGAGGGTACACTGCTCTCTGCCGTCCTGGCCCGAAGCTCTTTCACTGGTTACAGCCTTCTTCGAGGAAAATTACATGGCTTTACCACTCTTTCGCCCACCCGCCTTTATAGCTCGTCTCGGTCAGCAATACTCTGGAGACTTTGATGGTGGCCCTGCTTGGTGGACTTCATTCAACGCTGTGCTGGCAATTTCTCAAAGAAGACGTGTTGAGCAGGGGGCTTCTGACGACAAGGAGCTGGCCTGGGGCTATGCGGCCAACGCCCTCGACACAGTTTTAGACATACTCATGAGGGCCACTCAAGTCATATCGGTCCAAGCTCTGCTGATACTGGCATGGTTCTTTCTGGGAACACCTAACCCGCAGCCCAGCTTCATGTTGGTGGCCAATGCCATTAGACTTGCACACACCATCGGGCTACACAGAAAGGAGTGCAGCTCGTCATTGAGCCCTGTCGAGAAGGCGACTAGAGCCAATGTATTCCGGCTTGCTTTTTCACTGGATCGAGAGTTGAGTCTCCGGACCGGGCGGCCTCCTGCGCAAGATTTTGGCGGCTTTGAGGTTGACTTGCCTGATTCGTCACTCCAGCATGAGTTCAGCACCCATGTTCCTTTAAACGGGCTGATCAACATTTTAATAGCCGCTTCTCGCCTAGTCGTTATCCAAGCTAAACTCTATTCCAGGATTTATCTCAGAGAAGGGATCGATCCCAGTACCATTTCAGATGCCACGCAAGCACTAGGCGAGGACTTGGAGGAATGGTGAGTTGAGTTTTCGGCGGTTCTGGATCTTGAAAGTCATCCTGAACTAATCAACTACTCTTCTGTCCTACGCCTGAACTACACCTATCAATATTGTGTGATTCTAGTTCATCGGGCACAAAGCGAACATGACTGAAGTCATTGGCGTCTTCGGAGCGGCCATCTACGATTTCGTCTAGCATCACAACCGCTATCCAGCATTCAGTGGATGCTGCTAGAGCCATTCTTCAGTTGGATTCACTCATCCCGGATACCTGGAAAAGTTTGACTTGGTAATTTTGATTGCTCCATCTGGAAAACTAGGCCGCCCTCACTATCAACGATAGCTAAGGATTCTTACTAGGGACGTGATTCCCATCACTGTCACTGCCATCCTGATCCTGTCTCTCTATACTTTGCGTCGACCCCGCACACTGGACGCCGCCGAGGACCTTGATTCAGTCTCAATAGCCCTCAAGCGACTTGCGTCTCTCGAGCTCTCTGAACCTGGCTCATATTTGACTCCGGTACGAACAGTGTGTCAGGATGTGTACAGGGCTGTTCTATGAGTCTTGAACCCATCCAACAACACACCGTCTCACTCACAAAAAACGGCCATTGATCGAGGTCAGAGTGCCTCTCAGATCTACCTCCCCTAGTCGAGACTCGTCACGAAGCAATTTTGAACCCGAGCAACGGGGTCGACGGAAGTAGCTCCTTGCCATGGGATCAGAATACCCTTTATTATTGGGGCGTTCCTTGGGGATTTGAACATCTTCTGGGAGATGATGCTTTGACATTCATCTGATAAGCCATGTGCCTAGCTATTTACCGTTCAAGAAGGAAACATTTATATACTAAAACTCATGGAATCCATTCAGGCTTCGACCTTCCTCTACGACCGGTTGGTTCATCCCACCCGATTTGAGTCGCTTCAAACTGGAACGCAGGAGCCAGGACTCTGATCTCCTCATTGAGTCCGTAGTTTCTTCCGCTCATGTTCCAGAAGTATTCGGGATGGGTGAAGATATTTGGGCGAATCTTCTTCCAGGATTGATGAGTCTTACCAACAAAAGTGCCCATATCGTCGTAGTGCCGCGGGCTGAATTCGGGATCCCGGGCTCTAAGCTCCCGTTGCTGCTCTTCAGAGTAGAGGCCCAGGTTGTAGTACCAAATATTGTACTGGGTCAAGCTGATGTCAATGTCAAACGTGACATCCTCTGATGTACGAGCAATCAACGCCTGAATGGCAGCCGTAGCACCGACCAAGCCTTTCTGGTAGTCGGAGTTGGCTGAACAATCGTTAGCAACTGGATGATGCACAGGCAAGTTCGAATGACTTACGCAGAAGCGGGACGACAGCCTCGTCCAGGCCGAGAAATCTACCCTGCAGGTGAGAAAGACCAACCAAGCAGTCACTGATCTGCTGCCATCCAGATCGGTAAGCCAGAGGTCCCTTGAATCCGTAACAATTCTCCCGCATGTAAATCAGGCTGGAATTCAACTCGCGCAAGGCGGCCGTGTCGAACCCGAGTCTCTTCAAAGCACCTGGACGATATCCATCCACCAGAATATCAGCACCCCTAACAAGATCAGCAAAAGTCCGCTTGCCCTCCTCCGTCTTGAGTTCAATATTCGTATCCCTTTTTCCAGTCTGCAAGTCCGGCATCGTCGCCCCGTAGTCGGGCAGCGTATCGCATGACACGCGGAGAACATCGGCCCCGAGGACGCTCAACATCTTGGAGACCGCCGGGGCTGCAATGACCCGGGAAAAGTCGACAATTCTAATGCCCGCAAGCGGCTTGAACCTCTTTTCGTCTCGCGCTTCCGGCCACGCTTTCCGCGGAGCAGGCACCCGGGTCGTGCTCCATAGTGGCTCCTGGGACATGATCTTGCCTTGCTCGCTGGAGAAGAATTCGTCGGGCGTCTAGCACACGACACCTGCCTGCTTGTACTTCTCATTGGCGACCTCGATGTAGCAAGCGTCTTCCAGTAGATGGAAACCCACAGCGGAGGGGCTAAGAGAATATTCCCAGTCCCGCGGAGTAGGTGTTGAGTCTGTTATTCGACACGATCACATTTCTAGCTAGGTACCGTTTTACTGGTGGCATGTTGGTGGGTCTTGGTGCCGGATTTTCGTGCTCGGAGTTCTGGTCACGGAGTTTTGAGCTCCTAGTGTCATCGACTTGTGACTCCAACGCTTAGCGAAACTTCCCATCTTCTGCATCGAGAAATTCCCACTAATTCCGGACAGTGGATTTTATATTTGAAACCTAAAGCAGGTGACTGTTTGTAGATACATTAGAAAACAGCATGTTGTCACCAAATGGTACTACGAGGAGTGAACGCTACGGTGTTCAGTCGTAAAAGCGGCAGCATTTCCTTCTATTCATGCATAGAAGTCTCATTCTGTTGACCTACTGAAAGTAGAAGGCTAGGAGCTACCGAAATTGAGGGAACTGAGTAATTATTAAGAGGCTGGTAACAACACTTAGATCAGCCAATCTTCGCGTCTGTATCACACTACAACCTATTACTGAGCCAAGTCAGGGTTGAACTCCAGTGCCAACCAGACATCGACGTTCTTGCCCTTCCCTCCCTGCCACTTGTGCCACGGGTAAGAGACAACATTGTTGTGTCCACGGACGGCATCGCCGTACGAGTCGCGGTACCACAGACCTCCGTGCTCATTGAGTCGGGGAAGCGGGACCTTATCGAAATCATCCGGCCCGGCAGACTCGGGCTCTTTACCTTCCTTGAGCCTCCACATGCCTCCGGTCTCGGTTCCAGGAGAGAGACAGATGTGGATCTCCTGGAAGATGTCGTTACCGTGGTTGTGAACGCCACAGTTGACATTGTGTCCTGTGAAGAGTATGGTAAGCGAAGCGATCGGGGACAGCTTTTGCTACTAAAACCACAAAATGACTCACCGGCGGTCCAGAACTGCAAGTGTGCAATTTGTGACTTGTCGTCCTGGAATCGGAAGTGAAAACCAGACATGTTGGTGAAGTCAACCCCCTTGAAGTTATCACCCCACCACAAATCCTCGACCTTGGTGAACTTGAGGTCAGGGAACTCCAAGCCGAGTTCTTTGGTGTTGAAAGTTGTCTTGACTGGGACGTCCCCGGCCTTCTCCCACACGCCAGGCTCGCCGAGGGAGACGATTCTCAAAATTATGGCACCCTTCTCTTTGTCGGCACTGAGCTCCTTGTCCTCGCTAGAGATGGGTGCGATCCGGGGGAATGGAGGCAAGCCAAGGGCCGTACGCGTGCCCTCGATATCAGCAACGGAGCCATAGAGAACCTTGATGCCATCCTTCTTGCCCACGGGGATCTTTGCTCCAAGTGGGTGAATCTCGATGCTAATTGCGTAGTTTGCAACCTCGATGAGAGGGAAAGACTGTTGACTCTTGACCTTTCTAGGTCGAGCCAGATACACCAAGCCTTCGTTATCCCACACCGTAGGTACGATGTGACGCTCGGTCACGGCGGGCTTGGGCTTGGCAAACTTGTTGACGTGGAGAGTAATGACAGGCTTGGGCTCCTCGTAATACCGAGGAACGTTGTACTCCACCGAGATCAAGTCAAGCCTATCAGTGCCGGTGAAGTTGCTGCGAACGCGTGGTGTCAGCGTCGTCTCAATCAGTCCGAACACGACCTCAACGACTTACCCAATTGCGATACGAGCGGATGATTCTTCTGCAATCTTCCACTTGGCAAACAATCCCTTTTCGACATCGATTGCCTTGTAGTACATGATGCCCTATGGAATGTGAGTTCCTGAAGTACTCGAGTGGATAAGTGTTGCGTTTCTACTCACCTTGTTCGGGTTGGGTCCTTTTGTCGGCTGTGAAGTTGAATGTCAGCAAACAAAGTCTCGTCTTAGATACGCGACCTCAATCAGACTTACGACAATAGACTCCATGTATGTGTCGCGGTCCAAGGAGCCGAACAAAGCCAGGAGGAACTCATCATCGCCATCGCCTACATGTAGAAAACCTTGGGTCAGCCAGCTACCTAAGGCCTTCGGCGACAACATTAAACATACCGTCGAAATCAGCACAAACGATGTAGTGGCCGGGGCCGTCGCCATACTTCATGAGCTGGTTGGGTGTGCCATAGATATCCAGGATGTGGCGTCTCCACTGCGTATCTTTCATGCCACGACCAACCTTGGACAAGACACAGGCGGTTGTACCGTGGAAGGGGTCCAATGTCGCAATGTAAGCAAAGGGATCATCGCCGATCTTACCAGCGTCGGCGCAGCCAGTGCCCCAATGGTCACCAGATCCAGGCGACAGAGAGTTGGGCTGTTGTCGGTCCTCTTTCGGCTCTCCGCTCGAGAGGAGCTGTCGCTTCCACGAGCCCTCTTCGTAGTAAAGCCAATTGGCACCTTCGCGGGATGAGACCATGATAGAATCGAGCCCAGTAGGTCCATTGAATCTAACTTGCGTTAGCCCCTGGAGCGTGCGGGTGGGAGGGGTTGACCTACTTCTTGACCGTCAACTCATGAATAACGGTGAAGTTTTCATCATCAACGATTGAGCGTTGCCACTCGGTGCTGACAACTGTTAGTAAATCATCAACTTGGGTCAATGCAGTTGACTCACGCATTGAGGACGTCCTCGGGAGCCTGGAAACGGATAATGGGGATAGGGGTAATCTGTAGGTAGTGGTTAGAAATAATGACAGAACACTGTGCCACAGCGACGGCAGACGAACCTTGTCGTGCGGCCCCCAAACAACTGATGCGGCAACAATTTCCATCACGGATCTATCCAAATGTTAGCCAAATGACTTAGAGTCTAGACCTTGTGAAGAACCGTGACTTCAGGGACCCAGGGTGCAACTCCTTACTTTTGCGTAAAGTATCCAGCCTTCATTCGATGCATCGCAGGCCAACGACCGATCATTCGGAGTTTCCAAGGCTCTTTTCCCAAGTTCTCACGACCGGGGTTCTCAAGCCAGGAGATCCAGCCTCCCTTGGGATCACACTCAAGCATGAATGGGCCGTAGTCGTGACAGACCACAATGTCTGTCAACCCGTTCCTGTTGATGTCAACGGCCACGACGGCAACTGGGCTGTCGAACTTGGCCACTTGGTACTTCTTCCACGCTGTTGTGTCTATGTCAGAACCATCACTTTTGTAATGAAGCGGGATAGTCTTGCACGTACGTCCAGTGATGTCAATCTCTGATGCATAGAACTCCTCGCCTTTAGCTTTGGCCTCATGTTTGGCGGCGGCAATGGGGTTATCGAGAAACTCGATTTCTCCGGAAGCCAGTCCAGATCTTGGAGAAGAGTTAGTATTGATTGGGATTCAAGCGAAGTTTTGTGGATGAATATTCTTACGCAACAAGTCCTGGAACTTCGTCCTCACCAAACTTGAACGTCTCAACCCAGTAGCCATCCTTTCTGTTGTCTTCAATGACAGCAAGGCCGAATTCGGGCACTGGAAGATCGATAGACGCCATGATATTTTCTTGAAAATTCAAGTAAAGATGGAAAAGCTTGAGGTTGATGAGCTGCTAGGTCTCCCTCCTAGGAACCACAGCCATGCAGCAAGTTTTATACTACCCGCCCCAGTTTGACTTATCCTAGAGGTATTATTCATGAAATTCACCTTCCCGTAGCAATGGCTGCTCGGTGTCGACAGCAACGCCGTAAAATTCTTCATCCCCGCAGACCGGATCCAGAAGGAGTTGAATCAGTCTCACCATGTTGGCTTGCCGGCAGATGATGTCTTGGCTCAGCTTTCCCGCATGGCGAACAGTCGGGCGGGGTATCTGGCATGCTAACGCCCGAAGCAAGCACCGCTAAGTTCGAGACATCAACGCGGCCGAATGTTGTGTCTAGGATAGACTCGATTCTGGGGTATGATCAGCGGATGATGGAACGATCAGGGTCTGGTGGAGATTGCATGGTGCCGGGCTCGGAATTCTCGGCGAGGTTGAGAACTTGAGACTTGGGAGTGGCACCAGGCAGCGCGCAGCACGGTGAAGGTTGTCCAATTTCATGGTTAACTTTGAGGCTAAGACTGGAACATTTCTTGCACGAGCGCCCATTATTTTTTTTAAAAGATGGTCTGATCTTTGAGGAGGGCTACGAATGAGTTTTCGACTAGCTGAGCGGCTGAAGTAGTGGTAGGTACTCATATTGCATGCAGACTTTTGTCTCAGCTTCATCTGCGCCTCTATTTTGAATTAAATCTCCAGCCTTGTTGGGTACTTTCATAGATCTAATCAGCGAATAGCGTCGACGCGCGTTCAGCCTGTGCAAGATCGGGCTGGGTTTGCGGGGTCCTTGATCGGTACCTGGACGCCAGCGTTGTTTCTAGATTCTTGCGTTCCCGTCTCCATAGTCAGACAAGATTCGGTCCAATGGTTGCCAAGTAAGAGAGACATTTATCTCAAAGGAATTAGTCCCCGAGGCGGCCCGCGGTCCCGCCCCGCATTCGGGGATTTTGGAATGACAGGAGTTCAACGTACGAGACTACATTTGCGGGGTTAAGACCTTGGAGGCACTGTTCTCGTTGAGAGACAGCAACAGTTCACGATATGCCTGTGACACTGACGAATGCATAACGGTTAAATCCCTCATCTGAATCGTCAACTATCCTGTAATGGAAGACTCGGCTTGACAAACTGAGTACCATACTTGAAGATCGTCCTGTGATGGCCACTTAACCGAGCGCGTCTCACTGGAAAGGGAATGATTCTGTTTCTCATTAGATGTTCATACGCCACTATTTCAGGAAAGTTCAGTGAGATGAAACCTGGATTATCATCTCAACATTATCAAGGAATGAAAACGGCAGAAACGGAAAGGAAATGACCATCCTGCCAAGTATCGATCGCAATGCATGGAATCCCTTTGTTTCTGGCTCAAGGGATCTTGTCTTCGGCTGTGTTTTTGCTTCTTTACTATGACCAACAAGTATCTTTTAAGCAAACCACCATATAAGTAGTTAGCTATGAACCCGAATGACGGAAATCATCAAAGCTCCATCAATGTGCTCCTCTTGAGTCTCGCTTCCCACTATCTTCACTTAATACCTCGTGGAAACACGTAGTTACATCCTAATTATAATTTTCAAAATGGGAGGTGGAGACGTCTCAGCTACCAAACTTCGGGATCACTTCATCTTCAAGAAGGCCGACGACTTCTTCCAGGATGAGATTGATGGCCAGGGCTCTGGCATCAAGCAGCCTAAGTCTGTATCCTACAGCGATGCCGACCAAAAGCTCCCCGATGGCAAGCTCAACCCAGCCTGCAGCCATGGAAGAATCTTTAGATTCAACGATGGATCCTTGCTTCTTGTCCAGTTCTTGAGGCCAAGAGTTTGGAGAATTCGCTTTGATCCGCACAACATAGAGCCATCTCACTTTTCTGACTACAACACGTAAGTCCCCTACTGGTAACCTTATTATTGGACCTTTTGCCCGCAGAGAGGATTTCCCCTAACCGTACCTTGCAGCCGTACTCTCATCCGAGATACCACCACCGAGCTGATTGGCATCTTGGACAAGTGCGAAGAACTCGTGTGGCAGGTCGAGCTGATTGAAGATGATCAATACTACATCTTGCAGTCGGTCGTTCAGCGGACTCCCAACGCAGCCCCTGAGAAAGAAGTCCAGCTTTGGATTTCTCGCAACCCTTTCCAAATCACTGCAGTTCGCCTTCTGAAGAGTCTTGCTCCCGCTGAGGCGAGACCTGTTCCGCAGACGTTTGAAAAGGATGTGGTCGAAAGCCTCACTCTGCCTGAGAACGAAGGCTTCCGCCCTGCTGTGATCTGGAAGACCAAGCCCCGTGGTCTGCTCTATGGCGAGCATTCTGCTATCTTGTGCCTCGACAAGTCCATCACGGCTGATTACATGGGCTTTGGTGAGCAAGGTGGCAAAGATCTGTTCAAGAAAAAGACGTACATGAACTACTTCAGTAAGTCCACTGAACCTCTTGAGGAGACTTCCACGCCTCAGTGCATCCTGTAAGGTAGCTAACGATGATATCCAGACTTTGACAATATGAGGTACCAGAACGTCTACGGTGTCGGTCCCTTGGATGATCGTGAGCCTCTCTATCACTCGGAACCGTACTGGATTGAAGTGGACGCACAACCGGGCTACCAAACCCAGATCGGAACCTTCATCGATAACTACTCCCAGATCTGTGTGGACATTGGCATGAAGGACCCAACCCAGCTCCGTGTGGCGACGCGTTTCAACAGTTTCCAGGGCATCTTCTTCGCCGGAGACAGCATTCAAGAAGTCATTCAGCTATACACCTCCGTCGTCGGCAAGCCGAAGCTCAAGCCCCGATACGTCCTGGGTTACCACCAGGGGTGTTACGGCTACGATACGCAGGAGATGGTCCTGGACGCTGTCCATCGATACCGCAAGGAGAACTTCCCGATTGACGGTATGCACATTGATGTCGACATGCAGGATGACTACCGCACCTTCACCATCGACAAGCGCCCGGGCCACTTCCCCAACCCGGAGTGGATGTTCTCCGAGCTGCGCAGGCTCGGTGTTAAGTGCAGCACCAACATCACGCCATACATCAGCAACGTTCCCTCTAGCTCCTACGATACCCTCAATGAAGGCCTCAAGAATCAATACTTCCTCAAGGATGAGCGAGAGCTGGATCCTTCGGCCCCTGGCGCCCTCGAGCAGCGGTACATCCAGTACGGCACCAGCAACCTCTACTTCACCAACCCCAACACGGACAAGCCCGACTACTGGGATGGAGACGACTACACCTTCTCCAACAACTTCAACAAGAGTGTTCCCTTCCACGGAGGCGTCTACTACGGCTGGAAGAACGGCCACCCTGGACACTATCCCAACTTGAACAGCAAGGCCGTTCGCTACTGGTGGGGCAAGCAGTACGAGTACCTCTTCGAAACCGGTCTTGACTTTGTCTGGCAGGACATGACCCAGCCCTGTATCGCAGAGCAATATGGCGACATGAAGTCGTAAGTTAAAATACCCCATAATTTCAATGACTTCCTTCTGATCCGTTTCTGCCTTCAAAGTCTGCCCTTCCGCTTGCTCTTGGACTCCGATGGTTGGTCCGGCGACCCCAAGGCCGCCGACAAGAAGAAGGCCATTGAGATCTGGTCCTTGTACAGCTACAACCTGCACAAAGCCACCTACCACGGCCTCAACCACTTGCACATGAAGACCAAGGATAAAAAGAACGACAAGCTCGCGTGGCGCGAGAACCGACGCAACTTTATCATCGGACGCGGCAGCTTCGCCGGTAGTCACCGCTTCGCTGGACTCTGGACCGGTGACAACTCGTCCACCTGGGAGTTCCTTCGCATCTCTGTTGCGCAGGTCCTCGCTCTGGGATTATCTGGTGTCACCATCTCTGGTGCTGATGTCGGTGGATTCGAGTTCATCGATTCTGAGAAGAACTACCCTAACCCCGAGCTGATCATTCGCTGGTACGGAGCCTACTCGCTTCTGCCCTGGTTCCGGTAAGTCTTTGTCTACGATCCCGGTTCGTTATGTCTGCTAATGTCTTCAGAAACCACTACACGAGGTTCCGAACATGGATCGACGGCCCCAACCAGGGCAAGATGAGGAAGGACGGCAAGTGGTTCCAAGAGCCGTACGCCTATCAGCTGCACTACGAGCAACACAAGGATCAATTCCAAGGTCGCGAGGCCGAGATTTACAGAGCAGTCTTGCCGACTTGCCGCTACTTGATCCGCCTTCGCTACTCGCTCATGCAGTTGCTCTACGATGCCATGTTTGAGAACATGATCAACGGTCTACCGATTGCTAGAGCCATGGTGAGTACCCGTCATTAGGATCACGCCCTACTAGGTACCAGGAATAACGTGTAACCTATAGCCCGTCACCGACCATCTCGACCGCTCTCTGTTCAGCGACGATGTATGTTACCTTCTGGAGTCTTGCCTCGTGATTGCCACCTGCTAACGCCTTTGAAGAACCGTCGCTTCACCAGCTCCCAGTACATGGTCCGAAAGGATCTCCTGGTCGCCCCCGCCCTTGTCGCGGATGATGCGCGCAAGAAGAAGTCGAGAAAGGTCTACCTGCCGTACCCCGACTCCTGGTACCCCTTGAACCTGCGACCCGACGATCCTCTCGGCGTCCCTCTCAGCCCCGCCGCCTCTGGTGGCCAGCGCATCGAGTACGACTGCCGAATTTCGGACGACGACCGTCAACTCCCGTACTCGACTCCTATGTACGTCCGTGAAGGTCAGTATTTGTCGCCTCTTCCTCAACCTCTCTAGAGGGGATAATTTGACTAACAAGCAATTCAGGTGCCATCATCCCCAAGGTCGGCGTCAGGGACTACGTTGCTGATCCCAGCACGACCCCTCAAAACGCCAACCCCATCACCATCCACGTCTACCCCGGAAAGGACAACGTAAGCGCTGGGAATTCCTGCCACTTTCACCACTTTTTCTAATCAATTTTGTCTGCAGATCTACGACATGTACCTTGACGACGGCATCTCCAGGGACAGCGCGCCAAAGAACTCCACGCTGGAGACCGCCGTTGGCGTGCGGCCTTGGTACGGCGAGGCCCACCACTACGACGGTCTTGCCGATTCACAGGCCAACGACAACTACACAAAGGTCCAGATCAAGCAGGTATGTCACATCCACCTAGTAGTTCCGTCGCCCTACATAAGAGACAGAATCATTACCATCTTGGGAATGACATACTGACGATACCGCAGTTCACTCAGAAGAGACTCTCCGACCAAGAGGACTACGGAAAGTACACCCGAAGACTCACAGCCAACGCTCCTCATGACAAGTTTGGCGCCGAGGCCTCCAAGTACATTGGCACAGACTACACCTTTGTCTTCTGGCACCGCGGAGAGAGCAACCTGGACTCCATCAAGGTGTATGTCAAGGGCGCGGACCTCCATTACGATGTCAACCACGGCGTCAGAGCGACCATTGTTACCGTTCCCATTTCTGCGGTTCACTCGGAGAACGGAGTCGAGATTACGTTGGAGTTTGACGGTGACTTTTAAGGGCTCTGCCAGCTGGTTCTCGGGGGTTGGCTTGAGGGCTTGAGCAAGATCATGCCGAGTTTGCTAGGTTGCTCGAAAGTTTCATGTTCTCCGTAGTCATCAGTTGTACTCTTCGTACCAGTAGTTGCGCCCCATGATGAGATTATTCACAACCTGTCGTCCACACTTTTTGCAGTCCTGTATTGTGTCGTCTTGTAGATGAGGCTGCCGCTATGTGCTCTCGGGAACTTGACAGGATGTAAGGTAGACTGTAGCGAAAAATGAGCGGTTCAAGTCTTTAACTTCACACGTAGTTAAGCCCTTCAAGGTACGTTCAGCTCAAATAGAGCTGAACGGTAGCAAACCAATAAGTAGTACAGACTCATTATCAACACACTAGAAAGACTGAAACCTATGCCAGTCGGAGAACTCAATTTTCAGACGTCTAAACCCCTATCGTCAAAACCTGCCGTAACGAAAGTTTGTTCTTCATGACCACTTGTCTCGTAAAACGCCAGACCAAACCATCTTTCTAGCACCGCCGTAAATTTCATTCATCGTAAAGTATCATCAGAGGGATTTGAAGGGAGGGTACAGAAGGTGTCGACACAATTGCTCAGGAAGGGGCATGAATGCCGTGGAAGCCAATACCAACAGCAAACTCGCACTCTGCCCTACCGAGCTCCGTCATGGTCCTGGCGTCGAGGCACAAAACGTAACTCGTCTGCGCGGTGCCGTCCAGTACGACACTCAGAATCACGCCGTCATCTTCAGCCATCTGTCCATCGGGACCATCGGCACCGCCAGCGGAAGAGGGCCGTGGAACAAAGATTGGCTCGCCGGGCGTGTGGGCCGTGGGACACTCCCACATGAGGGCCTCGGCAGTATCGGCGTCGGTTTTGACGATTGTGTCGAGCAGGGTGCTAAGGCCGCGGTCCGAGAGGCTGTAGACGTAGCGATGGCGTTTGGTCAGGTGAGCAGGGTTGATTGTGGGGAGTTCGCCGGCGTGCGGGGCCGGGATCGAGGCAACGAGCTCTGGTGGTGGTGCCGTTGTGATTGTTGCTGTCTTGGCTGCTTGTGAGCCGTCGGGTTTGGGGATTCTAAATTTGAAGCGCTGGAGGCTGGCGTAGCCATTCTTGTAGCGATTGTTCTCGTCTGTCCAAAACTTCTCGCCGGCAGAGTTACGGTTCATGATGACGTCATAGTAGAGATTATAGAGGATGTTGAGGTTTTGGTAACCTGATATCTCGCAGTAGACGTCAAGGATGCCGTGGCTTCCGTCGGCCGCCGGCTCCTCAAAGGCGTTTGTGGCATGGAAGAAGAAGCCCGCGGGGGTGTTGAACGAGGCGACGACGCCATTTCCGTGGTGGCGGTCGATAAAGTACCATTTACACGTGTTGTTCTTGTCGAATGGCACAATGGCGTCTAGAATGTTGCGTTCCCAGGGGACAGAGAGTCCTCTGTAGCCCAAGTGCGACGAGGGGATGCAGAGCACGACAAACGACTCTGTAAGAAAGAAACTGTGGATGTAGGCTGGCTTCGCGTCGGGCCCGGCAATGGTTGCGAGAATCTCCGTCTCGCCCGTTGCAAAGCTGGTGCGGAAGATGCGGTAGGTCGACTTCATAGCGAAGGCAAGATTGAAGTTGTACATGTCGCCCGTGACCGGGTCGCGCTGGGCGTGGGCGCAGGACATGGGACCGGAGAGAGAGGGATGAAGTTTGTCTTGCTTGGCGAGGCCGATGGGTTCTAGGGTCGCCGGGTCGATTTCCATGAGAGGACTCGAGTCTGTTGATAGCCAGAGACTTCGGACGGCATTGCGGTGGCCTGGCCCCGCGGGGCCTTGGTCTTTCGTGTCGAAGCCGGGGACGTTTGCGTTGACGGCAACGCAGATGTTGGGGGCAGTGCCGCGGGCAAATACGCCCATGAACTTGCCAAACATCCCAACACAGGGATCGGCTTTTTGGCCAAAGGTGTAGCGGTTCTGATGGCCTGCGGCCTTGATGGAGGCGACTAGGTCGTCGGATTGCCGTCTGGAGGAGTAGAGCACGCGGGTCCGGCCACCTGGGGATTCAGGGGGAATGATGTCGAACTTGTGCGTCTGCGCGAAGCCGTCGAACCAGTGGGAAACATAGTAGGTGCCCTTGGGTGTGTCTTCAATCTTGCAGCTGCCCGGGCCCGTTCGGTAGAGGGCGCCGGCGGCCCAGGCTGGGATCTGGCCTTGAACGTGCAGTTCGATGGGGCCGCGTTCCTCGGTGAGGCCATCAAACTAGTTGTGTCAGTGAACATGTTGGGGGAGATTTGTGTGAGACAAGGAGAACTCACGCCTGCTTCATTTGGCCATTCGTCGTAGGGCGCTCTGAGACGGTTCTCCTCGAACATTTGTAGGTCTGCAGCCTCATCTTTGGCGGTGCGCCTGACGGTTCTGGCTGGGATCTTGGTGTTGGCGGACATTGTGATGGAGGAGGTTGTGGACGTCTTGGTTGTAGTTGCGGTGGCCATTTTTAGAAGTTATCTATGCAAACGAATATGAAGGGGTAGCGATTTCGTGGTGCTGGGTTTGCGGCGTAGTGTGTGCCGTCTAAAGTGCAAGGTCAGTGACATTTGCAAGTTGGTCAATGAGGTGGAGATGGGCACGAGGTAAGATAGGCGGTAGAGAAGTGAGTGTTTTTCATTCATGAATGCTGTATGAACAGCAAGCATAGAGTAAAAGGTGCCCAAGGTGAGGTAAACACAAGAAGGCTGCCGCGTGAACTGGCGGGTGTCAACCTACGCTATCTTTGAGCCGGTGTTTGCTAGCGTCCGGATCGGTGCAAGTGGCCGGTAAAGCTCGGTGTGTCGGTGAGGTAGGGCGTTTGTCGGTAGAGTCGGTGAGCTGTGAAAGGAGTGTAGAATCCGCTATGCAAAAGAAGGACAGCCTTTTGGCCCCCAGGAAGAAGAAGCAAGTATTGTTGGTTGGCAGCGTCTAATGACCCATGTCAGAGAGGCAGCACAGATGAGAAAGAGGGAAGAGGACGGCGATCTTTTTAAGTATGGTAGGTGGGATGCATATGTATGTCGACGGGCCATGGGATGGGCCTGCTTACATGAAGGTGTTGCTGCGCAGCATGTGAGGCGATGTACAAGTATTAGGCGCCAGGAGCATTCATCAAACGGGATGAATGAAGCGGTGCCGCATGAGTATGTGAGATGTATCTCAGTACTCCGTCAACGTAGACAGGTAGCTGTCAGTAAGGACGAGATGGAAGAGACAAGCTGAGTGGTGCGAGAGCGAGACGGCTATTGTTGCGGGAGGCGAGTAATTATCGGCCGGGGGCACAGAAGTGCGGTGAAAAGCGTTACGGACGTAGGAGCGGGTGGTTGTTCGGTTAGTGGATGAGGGGGGTGTGGATGAGAGTGAATGAGAAACTTTTCGTCGTCAATGGTCGATCAAGAGCTCTTTACCCGGCGTGTTGGTGAGATGGGACGGGGATTGAGATACCCATGCACCACTAACCATGCAACGAAGACGAGATTCCGAGTAGCGGTAGCGAAGAATGCAGATTGAGGAATCTCAGATCCCGATCAGATAGCTAGTCAAAAGAAGAAAAGCAACGTGATTGCGATGGCTCGGTACCTTGAGCCTTCAGGTCCGGCGAAACGGAGGCGTGAAGAAGAAGGGGGTTCACTCTCACTCCCAGGACAACTTGACAAGGTAGTAGAATTCTCATGCAAGCCGTTTTGGAGGAGGCGGCGCGGGCGAGACGGTACGGCCGTAGCAGGGCGGACGATGGTCAATGTCCGCGGCACCAAGAAGAGCCTATTGATGCGGGCTTTTTACCGAATCCAGACAGCTTCCAGATTGAGGAAGAGAACCATCCTTTGAAGTTGCAAGCCAGGGAGGGTCTGGGTGATTCCCGAAGATTGTATTGGTGGTGTTGGCGTTGGCGACGGTAAGACTGAGTACGGATGAGAGTGGTGTGGTTGTTGTGTGCTCGGGTGTGGCACAAGCGGCCAAGTAAGTAACGTTTAATGGCGGTGGGTGTTGGTATTGTGTGTGAGCAAAGCGGAAGTGGGAGCGGGAACGGCTTGTTAAAGTGATTGAGCTGTCGACTGTCTTTGGTTTTTTCCTTCTTTTCTTCCTGTTTCTCGTCGGCCCGAGCAGATAGGTATTGTAGAGACAGACGCATGAAGAAGTGAGCGGGTGGTTCATGTCATCATTGATTCGGATAGCGGTACCAACGGCGCAATTGCAGAAGGCCGAGGGTCCCGCTGCATCTGCCGTGGCGTCGTCATCGAAAAAGTGTCAATTTTGGCCCTGCCACAGACAGCATCTGTCAAGCTGTCAGTTACTTCGCACCCAGAGGTAGTCGACGCGTGCAACGAGCCTTTCCCTCTTCATTCCTCAGTCAGCCACACCCGAAACCCCAAAAGCCAAGGTAAAAAAGATCTGACCGACGTTTAGGCCCCTGGCCATGGGGATGGACCGGGCATAGAGCTGCTGAAGAAGCTTATGTAAGGCCTCAGCTCGGAATGTCAAGTTCCATCGCGTACGGAGAAGATGCTAGTGCGTGCATGTTGATGTCATGTCGGAGCGTGGAGACTTTTTTGTTTTATTTTTGTGAGAGGTGCGATCGATGCAACGTGATCATGAAATGATAACCGACTACCGATATCAGACCGCATTCGCCCAACGTCAGATGAGACTCATGCGATGGAAGATCAATGTCTCTGTCAAATCTCGCGTTTTCTGTGTGCGGCGTGCCCACGTCGGACGACACACATCAGGCAATGGAGCCTCTTTGTTTGTTTCGTTTCAATTCACTTCGTTAATCGGTGATTCGGAAAGATGTGAGCGAACCTCTCAGCCGGGATTGCTCCATCGTGTTTTCTTCTTCTCCTTTTGAGTTCTCCTTGTTGGTTGGTTGGTTGGTCGGTCGATTGGCGGCGGCTGGCTCTGGTGAGAGGTGTCGGTCTGGGCGGGGCGCTGCAGTCTGGAAGATTCAGGTGGATCAAACAAGGTGAGGTACGTACCTCAAAGGGAGGGGGGGGGGGGGGGGACCTGAGGTGGAAGAACATCGGGAACAGCAGCGACTCACGGCGGCGGATTAAGCGAGGAACTCCACTCGGCCGGCGGGACCTGGAGTTACCCAATCCCCGCTCCGTGCCTCAGGTCTCCCCTGTAAATGGAAGTACCTGGATACACAGTATGTTCCCGGTCCATTATTCCTCCCGTCTCCACTGTCAACAGGTACCGTGGTACGTACAGCCCACCTAAGGGGACTCCTTCAACTGCCCTGCTCCCACGTTCACTTGTTCACTTGTTCCCTCAACAGATATCTGGTCAACGTCAGATGTTTCGCTCTAATGCAATGCCCGACTGCATTTAGAGCACGATCACTGCTAGATTACGTGGTTTCTACAACAGCAGCAGCTTGACATCCAACGTCATGTACTTGAGAAACTACGCCTCTGATGCAGCAGCAACGGCTTCCGACCCGATGGCGGCATGGCGGCCCCACATGAGCTCCGGCTCTATCCCACACCACCTCCGTCAGCGGCAGCCGTAGCCAATGGCCCTGCATGGCTTGCCTTAGCCGTGGCTACTGTGTTAACGCCATGTACAAAAAGCCACATATATCATCTACCTACCCAAGGAGCCGAGGTAGCTAGCTATCCGTGCCTAAGGTACGGTACTTATCTGTTCTCTCATCGCATGGAACTGAGACAAGCCTCGTCACACGGCTGGCCACGTCTTGTCGTCGAACACGGGCCATTGCGGCCTACCGCATACTGACAGGTTTGCCAACATCATGTCAGCAGTGTCTGGTCACTGGTTTACAATCCCGTGTGGGTCCTCCCTTTCTTTCCGCCGAGCGCGGGAAGCCTGCGGAATCAATCAATCATGTATCGACCTAGATTGCGCCTCTGATAGGGACGCCCACGTCGTCCAACGTCTGCCGCTACCTTACACAGCACTGACGGTCCCACTAATTCCTCAGCAGCACGATATCACGTTCAGGTACATACTTCAGTGTGATGGGACGGTACTCGGTAGTGCTATCCTGCCGCTTTACACTTAACCAATACGCGGATGAATTGCTTCTTTTTCACCAGTAAGGGGTCGAAGCTTGATTTCGTTTTAGCAGACTTGACCAGAAACTCCATCATCCTAGACCTTCTTCTCGATACTGTCAACATGCCAGACTCGCCTTTTTGCCCTCTTCCGAAAGTGTTCGCTTCTTCTATCAATGTCACTTGTCCTTCTCTGGACCCTAGTGTCTGCGTTAAGTCATTCTTTAGGCAACGGAGTCGCTCAACTCGCGGCTAGCGTCTTTCTCTTGCGGTCTTGGCGGCTTCGCCCCTGACGCACCAGCTTTCTGAAGACATGATAGACTCCCTCAATACCCCTTACGTGTGGGCAAAGTCCACTCAAAGATCTGCAAGACTCCGTACGCGAAACGGATCAAGTGGCGCTTCGCAATGCCACCCCTCAAAGTTTGTTTATGGTGAATCCAGATACAGATACGATCTGGCTGCTTTGTCCCAGTAATAACACAGGATTAGGGCTGGTGAATTTTCTGATCGACTTATACTAATCTCAAGTTTAGTCCTGCCCATGTGGGCTCAACTAGATTCTTCGTTTCCGAGACTGGACTTCTCCTGCAACTGAGTGCTGTAAGAAGCGTTGCAATGGAAAAGCTCCTTTTACCAAGAACTCTCCAAGACAGTCCTTCACTCTTTCAGTCACGCCACAGTAAAAAATAAAAAAAGTATGACCCATACTTCTTTGGAGTGCCAACCCACTGCACCAAGAATTTTCTATTAACGACGGGGCGTATAGGGAGGTTCGAATTTGCACTCGAGTTTTTGTATTCCACTCCCCCTTCCTCGCACAGGTAATGTGAATAAGTTTTCGGTAAGTCACACAACTCTGGGCACAAGCTCTACTTCTTCCAAGTCTCGTCTGAGTGAAAAGGGCGCTGTCAGAAACAACGTCTCACTCCATCCTCCCTAAATGCTTCCGTCACCGGCCATTCCATCGAGAAATCTGAACAGGGCCCTCGAGAATCGTTCGCTCCAGCGTAGTCCAGCTCATCAAGCGGACCCCCTAAGCAACTCTCTCGCACTGCCCTCGATCAGCCGAAAAGCCGCGTTCGGCAGCAAATCCTTGCACCTGGGACACATGGGTTCTTTTCTCCTCAGACTGCTCTCCGTCAGCTTCTGAAATAGACATCGTTTCCCAACAAAGCATTTGCACTTCTTCATCCGCACGATCGGCTCTCCGCGGTGGGTGCCGCGGACGCCGTGGTCAAAAGGCTTGAACATGGCACCCGGCGAGTGATCGTAGTATTTCTTATTGCAGACGAGGCACTCGAGGCGCGCCGGCCCCTCCCAGTCGCTTACGTCCTCCGCTACGGAATCGATCAGGGTGCGCCTCGCCTTGTAGGAGATGACTTCCGAGTTCCACTCCTGGCGGCGGTCGTGGTAGTACTTTTGGATCAGCTGGACAAAGTACATGAACGGCTTGTGCGGCAATGATGCGTTGTCGGTCGAGCTTGCAATCTCGGCGAGCTTGTCCAACCCTGGAACGGTCGACGGGCCGCGAAACACGAGGGGCTTGATGATGCTGCAGAGCACCGTCACCGCGAGGGCGAACCGGCTGTTGGAGATGCCGTTATCGTGCAAGAGAACTTCCGCCATGAACTTGACCAGGTTGGCGCGCCTCGACATGGAGGTCGCCTCCAGGGTATGCGCATCAGTCCACCCCGTGCCATACTCTGCGTTTAGCAAAATCAGAGCCGAAGACGCCTGCATGTGGTTGCGGATATTCTCCTCCAACGTCTTGCGACGGCTTTTGACAAGGTAATTCGAGAACAGAGGCTGGTGGGAAAGTCCGTTCTTGAAGTATAGCTTCTGCGCTTGACAGAAGCCGGAGAGCACGGTATGGCGCAATCTGAACAGGTTCTGCATGGCAGGGTTCTGTATGCGAGGATCCGACTCGGCCTTCTCCCCGGCCATATCTGTGAGGTACTTGCGGGCCGCCGAGGCCGGGTTGTAGTAAAACGACAGCGGGCCGTTCGCCTCACAGGAGCACGCGCCGACGCGGTGGTCGTTCTCCTTGCACCGGCGCTCCATGAAGAAGGCCCGGAACCACGACTCGCTCATCTCCTCGTTCGTGACGTCGCTGGAAGGGAACCTGCTCCGGATCCAGAGCAGGACGGAGTGCGAGTACTCGGTCATGTAACTCTGGGCCCATGCGTTGTCCTGGACGTCGTTGCGGTGCCACTCGTCGTGCGAGGGTGTCACTCGGGGCACGGCGGGGGACTCGCCCGAGCAGCCGGGGCACATGTAGGAGTAATAGCTGGTGCGGTTCTCCCATTGCTGGGCCGGGCAGGGGAAGATGTGCGAGCAGAGGATGTTGGCTATAACGCGGTGACGTCTCTTGGGGGCATTGGGACGCGGGCTGGCCGGGCAGTTGTAGAACTGCGAGTGTTTGATACACATGGGAGCGGTTGATGGCGGATGAAAGGATATGTAGTTGCTCGTCTTTGATGATTTGAAGCCCGCTTTCAAACTGGATGATGAGTAGACAACGATAAATATTCTGACGATTGCTCATCTTTGAAGCTTACACCCAGGTCTTTGTATGAATTCGAATGTCAGGCAAGAGGACATGTCCAAAGGGCGAGCAAATATCCAAATATATCCATCAAAGGCGAAAATGGAAACCACTGAGTTCCGAGAATTGCAGACCGCGCATTCAAAGATGCCGGAGCTCTTGACATAATTGACATCGCTTTGTGATATTTCCGACTGACAATGCTCTTCTCACAGTCGCCCGGAATCGGCGCCATTGTAGACTGGTAGACAAAGGACGCCGTTGATATTCAACGCTCTCAATTGAAGGACTGAGGGACATTTAACTGCGTTTGTAAGATAGCGAGACGGTTAAACATATACCATCAAGTCTTCATCTCGATCAAGACCGGCGCTTGAGAGGGTGCCTTAACTGATGGGAGCGTTGAGAGGACTTGTGGTGTATCTTGGTCTATGAAACCCACCTCGCACGTCAGTGGCCCCTTCAAGTCCTTATGAAGTAGAAAGCCACAGGATAGATCTCTAAGCGGGATAGATCTCTAAGAGGGGAAGGCTTGTAGGCGGGCAAACGTGCGCTACTGTCTCTCTTTGTCATTCATGAAATCGACTATCGAGTGTTTAGAGGTCTACCTAAGGAGCCCGAGGGCCATACGGTCTCCGGGCAGCCTTGTTTAATCACGACATCGACATGAGAAATCTACTACGATTGGCGGCTTAAATCCAGCGTATTCTGCGCTTCGAAATTCGACAAATAGTTTGGTTCTGCATCGACGCGGCACAGTAAGCGAAGTAAGCCCCAACATCGACCTCCGACCGACGGTCTGGAATGGCGGCATAGTGGAAAGGCCCGAAGGCCTTCTTTAAAGATCCCGCGACAACAGATCGATGGTTCTAAGTTTCTAGTGATTCTAGCCTATGGATTTATCATAGTCGCCAAGTTTGCGTCTCATCGCCTTTAGCATTTGCAGTGGCATAGTACAGCATCTTCAAGATGTCCTCTCAACGCCCCCAATAAATCCCGCACGATCAAGTTTGCAGTCTAGGATTGATAATAGTGTTTGCTTCGAGATACAGGGATATACCCTAAGCGAAAACGAATGGTTTGCCAAGACCTTCGTCGTTGAGGTCTACTCCTTACGTGGGCCGCGATCCTGTTGCTCGAGCCAACGTCGATGCATGCGGTGCCAACCGCGATCGAAAATCGCCGATGTATCCTTGTCCGAGATCGTGTCTTTTTTTGAGATGATTTGGCGCCTTATGCTGCGTTATAATGTGCGAGATCCGAGATACTGAGACGGCCAGATGGCGAGGGTACCAGGTGTCGACATGTTGGATCCCACCGTACTCCATTTACAACCTAACGTCAAGCTGCAAGTGATGAGGCTCTTCGACCCGACGAAGGGGGAACCATTACTACTGGTGATACATCGTTCAGCTGCTACAGACATTGATGAACCTAATATATATGTACGATATCGATTCTGCTCAAGTCACTGTCGGCCCCCCAATCTTCCCTCGCAGCTCGCTCTCAGTTTAGAATTTGGCGTGGCGCTGGTCCCAAAGCAGAACGCTTGTTTGGCCACGACCAACAGGTATTTTCACCACATGAGATTGTTTGCCCGCGCCACTCACACAACCATGCGTCTCTGACGAGCCTCCTGCTTTCTTCGGTCGTTGGACAACTCGCAGGGGGGCGGAGGAGGAGACACGATCCCTTGCGTTCGGCGAAAGTCCATGTTCCTTGTCCTCCATCGCCGAATGACCTTCATATAGGAACGCCAAACTTCCCAAGCCGTAACACGATGAAGCCTGAGTCTGCATCCCTCTGATCTACATTTCTGTCCTTTCCATTCTTCTCCCTCCGAAAGACAAAAGGCCGGGAATGGTGGCGTTTTCAGACACTACCAGTTCCCCCTCGCCACGTTGTACCATCGTAGGGAACCTGGTGATATCAGCTTGCATCCCCTCGACAATGTCCCAACCGCACGCCGACCCCGACGCACCGCTCTTCGGCGTCGCCCACAACGTCTCCCGTACGGCCCTCACAGCCTTCACATGGGCCAACGTCGCCACCTCGTACATCTTTCTCTCCCTCCGCCTCCTCGTCCGCTGGCGCCGGAACCGGCACCTCCTGCGCGACGACTTCTGGATGGTCTTTGCCTGGCTGTGCCTCCTGACCATGGCGATCCTCCAGATGCAGCAGATGGACTCGCTGTGGTACATCGTGGAGCTCAAGGCGGGCAGGTTCCTCCCCGCGTCCAAGGGGGAGGCGGACTCGCAGCTGGAGCAGTGGCTGCGCTGGTCGTATGCGCTCACGTACCTCTTCTGGACCGGGTTGTTTGCGGTGAAGGCGAGTTTTCTGAATGTGTTTTTCAGACTCGTCAGTCCCATCCCATGGCTGCGCAAGGTGTGGTATGGGACGGCCGTGTTTTGTCTCCTTGCGTATGCTGGGGGATGGCTCTCGGGGTCGCTCGTGTGCGATACTCCGTCTGACTACTTTCGAGCAGGTAAGTCTGTTTGGTTGGCCCTTTACTCTTGGAACCCCCGGCGGGAAATTTTGCGTCTGATTTGTGTATGTACTAGGAAAATGCCTCTCCCCAAAGGAAGTCTACTTTTACCGCTTCTCCATCTTCTTCGCAACAGCAGCCGACGTCTTCACAGACCTGCTCATCATGAGCCTACCCATCGCCGTCCTCCCCTCCCTCCAACTCGACTTCAAGAAAAAGCTTGGTCTCGGGGTAGCCTTTTGCCTGGCCCTCATCACAATCCTCACGGCCATCGTCCGCATGACGCAGGTGCTCAAGGGCGAGACGATGGACATGGTTGGCCTGGCCGTGTGGAGTCTCACCGAGCTCGGCACCGCCATCATCGTGGGATCGCTGCCGCCACTGAAGGCTCTCTTGACGCATGGGATGAGTAAGTACAACGGGAGCAAGACGAACCGCAACAAGTCGTACATCAACTGCAGAGGCGAGCCCGGTAACGGCTACGGCCCGAATAACACTTCCCGGTCCGTCATGGTTGCCGAGTCGATCCCGTTGGATGATAGGCATAGGAGCGAGCAGTTTGATGGAGGGATATACATTCAAAAGACATGCGAGGTTCGCGTCGAGGGTGTTTCGAAGAGAACGAATGATGAGGAAGAGGCGGTTGTAACTAAGAGTTTTGCTGCTTGTAGACCTCCATAGACATCAAGAAATTCTCTGCTGAGACTATGGAAAAGATGGTCCAGCTTGGCTTTATACGAGAGGATCTGGGCCAGTACTAAGCTTACATTGGACCTTGGACCACGGTAGGCCAGGGATAAGAATCGAGTCCCATCCCGGATCATTGCATCATGTATTCTTTAGAACACCATAGATCATTGACATGTAAAATGACTAGAAATTATAGTTATGTCGATGCATCATTCTGTAATGCTGATTGTAGCTCTGTGTAGATAATATTGAGCCTTTCATGAGAACGCCCGGTCGATCGTCAGCCCGTCTCAATCTCGACTTGCTGCCCGGCTTGTGTAACAAAAAAAACATGAATTTGAAAAAAGTGCGAATGCAGACGCGGTGTAAAGCAGTAGGGTATCTCCAGCTCCTGTCCTCAACTATGCCCAGGTTCTCTCAACGCCATTTGTGGTTGTTTGTATACCCAAGAAAATTCAACAAAAGAAATGAAGGATAGCGCCCGTATCCCTGAAATGTAGCAGGCCATGCTCATGCCAAGCCACGTAGCTACGGCCCTCTTCTGGCCTCACTCTTCCAATACCTCTCGCAGTGCATCGACGTCCACTTGGTCGGGCAACACCTTGCTCGGAGGGCCGCGACGCTGATGAGCCGCCAGGTATTCTTGGAAACCTGGTATAGCACCGGCTTGATTGATGCCCGGCGGCCTGAGGAACTCCTTTTCCTTCTGTTTCTCTTTCCCGCTGCGTTGCGCTGGTGTCGGTGTGGGCGGTGCCTGCGTAGGTGTTGTGGCTCGGCCCGCTGCCACGCCAGTCCATGGCCTCCAGCTGACCCATCGACCTATTCCTCCAGAGTTTTGCGAACCTTGAGAGTGGGTGCTTGCTGGCGAAGCACTTCGGACCGGAGTGGAAACCATCCTCGACACCGGTCGCCCTGCCAGACTATCGCGAAGCAAGGCGTCACTCCTTCGATCGCTTCCTCTCGATATCGTCGACCGTGCCGTGACTCCAGTAAACACAGCATCGGCCCCACCCAGAGGACGAAGGGTTAATTGACTCGGTCGTACTTTGAGTGTGTGAATGTCCAATCCTCCCGACAACGACATGATTGACTCGTGGGAGACGGCACGGTGCAGACCCCTCCGGGGTAGTTCTTCATCCTTGGAGAATGAGATTTCTGTCTCGGTCTCGGTTTCTGTCTCTCCGTGATCCTCGTGGGAAGTCAGCAACCCGGGCACTTCCTCCCCGCTGTGATCCTCTCTCTCTTCCTCAATCGTAGACGAAATAGGCTGAGAGACATGTACTGTCGGGGCGGCTGGTGGCGCTGGCGAACCCAAGTTCAGGAACTTTGGAGGTACGGAGAAACTGCGAATCGACGCCTCGGAAGGGCGCTTGTGGTGAGAGACTTTCCATGTAGGCGACGTAGGATCTAGGCTGGTCGTCGGAGACATGGGTATGTCCGTCTCCAGCATTGGGCGGTCGAACATGGAAAGACGAGGGTTTGACTGGGGCGAACTTGGGACGGAAGACGGTGCGAATTCAGAGGGTTGCTCCGAGAAGACGGACCACCGATTTGAGGGCGGCATCGAAACTGTCGACGTTGATCCCGTGTGAAAATGCGAGGCCATAGGGGTCACTGGTGAAGGGCCTGGCCGCCACACGGCCGGAGGAGTGGAGGATCGCGAGACGCTGGCGGGAGAGAAGATTGCCGGGTTCAGGCTGTGGCGCTTCTTCTTCTTCTTGTTGTTCTTTTCGGCGACATGGTAGTGGTGGTGAATGTGGACTTGCTGAGAAATATTGTGCTGGGTCATCTCGCCCAATTCCGGCCCGATTTCAGCACGCAAGGTCGACGCAGCGCTGGCGTCTTCCTCCCCGATAGGTTGATGACACATGAGCTGGTCCCGCATGGCTTGTATTTCGTCGTTTGAGTTGAGAAGCATCTCTCGCAACTCAGCCATGCCCAGCTGCAGATTAGCATTGTCCTGCAGTAAATCTCGGACAAAGTGAGATACCACGTTGGTGGCGGGCTTCCCGTCGGTAAGCGACTTGGTGGCGGCAGCTCCCTTGAGGCGTCCAGCGGCAAGATTCAGTTCCTTTTCCATCTCACGCTGGCGCTCCACACGGCCCAAAACCTCGGCATGGCGTTCGCGCTCTTCCTTGGCCTCTTTTTCCATACGTTCCAGCTGTTCCTGAAGGTCAGAGATGCCCCTCTCGGCCTTTCTCCATCGCTGCATGGCGGAGCGGGCCTCGGACTCGGTGGTGATTAAGGTGTTTTGCAGTCGCAACTGCTCCTGTTCGAGAAGCGCAATATGCCTCTCCATCTCCGCAGCACGAGCTGCAGCGCCCTCGAGACGCCGCACTGCTTGGTGAGACGACAAAAGGGTAGCCTCAAGGGTTTGAATGCGAATATCTGAATCCTGAACCGTGTTGTTGAGCATTTCGAGCTGGTCTAGGAGGGTACGGTTCTCTTCGACGGTCCTCGCGTTCTCGGCCTGTAATTCCACCTTTTCGTTTTCCAACTGTTCTATGCGGCTCGTAAGGGACATGCGATCTCGTTCGGCATCGGCCATGTACGCCTCATGACGAGCAAGAAGGGCCTGGAGAGGGAAGGTCAGCGACATGGCGACATGTGCAGTACGAGAAGACGACGGTGCATTTGGCACGATTCGCAGTTCTGGCTGCGAAAGCAGAGTTTGCGGGCTGGAACGGTGCCGGGACTCCCCATCTTGAAGTAAATCACGGGAAATGAGGTGTTGGAATGTCTCGAGAGATTGGCACGGGCTTAGGAAGCGGTACGGATGGAATGTTTCGACGGACGAGGGAGAGAAGGGGAAAGCTAGAAAAAGAAGAGCGAGGTCGCACCTTGCCCAGCTTGGCGGCGGTATGGACATCCTTTTCGACGGTTTCGAGCACGGAGCAGCTATGCTTCAAATAAGCACAATCGTTGCGACCGCAGCAGCATCGCATTCTGGACCCCTCATCCGGGCTGGGAGCGGAAGTTTGGACGAAGTCTGCCATGGGATCGGCGTCGCGAGGACGGGCGTCATCGGTGTTGCGGATGGTGTCGGTGTAGTCGTCGGTGAAGTGGGTATCTACCGTGTATCGGTAGGCCGTGTTGTTCAGGTTGAGGTCTGCGTCTTGCTCTGGGTCTGCATCTGGATCCGGAGGTGTACGGGTCCCGAGTTCTGCCATCGTTATTGCGGCAGAGTCGTCACCACGGCGGACAGCATGCTGAGGGCCCTGAGGCGAAGGCACGGACGCTGGGATCGGGGCTCGGGGTGCCGGTCTGGGTCGAACTAGTCAGGCAGAGCTGAGCGAGAGCGGGGAGGACGAGGTTATCCGTAAAGGGACGATTAACGAGAGACTGCGAGAGAGGGGGTGTCTCTCTTTTTGTGAGTTGTGCGAGCCAGAGAAGACCGGTTTATGTTGGAGTTGTGACTCTGTGTGTGTGCGTATGTGGGTGGGTGCGTATCGTTGGCACTCTGTGCTGTGCTGTGCGATTCGTAGGTATTGTTATGGCCGGTGAGTTGGCGGCCGGTGACGCGATTGGGCTCTTGGAGGCCACCTGCAGCGAGGAGGGGACTGTATTTCCCAAGGTGTGATTGTTATCGCGATGGACGCCTAGGCGCGACTTGGACCGGTTCTTTGAGCTTTCTGACGGGGGTGACGGGTGTGGCAAGGGTGTCTCTGGTATCTTGGTGCCTCTTCACTGGAGAAGACTGGCCCTAGGTGCAGTAGACGGCCTGCAGCAGCACAGGGTGACAGGGGACAACCCAGACCAGCGGGGGTCGACTGCAGTTCCTTTTGAGAGCATGTGGTCCGAGCCGAGATTGGGCTCATATAAAAAATTGGAAGAAAAAAACAATCACCAAGAGGATGACTGACGGTGGAGGGTGGAATTCGTAGGCGTGTCGTAGTCGGTAGGTAGCTCTGAGGACGATGAAAGGCATCTGTTCGCGAGTCTCGATCGATCGAAGACGTACAGGACGTATAATCTATAGAGACCAGAGAAGGGAGAGACAAGATGACGACGTAGGGATGGTCATTTCAGGTCGGATGGGAGTTGAGACGAATGGAAGGGTTGGAGGGGAGGGGACGAGAGAAGGTCAAGGATGCGGTGCCGCGCCATGATCGGAAAAGAAGATGGCTGAGAGAAGAAAGAGAATGGGAAAGGCTAGGTACCTGGATCAGAGACAGTTTCTACGGGCGATCGTACACAATCTGAAGTTGTTCCCAAGTACCTTTTCCTCGCCCAAAAAAGACATGAGAAACGTTCGCGTCAAGCCAAAAACAACAGGTGCAACCCTTTTGCAAGTCACACTTCTTGCCGTGCTTGCCCAATGTGGCCCAATCTGCGGTAGCGCATCCTCTGTGCTCCACTTGATACCCGCCAATCCAGGAACACGTCCATAAGAGGCCGCCCCACCCGCACGAGGTACTCGGTACCTTGTTCTTAACCCAGTCACGTGCCAAGTACTCTCAGTTCTACGAAGTACAAGCTGGTGACCTTACCTTGACCACGGATTGAATGTGTGTAGAAGATGATGATCTGCTGCTGATAGCCTCTTTAGGCTACTGCCATTTTTGACCTTAGGTACATCTCCGTTCGTCACTACGATTCGAATAGGCTGTAGAGGCTGGCTGTTGCTGTATGGTGTAGGAGGTGCTTTGGCGGTAATTGAGGGCATACCTTAGGAGATAACCTTGCTATTAATGAATGCACGTGTATATCAACTAGATCTTGAATAGTACAGGGGGTTCGCTTGCTTCAAATCTAAACTTGAACTTCAAGCTGTACGTCATTCGGATCTGCTCTTATTCTAAGCACAAATCGCATGTTGGATTCTTTTTAGCATGGCACACGACCAAGCTATACCGTACCCATTAATCCGTACCAGTCTCAAATTGGCTTGGTCACCTCGAACGCCCTCCAGTCTGATGATCAAGCTCATTGCTGCGACATGACTTTGCAACTCCAGTCACACACTCACACCTTCAGAGCTCTCTCTTCATCTTCAAAAACCAAAGACGAGCAATATGATTTGCCATTTGTTGAGTGTCATAATAGAGTCTGGCGCGTACCTATCAATTAGCATACACCAAAACAAAGTACCGTGGCAGTCCAAAGTACTTGAGTACTTATACGGGCAGTTGGCAGGTGGGGTTCTCACGTGACCAGCAAGATCTGCTCGGCTCCACCACGAAATTTATCCGACATGGGAAGCGGTGTGAGAATTTTGTCGCTTCCAACGTCGGTGAGCCGTGGCAGAATCTGTGAATCGCATCGCATCGCCCAGGTCCAGCCCACGTTATCGTTCATTGTCGCCCGCTGGTAGAAGCCTGGCGAGGCATTTTTTGGCCAGTGGCTCTCTGACCTACTGCGGATCAAACAGTCCATCATCTCGGCATCTCAGATTGCTGATCCGTCGCCAATTCCTACATATCGACCTCGAGGGCAGAATTTCTTGGGCGGTCACCACAGCACTCTGCGGTGTGCTGAATCTCGAGTATCGAGTTGTAAGAGGTCAACAAATCAGTTTGGGCTAAACCCGGCAACGCGTTGGATTATTCAGCCTGGAATACTCGCCAAAATAATACACCATGGGTCGAAAACCAAACCCCGTGGTTGGGGAATATTTCACCAGGGGCCCCAAACTTCCAGATTCTAGCAACCGATACCCTCACACCTGCAAGCTGTGTGGTGAAAACTTCCCAAAGGGTCGAGGCGAGGTCCTGCACAAGCACATTACGGAAAAGTGCCCAGCCATCACACCCGAAGAACGTATCAACGCCGCACTCGGTTTCGCTGGACTTCACTCCGGCTCATCAGCCCCGCGATCAATGAATCTCCCCCTCAACCAGCTCGACGTCGCCGTCGCCGAAGTCGCCCCCGAAGCACCTGAGAACTGGTCTGCCCTCCGAACTCTCGCAGAAGCCTCACGACAAGTCGGTGAGAATGAGATGGGGGCGCCTTCGGCACTTGGTCGCGACCGATCCGAGTCCGCTGTTCGACAACTCGGAATCGGCTTCGAAGTCCAAGAGCAATTCACCCTCGAGAACCCGCCATGCAGTTATGAGAATCGGCCTGGTCGTGAGCGAAAGGGTACGTTTTTATTTTCCTTCTTCTCTTCTTTCCAGTTGTTGTCCTGTTCCTCTCTCTCATCTCATTCCGCCCACTTGAGGAAGGAGCACTGTTTTCTTCTCATCTCATTCTCTCAACTCAAACTCAGATGACCTGACTTTCATAGAATCCACCTCGAATGACAGCACCAACCCTCTCAGCTTCCTCACAACCGAAGAAAAGATGGAACACTTGCAGGCTGCTACACAGCATCCCAACGACCCGCCTCTCGATTCATCGAATCTCACCGTCGCCGCCGCCGCGACTGCCCGCCTCACTCATTCCCTCATGGACCCTGAAATGGCTGCCGCCGAGCACAGCGAACCACTTCAAGTCATCAACCCTGTAATGGAAACAGACGAGGTACTCAAGGCAGACGCCGCCGTCTCTGTCGAAGCCCTTCCCGGACCCTCTCTGCCTCCGCAACTTCAGCAGTCTCAGCAACCTCAACAGCCCTGGGGCGAGATGACTTACATGACTACGAACCACATCCCCGCAGTAGCCACTCACGTGGCCCCGATCGTACCTCCCCCCAACAGAGGCGGCACCCGTATGCCAATCGGCAATGGAACGCAGAGCGAACACAAGCGCAAGGCCTACAACCCGCTCCGGCGCAAGGAGGTTCAGGCCGCTCGCAAGAAGGGCGCCTGCATAAGATGCCGCATCCTCCGCAAGACGTGCGGCACCAACGATCCCTGCGACCAATGCCGAAAGATCCAAGGTCCGCGTCACTGGACTTACCCCTGCGTTCGTACTCGTCTGAACCAAGAGCTTACCCTCTACTCGGCCGCCTTGATAGTAGTCCTGGCGCAGACTAGGGTCAAGCACGCCAGACAGAAATACCAGCTGCTCTCCAACGGCACCTCCCTCGTCGTCTCCTTGTGGGAAGATAGCCCGAGTTTGACGCTCGCCGCTCTACTCACACCCCGCCCGCAGCCTCCTCCTGTGACCGAGGGGGAGACGGAGGAGCAGACGAGCCCAGACACAAAGACGGAGTTTCGAGTCGTCATGATTGATCAAGATAAGGAGGACCTCCCTGCCCGTATGGAGGAGTTCCTCAAGTTCATTCTACCGACACTCATCCAGCGCGAACCCTCCCACTTCATGCAGGTCGTCTTGGCGGCCGCGCAAAAGTTCCCCGACAACAAGGCGACGGGCAAGAACTTGAAGCTCGCCATTGAGCTCTGGGGTCTCATTGAGATTCTCGACCGCGAGCGGGGCTGGTGCATATCCGAAGAACGCCAAGGCGTAGTCGTGCCCATTGGCCCCGAAGAGTTTGCCGGCAACGACGACCAGGACATTTACAACCTCATCACCTTCCAGCTGTCGGCCGCCACGGAGCGCAAGGCCAACAACGTCTCGAACAAGCTCATCAGCGAGCTCCAGCGCTGCTTGGAAAACGGCAAGGCCAAGATCAACTTTGACGTCTACCTCTCCATCCTCATCCTCCTCCACTGCCTGGAAAAGACCACCTGGACCTTCAAGGTGTGGGAGATGGACGACTTCCGCCAGCGCTGGCCCCTCGATCGCCCTCCCACCATGTACGTCAACCAGGGCCGAGACATTGCCGACCTCTTGAAGATGCTCCTTACACTTCGAAAGTCTCACCCCAAGACATTCCGCACCCTCGATGGCCGGTTGAGTGTAGTCGACCTCGGCGAATCGGACTTTGACATGATGGCCGAGTTCTTTCATGCCCTGAACCTCGAGTGTAAGTTTTTTTGTTTTCCTATCGTCCTCAAGAAATGAAAAGCATGCTGACATTGACATCTCCCAGACGACGACGTTGTCCGCAAGCTCGAGAACTGCGCCTTCAGCCCAGAGACCTCACGGTCCCTCGAACTGCACTTTTGCAGCCACGTCCTGCTCCCACCAAAGGAGGGCGACCACGGACACCACCATGCCGTCACAGCCTCCAGCTCTGGCCACAGTACACCTCCGCCTCCTCACCCTCATGCCCCGCCTCACCCTTCAACCGTCCCCGTGGCTTCAGCCTCCCCTGTTCCCGTCTCCGACACCGCTATGACGGGGGCATCTCCTGACCCTGCTCCTACTCCCGCCGAGTCGCTGCCGACTGATCTGCCCTAGTTTGGGGATTGGTCCTGGCGGTATTACACCGGACACTAAGCCGCTGCTACATGTTCCGTGAAAGGAGAGACATCACAGCACGCATATACAACTCACGATGAATGACTGGAACGAAAAAAAGATACCTTTTTTCAAGGAAACAAAAAAAAAAAAAAGCACCCCTTAATGATGTACGACTACAACTACCACCTCCATTGGAGACCACCAACAAAAGCAAAACTACATTTAAAAGAACCAAAAAGGGATACCAAAAAAGGAAACCACAGGACTTGGGTTGGCGTGAAGACTTTGGCACTTTGGGAACATGGGAAAAAAAAAAAAGGGAAAAGCAAAAAGATTTACACTGTTACATGATGTAGCTTCTTCTCTTTAGATAGATGGGCTAAAACAACACACCAAAAGTTCACTTAGAATTCGTCACGGTAGATAGATACCCCCCCCCTTTTTCAAGCCAAATCCCCATTTCTGCCCTGTAAAGGATTGCATCGCACATCACCATCACAACTCACTGAACCATAACCGTGTGTACCTTGAACTTGTTTGTTATTGCAAAACATGGGCTATCCGACATTGAATATTTCATCACTCATGCGCCCACCCCAATCTGGCAGGCGCGATTCTTCCCCTGAGTTCATTTCAGGCCCACGGCAAGGTAGGCAGGCCTGCGACAACGTGAGCCATGGTATCCCAGGACCTCCAATGCCTCCCAACCCAATGGCTCTACTCCTTCATAACCAAACCAATCGCCCTGCAACCCATTAAAAAGCCCAGATACCCGACTTCCGCATTCTGCACTGAGGAGGGGGCCACTAGCCCTTGACACTCGCCGCAGAATCGCCGGTGCCCGTCCTCGAGGGACCAATGCCGGGCCGCTTGATCTTCCTGAAGCACGTAAACTCGTTCTTGCTCGCCTCGCGCAGTCGCTTCAACACGCTTCTCATCTCCGGGAGCTCGCTCTGCAGGCGGGCGCGCGCGTCGTTATCGGTGCGCCCATCGAGCTCCTGGTAAATCTCGCTCTGGAGCGCCGAGGCGCGATCGGTGGTGTACTGGCTGAGCGTCTGGGCGACAAACTCGACGTCCAGGGTGGCCTGCATCAGCGCCTCGAGGGTGTATCTCTGTCGCGTGCGGAACGCCTCGAGGAGCTCACGGCTGGTTTGCTCGAGGAGGTATGAGAGCACCTGCGAGGTGAGCGTGGGCGCCGTGGTCGAGACTTGGGTGTGGACGAGCACGAGACTGAGGAGAGCTTCGTAGACGTAGGGCCTCGCTTCCCGCGGTTTCTGGCCCACCTCGGGGACCCAGTCGGGCGAGGCAACCCCGGCTCTGACAATGTTGCGCAGCTCTTCAATGGATGGGCGGGTGTAAGATTGGAAGAGCCTAGCATCAATCTGGCCCAGAACATCCTTGATCGTTTTGGATTCATCACTGAGTTTGACCGAGAACGCATTCTCAAACTGCGAGTTGAGACTCGGCACGACCTTGGCTCGGAGTGACTGTAGGTTGCTGAGAGTGAGGAGCATACGAACGTTCTATACCTCGTGTTAGTAGATGATTACTCCAATACCACATACAAATCAAACTCACCCTGTCTCCCGCGTCGAGTGTCGCTCTTCCACCGCTGGGAGCGGGCGCAGCGGAGGCGACAATGGTCCCATCCATATCCGTGGTCCAATCGTCGTCGGCCTTCTTGACAGATCGCTCGGCGTTCTCCACCATGCCGCTCAACGCCTTATAGAGCGTCGTGACGTACTGGCTTCTGACCATCTGCAAGAGTTTACTAGGCGGTGGGAGGACAATATCCCCCGCGCCAGGCTTCGACATGGCTTCGGATATGTATAGAATCTTCTGCATGCCCGTGAGCAACGCGCCTTCAAAGGCAGAAAAGCTCGAGGGCATGCGGGTGAGGTCACCCAGTTCCGGTGATCGGTACCAGTCCTCGACAAACTTGATGTTTTCAGCGTCCTTGTTCCATGCCGCGCAAAGAGCGGTGACGCATCGTTCCCTGGAAATGTTGACGAGCGTCTTGAGTCTGTCCAATACGCCGGCATCCGACCCATTGGCTACCGGACCGATGCTCGCCAAGTCAGACGCGCCTGAACCCACCAGCGCGAGCATCTTGGAGAGATAGTGGACGCCACTGACGGAGTTTGACCACGGAGGCCAAAAGGCCAGCTTCTCCCATGTCTCGCCGCGTTTGGGCGAAGGGGGAGGGATGTTGTTAGGGTCGAGGTTAAGGCGAGGATCTAAGAGTCCGGTGGGCGTGGAGTTGCCGGCTCCTGCAGAGGGTGGGCTCTTGGGCGATAGGGGGAGGGGCGAGAAGAGCAACGAGATATCCTCGGGTGGCGGGCCCGCGAAGAAGGCAAAGACGGTCTCGCGGATCATGTCAACGAGCTCCAGTGTGCCCTTTTGCAGGTCTCCGGCACGCTTCTCTGGCAGCTGATGATGGGTCTGTGATTCTCCATTGTAACCCAAGGGCAGCGTGCGCTGGATCTTGCCATCCAGGAAGCCCTGCACCGTCTGCCAGAAGTCTACAACCTCTCCCAGGATGCCTTGCGCGGACAGGATACTGGATAGGAAAGCCAACATCTTCTCCCATAACTCTATCACGTCGGCGGAATCGGCCGAGGCTATCTTGTTCTCCACGGCCGCACGTCCCAGAGACCGTAGATGCGATGCAACCGCGTGGGCGCCGGGCTTGTCGGCGTTGGCCAGGCGTCGTCGCAGCACCTCCACCTCGACCTTGGAGCGGTCTGACGTCGACTGAATCTTCCCCTTGAGGTGGTCGTACCGACTAAGCAGCCAGACCCAAATCGGATTGTCGTCCACGCCCAGCTCGAGAAGCAGACTGATGAGCTCCATGTGCTGGTCTTGCTGGCCCAGGTTGTCGGCCTTGGAGACGCCGTGAAGCGTGACGAGCTTCCGCCACACATCCCGCTTGAAGGCCTGGATCTGCTCATCCACATCGTGCCATATGCGTGCCGCCACAACAATCTGATAAATGTCGGTCTGGCTTGAAGAGCCCGCTGCGGCGTTTGCTGCCAGTGCTCTTGCATCGTCTGAGAACTTGCGCGCCTTGTTGTAGTCCTCCACAAGACTCTCGTAGTCTCTTCGTTTGATGCTCTCGGCAATTGCAGAGCTTAGTTCGATATACTCCTTGAACTGATCCAGGTTTGCCGACACAACCTTGAGATTCTCTTCCTTCTCGCGTCCTCCCAGCGCCGGACCCCACACATCTTCCGCCTTGGCAGAGACATCCAGAAGAGGCGCCTTGATTCCCGAGACTCCGTACTCGCTTTCCTTGACCAGGGCGTTCTTCTTACGGGTGTCGGAGGTCGGGGATCCAAGGGATGCAGCAAGGTTCATGCCGCCGTTGCTGCCTCGGAAGCTGCTGCGACTAGCGTGGCGGGAGTGAGCTCGAGCACGGCCTGTCGTTGGCGGAGGAGGCGGCTCGGCGCCGCGATACTTCATCTCCTTGTACACATTATCAATGGTAGCCTTGGCCTTGACGAAGCGCTCAAAGTTGGTCTCCACCAGAACCTTAAGTGATGCGGATTTTTGATCGATTGACTGGGACAGCATGTCCAGGCCGGTCAACAAGCTTTGGGTGTCGGCAGTCGCATGCATTTGCGAGAGGAACAAGGCGGGAGAGAAGGTGGTGGAGGACAGGAGGAATCGATTGCCTAGGCGCATGTCAGTCTTTGCCGTGTTTGTAACAGTATTGAGTCCACGTACGCAATCGCGGGTCGTCCTGAATGGGAACTCCCAACTGGCGGAGTGTCCTGACGACGCTGTCGGTGGTGCCCAAGGGATCGGGCTCGTCGCGCTGGACAATATTGGCGACACCTCCCTTGTCCGACTGAGCTCCGGGGATTATGCTGCGCCGATCACTGACGGCTCTCTCGAGCGCCTGGTATCGCGACTTCCGGCGCTGCAGCTTCGCCTTCTTCTCGTCCTTTGCCTCGTCCTCATCGTCGGATGCATCGCTCTGGTTCTTCTCGGCTGGCCATTCGTCGGGGTATGGGTTTGGAAGCTGGTAAAAATCCAGTATAGTTCTCTCGTAGTCTGACGACATTATGGGGTATCGGTATCTCGAATCGTGGTGGCTTGCAAAGGGGTAAAGCGATCGTTGTCCCAGCCGGCCGATGAGCGGCTGGGGGGCTCGGCGAGGGAGCTTGCTGCTTGCAGTGCGTGTAGCTGTTTCAAAGGTACAAGACGAATAATTCCATTGGCCAAAGATGAATGATTGACAATGCCACACAGAGGCAACCAGGGTGCCGGAGGTGCAGAGGCACTGCGTGAGTGCGACAAAGTGAAGAGCAACTCGGTGGAATGGAAACGTGAATTGGTTGTGTTCTGTCCAAGGTGGCAGCTACCTGCTGTCCTGCTCGTGGGTAGAGAGAGAGGTACCTTGGTGACAACGGTGCAGCCCACTTGGTGCATTCTGTGGCACACACCGAGAACACTCACCGACACACACCTCGGGTCCTGAAGGTGAACTCGGTCAGGTGGGCTACCTTCCATAGGTACCTTAGTCAACGATAACAGGCAGGTCCTCGACTGGCCGGAAAAGTCCATGTCCGCTCCTGCCACCCGAGGAAAAATTGGAGAAAGGTGGGGTTTCCTGAGCCATATATGTGGCTTGGGTTTGTGGCTAAACCTTCGGCAGCAGTCGGTGCTAGGAGGTCGGTCATCGATAATCCCGCGGGATGTTTTCTTTTGCCAGTGAAGACACAACGCCGCTTTACTGGGGATCCCACTTTCGGGATGCTCAACCTCGGATAAAGACAACTCAGGGAAATAAGATACTATGGAGATGTACAAGACTGTGTGAAAACCAACATTCATGCCTTCCAGAAAGCATGATGGTTAAATTTTGTAGAATTCCGAAAGATGGTCGAAAATAGAGTCCCTCCCATGAGAGCATTAGAAAGTCAATCAAGAGTTTTTTTTCCGCAGCGAAGCCGCTTACACCTGCTGGTGCAGCCAAGACCCCTGCGGTAAAGCGGCGGTTTATTTTCTCACCTGTCAAACCCGGCTGGCCGCCGCTGGCGTCTCTGCTACGAACACTTCCTTCTCCCGACCTTAAAATTCCCGTCCCCCGATAAACGACCAATCCTTCCCACCCGACCACTCCTCCTCCGCCTCCGCCTCCACGTATCCTTCAACACCAAAGGACTTTAGACACGATGCTGGCCGCCCGTACTTTCGCTGCGCCTCTCCGGCAGCAGGCCATGCGCGCCGCTCCCCGCGCCGTCGCCGCCGTCTCTCAGTTCCAGGTGCGCGCAATTCATCCTGTTCCTTGCCGTCCCGCGATCCCGCCCGCCCGCCGGCGACGATTCGACGATGCCCACGTGCAGGGCCTCGCCTACAGGCCAGCCATTCAAATTGGACCAATTACTAACAACTGTATAGAACTCCAGATTCTACTCGAGCGAGCGTGTCGCCAAGTTCCACGGTGTCAAGGACTCCAACGTATGCCATTCCCTCCTCCGTTACTACCCGCCCCATAAAATTTTACGCGCAAAGTAAAGACCTCGGCTTTGTTGTTGCTGGCGCACCCAACCTCGACATAGGACTTCGTTTCTCTACTCTTGGACACAGACGTCACTCGTCATGTGCAGATGGACGGGGGTACTCGAGCAGCAACAAAGCCTGAGTAGGCTCTTTGCGCAGGCCAAAATCACTCAATTGGCGATGCTCAAACCTACGACATCTAGACGACTTTCAAAACAAAACTAACCACCAACCTTACAGGGCAACTACCCCGTCTCCCTGATCGAGGGTGACGGTATCGGTCCCGAGATCTCCCAGGCCGTCAAGGACATCTTTGCCGCGGCCAAGGCCCCCGTTACCTGGGAGCCCGTCGATGTCACCCCCATCCTCAAGGACGGCAAGACCGCCATCCCCGATGCCGCCATCGAGAGCATCAAGCGCAACAAGGTCGCCCTCAAGGGACCCCTCGCCGTATGTTTCCACCGACAATCAGCCCCTTCAGCCCATTCTAACGTGACCATGTAGACCCCCATTGGCAAGGGCCACGTCTCCCTCAACCTGACTCTCCGCCGTACCTTCAACCTGTTCGCCAACCTCCGTCCCTGCCGATCGGTCGCCGGCTACAAGACCCCCTACGACAACGTCGACACCGTCCTTATCCGTGAGAACACCGAGGGTGAATACTCCGGCATTGAGCACGTCGTCGTCGACGGCGTCGTCCAGTCCATCAAGCTCATCACCCGCGAGGCTTCCGAGCGCGTCCTCCGCTTCGCCTTCCAGCAGGCCCAGGAGATTGGCCGCAAGAAGGTCCGCGTCGTCCACAAGGCCACCATCATGAAGATGTCCGACGGTCTCTTCCTCAAGACGGCCCGCGACGTCGCCAAGGACTTCCCCGAGATCGAGTTCGACGCCGAGCTCCTCGACAACACCTGCCTGAAGATGGTCACCGACCCCCTCCCCTACAACGACAAGGTCCTCGTCATGCCCAACCTGTACGGTGACATTCTCTCCGACATGTGCGCCGGTCTCATTGGCGGTCTCGGCCTCACCCCCTCTGGCAACATTGGCGACGAGTGCTCCATCTTCGAGGCCGTCCACGGCTCCGCCCCCGACATTGCCGGCAAGGGCCTGGCCAACCCCACCGCCCTGCTCCTCAGCTCCATGATGATGCTGAGACACATGAGCCTCGGCGAGTACGCCGACAGAATCGAGAAGGCCGCTTTTGATACCCTCGCGGAAGGAAAGGCCCTCACCGGCGACCTTGGCGGCAAGGCCAAGACTGGCGAGTTTGCCGGCGCCATCATTTCCAAGTTGTAGATACCTACTACCCCTCCCTGTAGACTGTACGATCTTAGACAACGGATATTACCTCCTGTTTCCTTTAACGTTAGCCATAGTCGTTCAATGAGTTCATGAGCTCCAACAAAATTTGGTGTTTTCGTTCCTGTGGTTTGCATCGGGCCGTGAGTGACTGGCAACACAATGGTGGTGGCAATAATTGACTTCATTGACTGTTCACAACACATGGACCCGTTCCTCTTGCTCTCGCATTCATGAAATTGTTGCTCGTCAATCACCTAATAAAGGCAACCAACAGACACTTTCCAAGACCAAAGAAGCAGACTGCAGTAATTTGACAGGTAGGACGGACATTCAGGTCTGAGAGTCGACGGCAGCTCTTCGCACTGACGGGGCGCCATGTCCGTGAACATGCCTAGTGAGACTTGGGATGAGCAAGCTCTTACATAAGCCTCGTGTCGTGGAGACAGTGTCGTCTTGACATCTATTCAGGGAGTTGAAATGGCAGAGAGAAGAGAATATAGTGTCCTTGTTGGCAGTCAAAACATGCGATGGCACCGTTGCAGAGCACGATCTAACCCCTTCTCAACGTCCCATGCATCGGAGTATCACAAAACCGCGTAGATAATGTTCCATGGGAGGGGGGGAGAAACGGAATAACCAATAGGGAATCGAACCAAAAGCGAGGCGAAGGTTAAGGTTGGGTGGTCAAGGAAGAATGGATTCCAATGGCGCCTCTTCAGCCCCTCGGCCATCTGCGCCTTACACTGCGGTTGTGCCAAGATGGAAGGAGAAGACACTCACATACGGTCCCCTCTTCTTCCTTCTGGGTAAGGTGCCTAAGAAGGGGAGCTCATTGCCCGTAACTGACTCAGTTTGTGACCCATGCTTTTCTACTCTGTTTCCTTGTCTAGTCCTTGCCTTGCTTTATTTGATTTCCAGATCAAGGCCGTCATTCTACGGGTTTAGCAATCGAGGGATATTTGGGTAAGGTAGCTCTGCACGAAACCAAGAAAGTGAGATTTGTACGTAAGTTATACCTTGAATATTTTCTCTCTTCTCTCTTGTAAGTCCTTATAGTTATCTAGATCATACGGCAAATACAGCCTCGAACATGACCACTAAGAAGACAAAGAAAAGGCAATCGACAACGCAGAATGATTGTTACTTGAGTTCCGTTTACTTCCATTGGAAATCCAGGACTTCGAATCGAACTAATCACCAGAGGACTGTCAGGCGCGTCATAATTTCTCTCAGTACAGGACCTCAGATTTGCAAGACTCGGATGAATGAATATTGACCAACATCAACTCCCTTGCTTTTCGTGGTCTGAGATTCGGGAAGTGAAGCATCGTGTTTTCTTCGTTCTCTGTGTACTGTCTTATCGCCGCCGCTTGGAAAACATTGGGTTACACCCGAGATGCCAGTGCGTGCTTGCATGCTGACAAAAAAAAAGGGTGTACCCCCCTAGAAGGAACAGTATTAATTCCCGCGTTAGATAGTCTTTCTCACGTCAGTATCAAAAGGGGGGGGGCGGGGGGAGATGGGGAAATCAGAGAAAAGTGTTCAGCTAGGCAACATTCAGTAAGCTGTGGTTCGTTGATATTCGTCATATATTGATCATCCCGTTGTCATGATTCTGCGCTCACATGCTATGCATGTCTCAACCTGTTGGAAAGTAACAGGACCCGGCAGAATCTCCCGGCTCCAATCGAGCATGAGTGCTTCAGAGTCCTCGATCCTTCTCAGTCCGGACTTGCACCAAGCACGTCGCGGCGATCAGTCTCGAGGAGATGTGGTTGATTTCACCAAGAGTCGAGAACTCTCAGGTCAAGGTTTGATCCCTTCCCTCCCGTTTACGTGAAGATTGCTTGCAAATGAGCTATATAGTTTGACGCAACGAAGGACAGTGGTCTTCCAAGTCCAAGACCTTTATTCATGCGCTACAGTCAACGTGAGACGTATTCAGGGGGCTTACGAACAGTATTTCGCATCTGATAGCGTTTGTCGCCGGACGGATGATCCTTGATGCGCGAATTCCTCGTGACACGTAACAATCTCTCGGATCTAAGAATCGACTCTACCTTGGGCTTTGCTTTTCGTGGTGAAGGTGCAGAGGAACTCGAAATGAACAGAGAAAGTTGGGGGATTCAGCTAAACACTCTTGGATGGAACGTTTCCCCCTTCTGCAAGACCATCTCTTCATCAGAATGCGCTCGGGGTATTCTGATTATTGACGTGTCAGTTGAAAGGACCTGCCCTTCTCCTTCCCCTGCTTGCTATTCTGCAAGAACAATTTGGAAGCAACATGCGAGACCACCCGTCAGGGTTCACCACGACCCCAAATATGACGCCAAACACTCGGGTAGATAGCATCATCGACCAAGCATATAAGAGGGCACAGAAGATATGCACAAGACTTTATAGCCTCTCGATGGCTTATAAAGCCTTCGGGACTCTGGTCGCGCTGTAGCCAATGCTATCGACCTCGAGTAACACTAATCTCGAACGACGAGTTTGATACTTTGTGGTAGTACGAGCAGAAGCACTCCCTAGACATGACCCCCGAGACCGCTCTGTTTTACGAAATTGTTGTTTGGCGGGCATACATTAGATAGACAAGAGTGGCAGCAGAGAGTTTCCGGAAATCTTCTCAAGAGGCCTGACAATTGAGACCCTTGAGACGATGAGATATCTTGTTCTTATAGGGTTCGAAAATGAAGTCTCGGCCGCATACTTTGGTTTCGTTGGTTTACGATGCTGAAAGGGAGAATCGCCCAGCAACCGTTTACGAAGTTATCTCAACTACTGTCAGACCTGGAACAATTACGTTGTTCGATCACCGATAGTTACGCGCGGGTCAGAGTTGCTTGGTCGATGAAGGATCCTCACGGAGAGGTGGAAGGGAGGAACGGGCACGCTTTGGGCATGTGACGCACGCCACCTTGCAGTCTGTGGAAATCAAATACTTGCCATGGCTTCATAACATCGTGTAGATGGGACTGGCTAGAGGCTAGGACGTGATGTAGGGTGAAAAAGGAAAGGATGATTGAGTATTGACGACGGCAGTTTTTCGTCGTTACGTGCGGCGGGACTCATAGGACTATCTAGTGCGAAGCACTTATCGGCAAGTGGGCATGCCTCTACGGAGCGGCATATTTCGGGTTCAATGTTCATCTCCCTCGATCAAGCCGGTTTACTACCATTCATGAACGAGGCAGGCTCACATGGACCATGCTTCATCCAACACACATCACACATGCAAGTCACAGAGGGGCAAGTCCAATATGAAAGTGGTAAAAAAACCCAAGCCCAAGAGATGCCATTCGACGCCATGAAGAGAGGTTTGTAGTCGTCAATTCTTCTTTTTTGGATACCTAACCACGCCATACCATGCAGAAAAAAGTGTTCCCTGTAAAGCAGGACAGGAGACGCAGGGGATATCTCAACCCCAAGCCACCCCATCTTGTGATAGCGTTGTTGTTTTTGTTCAACCGGCGTGGCCAAGTCACGCACGACCGAACCCCAGAGTGTAAAAGATCGCAGCAATGATGGAGAATACCACCAACGCTTAGACCTTGAAACCGCGGGACCTTCTGCGACCACGGGCCTTCTCGAACTTGCGGCCCTTGGACTCGACGTAGGGCTTCTGCAGAGGGTGTTAGTGCTGTTCTCGTACGATATTCCTGGGACTTGAGCCAGGATCGGAAGTGTGATCGTACCTTGTGCTTGTGGGGACCCATGCCGAAGTGCTTGAAGGCCTCACGGGAGTTCTTGGGTCCGCGGAGGAGGAGGGTGTTGCCACCGGTGGGGGCGCGGAGGGCAAGCTGGTCGAGGGTGATGGCCTCGCCGCCGGCCGCGGTGATGCGAGCGCGGGCGGTGGCGGTGAAGCGTAGAGCAGCGACGGTCAACTTGGGGACGGTCAGGAGACGGTTGTCATCAGTGACGGTACCGACGATGACGACGGTGCGCTTGTCCTCCTTGTCGAGGTTGCCGACAATGCGGGAGATGGAGACGGGAGGGCGGTTGATGCGCGACATGAAGAGGCGGCGCAGGATGACCTTGTTGAAGCTGGAGTCGGTGCGACCTGTCGTGGGTTAGCATATTTGTTTTTCTTCGAGATTCGAAGTCGAGATAGAAACATACGGGTCAAGAAGCGGTACAGCTTCACGAGAAGCTTGAGGTACACATTGTCGCTCTTGGGAGCCTTGCGGTGCGTGCTGCGCACGTGGTGGCGGTCGAGATCGATACCTATAAACGGGGGTGAAGAGCCCAATCGTCAGCCTTTTGGTTCAAGCATGCTCTGAATGCAGGCGGGAAAAGTCCATCATCCGTCGACCACGATGAGACGAGCTCCATTTGTCGAATCTAAACTCTCCCCGCAGAGCGCAGGAGTAGAGACGAGAGCATCATCTTGTGGTGAGGAGAGGATTCCTTTTCCTGTCGCCGCGCCAAGTTCGCAGAAAGGGCAATGGCGAATCCAGTTCATCTCTCGTGATGTCCAAATCTTTCGACGAGGACATTCACAGATGCAAAGGATCGCGCGTTGCACAATTCCACTCGCATGTAAAGGCTTGGAATGGGATATTCCTACGTACCCATTTTGTCGATAGACTCCCGAAGTTGGCGAATTGAGTCAAATGGGCGGCCGTGATGTTGTCGTCGTCGGTGTAAAAGAGAAACTTTCAAAAGATTTCCGCCGGACCACACTAGAATTACGCTCCTCGCCAGGCGGAAAAATCGGGCTGTGTGGGCTTTAGGGCAACTGCAATCAAGGTCGAGTGGATCAATAAATTTTCCGGTGGGTCCGTCTCTACTGAACGGTGGACCTGCACAGGCCCCACTCTGTGGAAAGTCTGCAGGGACCCCTGCTATTTCGGTCAGTCTCGGTGAGGCCGGGTGTCTTTTTCGGTCAAGGTCAGATTTGCAGGCATGGCAACATGGTTGAAGAGATTATCACAAAGAGATGAATGGCAAAGAGACCAACCAAGGTAGGATAGAACAGAGGCTCTCATTATTGAGTCCTAAGCTGATATTTCAATGGGCATCAAAAGAGGATAAATCATTCCCCTGTCACCAGCACACAAATAACACTCTTGTGAGCTCGATCCATGTCTTGTATTGAGCTAATGCTTAGTCTACCTACCTTATTTGGTTCTTTGTGCATTCATCCTTCTGGGAAAGAGGTGCCCAGTTTCACGTTTCCATGATGCCATGCAGGCAAACCCCATAATGTCCCCCGTCCTGTCTTGGAATCTTGTTGTAATACATTATCAAAACACTGGTGATTGAAATGCCAGGTTGGAAAAGTACAACCCGGGGAGAGGCAGTCTCTCTGCCTCAATGTGACTGTTATGCCAGCCACTTTCTAATAAAGGCATCCCCATCATCGGTTCTGAGGTCCTTTGTAATCTCTGTACCGGAAGGGCCTTTGATTAAGCCCGACCCGACACGCATAAAGTAATTCGAGCTGCATCTCGTCTCAGAGGGCAGCCTCACCGTCGCCCTCAGGCTTAAGGGAGACCAAGAAATCGCGTGTCAGCTCAAAGCTGAGCCAGCTGGATGCCATACTTGGCGCAACCTTGAGGAGGTTAGGGACGATGCCCTTGTACAGGCCCTTGATGCCCTCCTGGGCAACGATAACCCGGATAGCGTCAGTAATGCCCTTGTACTGGTAGCCCATGCCCGTCATGGTGTTGATCTGGAATCTTCGGCGAAGGACGTCGCTATGTCTGTTAGCAGGAGGAACAATGCCTCGTGTCAACCAAATCGACTCACAAGGGATAAGTGCACGTCTGAGCGACAGCTCCAGAGATGGCACCAGCAAGAAGCTTCCTGACAGCACTGGGGTTCTTGTCACCCTCAGGGGTCAGGTATTTGCGAACATACTCGTAGACCATGAAGTTGAGGCCGACCTGTTTTGTCAAGTTAGAGTCAAGCGCTCGTGTCAACTCCATTCGATACCACTCACGTAGGGGGCAACACCAGCGACAGTGGGGATGATGCCACGGTACAGGGCAGAGACACCGCCCTCCGTCTTGTACATGGTGGCCATGACAGTCCACATGCCCGGGAGTTTCTCGGCCCTGGGACCCAGCTCCGCAAAGGAAGCAGTCTGGATGGACAGTCGAGTGCGAACAATGTCGAGGGGGTATGTGCAGAAGACGGAAGTGATACCAGCGATACCACCACACGTCAGACGGGCGAGAGGAGAGAGGTCTGCACCAGGGGTCTTTTCAAAGAAGTTCTGTGAGTTGTGCCGCATTAGCCTTGGTTCCTTCCACACCAGCTCATGCGAGCCACATTTTGTAACCAGCACAAGGTGATCAATGGCGCATGACACTCACCCGCTTGTAAAAGTTGTAACTGCCGAACTGAACAGCAGAGTACGGCACAATGCGCACACAGTTGGTGCCATTGCCTGCCATGAAGCCTCTCCAGCCTTCTTCCCTCCACATCTTGGCTAGACCTTGGCCTACGGACAGCTTGTAGGCATCTCGTCCTACGCTCTGAACCTGGAACAGGATCTTGAGGCGCTCGAGAGGGGAGACGACGGTTCGAGAGACGGCACCAGCAGCACCGCCAGCGCAGAAGGCAGCAATAACGGGCTGTGAAACGGTATCGCGAAGCCAGAGGTACTTGACAGGGGCCGGAGCTGGGCCCGGGGCAGCAGCAGCAGGGACAGCCGCATCGTTGAGAGACTGCAAGAGCGGACTGGGTGTTAGCTAAGTGTTGATTTCCTGTTGGAAAAAGAACTGCCAAATCGCCGAGCAGAGTGATATAGTAGGGCAGGAAGAACATTAGGGAATGCAGCAGGTTGGAGCTGGTAGCACTTACAGGCGACATGACCTCAGACTCTGGTCAAGGAGCAGTGCGGGTGAGTGTGTTATTGCAAGCGCAAGACTCGTGATTGACAACCACACTGCTGAACCTCCGAAGCCACCTTATTGCTATGACTGTGCTTGCATTTAAGGCTGTTGAGGGCGGGAGGCGGAAAGAATTCGTGGTACTCGATGAGTTTTGCGACTTTCTGGAGGAACGAGAACGAGCGCTGAAGGAGGGGAAGTATGCTTGAGGGGGAAAAAAAGAATGACCCAAAAAGTCCAAAGAAAAAAAGATTCAGAGATTCTAAAAGAAGAATGGCAACGACAACGAAGGCATAGTCGAGTGGACTATAGATGTAGAGGAGAGGTTTTCGAGCATCAAAGGTGTCTCGTGGCCGCGAGCTGGTGCGGCTGGAAGGTGGTCGTGTGTATCGCGGGTTTTTTTGGGTTGCTGGTTTTGGACGAGGGTATTTCCCATGTGCCGCGGCTAAGCTGACAATGACAAGAGGGTATGGCAGGGGGAAGGCGCTTCGACTCGGCGGACGTTGGTAAATGAGTGCTCGACGAATTGATGTTTTGGTACGAGAGAGACGAGGGTCGTGTCGAGGGATGCGCGTGCGAGAAACCCTTTGATCGAGAAGGGCAGACAGAGGTAGAGGTCGAGGGTTGGAGGTGTTGCCGCAAGAACGAAGTCGGTTCGGTCGACGGGGAGGAGGAATGGCGACGAGACGGACGGTGAGGGGCGGCGTAATTGACAAAAGGCGCGCAACGTCTAGGAGGAGAGCTCGACAAGCTTGGAGCTTTTGCGCCGAGACCTTTGGTCTTTGGATGCGGTGACAGGTCGTCGAGGGGTGAGGTGTGAGGAAGAGCTGGAGGTCGCGAGGAACGAATTAGCTGGTTGGTGAAGGGGCAGACGCATTGAACAGATCCCAACGACGCAGATCGAATTTCAGCTCCCTCCCAGACGGAAGGTGGAAGTTCAGAGGCTGCTTGGAGCCTCGACGGGGTACTTCGGACTTGGGGTATGAATACTTAGGGAGAGGTACCTGACTCCAAATCTGACCTGGAGATGACCAAAAGCTGGAGATGACGGGACGGCTGCAGGGCAGTTGGCAGCCTAAAGCGGGCAGTTTTTAGGTACAGCGTAGGGAGCATAAGAGCATGGACCTCACCAAAGGTAGTCTCTCAGAAGGCCCCACTGGCTACAGCGGCTGTGGCTCACCTGCCAGCTTCCCGCTGGCTCGGCTCCGGTGACGGAAAGTGTCCGTCGGTCACCACATCTGAGGAACCTCGGAATGTGTACCTCGCACCCGGTACCTCTACTTGTCCCTCCAGAGACGGTTTCCTCTTAGGTTACAATCTGAAGACTGGAAACCAACCACGGCGTACCCTTTATCCGCTGATACCTTAGCACCCGCCAAAACCATACCGGAAATGATGTCAGGTACCGGAACAAAGTAGCTCAATTTCAGTCAACGATTACCCTTCCTCTCCTTCCCTCTTCTTGAAATCACAATCTTTCTTCTTCTGAGTGGATGGAGTGCTCTCCGGCCTGGTTGCTCTCCTCACTTTGAACTCCACTCCCATGACGACAATCTGGGGGAAAACGGGGAACCCAGCTTCAACACCCAAGAAGACTACAGGCTCACAAGACACATGACCACAATGTGAATCTTGGTATCCGGGAACTCATGTCATAGTACCTATCTCTTCCCATACGGATACTCCGTACTCAGAATGATAGTACAGATATAGCCACATCCCATCGGCACAACCAAACATTATGTGTTCCTGCAACGCGCCCAAGTGCCCAAACATTGACAACCTTCCCAAACTTGTTCCATTGTACATTCAACATCGCCAATCCTGCCTGGGCAAAGTATCCCAAGCAACTACCGCCAATTCCGACAAGTCAAGCCCGGCAGTGCCTCCTTCTTCGCCCCAATCCATCTCGGCGGCGCCCGGGTCACATCAGCGCGAGTTTACCGAGAAACCCTCCCTTCGGCATCCCGACACCTCCGGATCCTCCCTATCAACGCCGACCTACCTGCCTTAGTCTTAGGAGATCACCCCGCCCTCCTCCATCTTTCCCCGCATCGCAAACGTTCCGGAGGTGTTGTAGCAGGTAGCTCGTTGACGTCTCCAGCGCATTCGCTATCGCAAACACCCTACATAATCAAGATAGCCAGCGCATGACCACAGCCCAGCGACATCCCGGTATTCTCTCATTACCCTCCTTGATGCAATTTCACTCAGGATGTTTAGTATCCAGTACGAACACCTAGTGTTACAAGGTAAGGCAGTTTCAGCTGGTTCCATCTTACCATGCCTTCTACGAGATTCGCGGCACTTAACAAGCAAAGACGGTTTGAAGCAGCTGCGTATCCTTCAAATTTCATTTCAGAAGTACACTTGATGCTGAAGCACCCATGGACATACGGACTACATCACTCGTGCTGCTCTACAGGGTTGGTCTATCCTTATCTTGCTCTAAAGGAGTAGTCATATGTCCCTGACCCTTGAGCAAGGACGGAACAGGATTACCAGCTGCTGTAAAAACCTACATGTCAATTTCTAGCTACAAGGGGGTAATGCTTTCAAAAGGCCGCCTCGCCAAAAACCTCGCGTCGTTTCGCAATCGTTTCCGAAATGTATGTCCCGCCGATATCGAGTCTGGATAGGTATGTCTGGTGACTCGGATGCTGCCAACATCGGACAGCCCGGTGTGTCGTGTGCTGAGCTCGAAGAAGCCGGATCGGTCGCATCGAGACTAAAAATCTCCCAGAAGGTGAGGACACTTTAAAAGATCCAGGATTCAGATGGTGAGAGAGAAAGAGAGGAGAACCGGGTGAGAAATCAGAAAAACTTTTGGCACAGCCGCGCACAACCCGACAAGAGAAATTGCCAGGTATACTTATCACTCCGCAGCAACGTCCAGGTCGTCATGGGCAGGGGGAGGGCTGTCCAGTGCTGTTGTAGAGTGTTAGCCTACTGCGTAGCCTACTACACACCTTCTTGCCGATTTACGTACCCTTTCTATCGTCACCATTGGTGCCGTTCTCACGGGGTTCCCGGTCGTCGCGGTCATCCTTGGCGTCTCGATCACTTCTGACCAGTCAGGATCACTAGTTCAAATTCGGCATTTCTGAGGGGCCCTTGGCCCGAGGGGGAGTCTTTGGGAGAATTCTTGAAAGATCTAGGAGAGTCAACACACCGTCGGTCAGGGCTGCGGGAACGGTCGCGGGTATCGCGTCTGTCGCCACGGTCGTAGTCGCGATCGCGGTCCCGGCGGTCGTCCTTTCTGGGAGAGTGGTCGCGGGTGCTGCGGCGAGGAGAGGGCGAGCGGCCGCGACGGGGAGAAGAGCGGCGAGGAGCGCGCTCACGGTCGCGACCAGAGTCGAAGCGCCATGAGGCGGAAGGAGGGGTGCGAGCCCACTATAACGCATCAGCAAAGATGCCTCAAGAACCTCGTCCGGTACTGTCTAACCTCAATCTTCAGGATGTCGTCGCGACCGATGCGCTTGTTGTGCATCTCATGGTAAGCATCGTCAGCATCGCGACGGTCCTCGTACTCGACAAAGGCAAACCTGGTATGGTGTCAGTTGTTTGCTCAGATCTGAACGGTTAGGCGAGAGGAAATAGGACTCACAGTCTGCTGGATGCCGAGCGAGGAGCAGGGATGTCGCATCGGACAAGGTGTCCATAGCTATAGTCGAGTCAGAATGTCAGCACGTAGATACATACATGAGATTCTCCGATTGTTCCGCTAGAGACCAAACGTCGGCCGTCGTCGGCGCAGCAAAAGGCAGCTGTATTGGGTTCGGTGTGCCACGGAGCGTTGGCAGGCCACAGCGACGCGGACAACGGGCGGTGGGTTGGGAGGAGGCAGCCCAAGCGAACGAGGATAGGACGCATCGACGGGGGACGGAGGGCGAGGACGAGAACGAGGACGGAAACGTAGGACGGGCGAGGGAGGCATCTTGGGTTGATGCGTGAGGTTGGGAGCAGCGTGTGCGAGAGCGGGAGGACGGGCGGAGGACGAATACGGAGGCGTGGGCGGGGAGCAGCGAGGGAAAGAGATGGAATCGGAAATCTCGGAAGGCTCTCGCGTGCCGGGAGGAAAACAGGACGGACGGAGGCATCGACGTGGGAGTTTTCTGATTTTCAGTTGACATACCGTTCGAATTCGTAGGCGAGGTCTCGGGCGCGAGTGCCGTGGCTGAAGCCAGTCACGTACAAGGTATTGCCACCGCGCGACATGATGTTGGTGATGCTGACTTTTGGCTGAAAGAGACTGAAAGAAATGTGAGGCAGAGAGTAAGAGAGAAGTGTGTGTCTCGGGATGGAGATTGAAACGAAGAAACGGGGTTCTGATGGAGCAGAGCCTCGTGATGGGGGGGGGGGGGGGGGGGAGGGAGCAGGTGGAAGAAGATGCGCGCTGGTGGTTTGGTGATGGAAGTGGTCGGAGGAGGAGGAGGAGAGGAAACGAGAGGTCGCTCGGATCGGCCCTGGCGCAACAAAAAGATTTTGGCGTACGGAAACGACCTGAGCTTGGCGGTACGTACCGGTGGAGCAGGGCCACCTCAAAAAGACGTGGAAGGACGTCAGTTGGTCCGTTGGACACCGCGCTCGGAGGCTGGACAACAGAGAAAAGCTTACGTAAAGCGGACCGCACCCAGTGTTTTGGTGGGTGTTTTGTTCGGAGCAGACACCGCTGGGGCCTCTTTCCTTCACTGCTCCAGGCAAGGTACTTCGCACTTACCTTAGTCAGTGACAGTGGCTCCTTCCAGAAGGCCAGGGGAGGTCGAAACGCGGTGAGCTGTGCCTCCCGTCCACTGCGACACTGTTTCAGCAAGCACCCACGGCACCTCAGCAGCAACCTATGGAAGGTACGGTGAGGTACCTTAGGTGAGCTAACCAAAAACAGAGAGGTCAGGTACACCCGGCCCGTTCGGATGCTAGTGATGTCATTACAGACCAGGACATGAAATCTATTTTGCAAACATTCCAAGGTGACCCAACACGCTCACCGACACCGAGAAATGCCGAAGCTCCTTCCTGCAGACCGGACTTTAAGTCTTTACTGCCCAGCTAATGTTCTAACAGTACGCCGAGAATTAGAATATCAAAACACAAAATCTACATCTGTCTTTCCAGCATCATCCGGACAAGTCTACCAGACAACGCACCGACGGGGGAACTCGGCCTGTGCCCGGATGCGAGTGCGTGTCTCTCCGCTTCCGGCCACACGATGCGACAGCTTCCCGTTAGAGAACCGCCAAAGAGAAGACGGAGTACATCCCACTTTCTACTCCATATCCTGAGCAACGTGTATAGGTCTGCATTTTCCTCGGATGCGAGATGCCCTCCAAGGGCACAACTCTCTCACCTGCTCACTCCATTCCTGCTACTCAACCTTTCCATCTGCACAAAGACGTCAGGGACCGACTAAGAAGACGACTTCTTCCCCGGGATCTACCTGGCCAATCGAGACAATCGAGGCAACATCCAGAGACATTCGGGATAGACCAGTGTCTTTCCTTAGCATACGATCATTTGCTCGTACCTATCAATGGTCTCCCCTTTTCACGTGTTATGCGATACGGTATGGTGCATGGGGATCCTTCTTTACTTTCGCCCCTTGATTGGGACTATTATTCGTCAAACAAGCAACTTACCAACTGGGGTCGCCTGTACTCTGGATGGCGAGGACCACCATTCCATTCCGTCTTTACCCACGCGCTCGTGGCACACTCTCTCTATTGTTTTCCCCCTTCATCGGAGCCCACATGCACCACCCACTTGATGTCGCCTCCCAAGTTCCCGACTCCCCGTCCTTGAGCGGGATAAGCGGGCGTGGTGGTAAACTATAGCTCTCCAACGGAAACCTCGCAATCCTCGGGCTGGGCTCTTGCTCATCGTACCATTCGCGAGCCGCAAAGTTGTGGTGCCATGTCTGCGATGAGTCCAAAGAAACTCCCGGAAGCCTCGGCCGAACTTGAGCCTCCTGCCAACGTCTTTGTCTTGCAATCTCAGATCATCTCTCTGTGTCTCTCGCATCCGTGTCAGCCATGGATTCGTAGGACGGCAGAGGCGTTTATGATCCGCCGTGAGTGACATCCGAGTCCGGCAGACCCGTAGAATCCATCACTTGGCGGAGAGCTGGTCTTATATCATTGCCCGCTAATTCGCCTCAGTTGTCTACTAGCCTTCATGTTTCATCCCTTCTCACTTTACTACCATCTGTATTGCTTACTTGGCACACATTGTTCCATCAACCGCTTTTTGGGGAAACAGCTCGTAGCCTCGTACTCGTGCCGAGTCATTATCAAAACCCATCCGTATCGTACCGTCCATCGCTCGTACTCGCCTTGGGTCCTCGGCTGCGTCGTTACATCGACCTAGGACCGTGACACTGTCAACTCATATATACAATCAACTCTCGCACTTTCATCTCGACGATACGCCAGGGAGGGGGAAACGGTTGTTGCTTACTATTTTTTAATTGAGTTTGAGCTTCTGCTCAATATTCTACAGACGATATCGCCTTGAAGCGCATCACTCACCGCACGGCGCTTATTTCGTCTCAAGTGAGACGTATTCTTGCATGATCTGGCATTAGCATTACACACATCAAAGGAATTTGAGACCGGCAGAAATGTCAACCTCATTGGACGCATCCCCGGAGCCCCGTTCACTCCGCGATGCATTACGGGCTACGGGCCGGGCAACATCGGCAACACCTTCGGAGAGCCCGAGCGAAGAGGATTACGATGACCCGAAACTATCAGCGAGGCCGCGCAAAGGACGAGCACCGATCCGCCCCGGCGCATCACCTCTAAAGAAGTCTTCGACCCGCGAGAGGAAGCTCTCATTGGACGGCTCAACGCTGTCGGAAACCTCGAGTATCGACGATGAGCCTCTCCGCGATGGATCCGGTCGCCTCAAGACGTACGTGCTGTCCCCGGATGACCGCGAGTTGCGGGATGTTCTCAAACGAGGTCTAGAGAGGGTAGGTCGTCATCCACGCACAACGTATCCTGGTCAACTAACACACAATGACAGGAAAAAGATCCAAAGAGACCACGCCGGGCCGGCAAGTTCAGCGACCTCGTCTTCACACGGCAATTCTCCACGTTTGACCGGCAGAATCAAAACACGGCCAACAGCCCCTTTCACGGCTTCTATACGCTCTTTTGGCTGGCGGTGGCTCTCTTCGTCACCAGGATCGCCGCCACCAACTGGCGGGCGACGGGGAACCCCCTGGGTACAAACGAAATCATGAAGACCATGTTTCGCCGAGACGTTGTCGTGCTCCTCGCCTCCGACGGCGTCCTGTGCGCCATCACGGGTGTCAGCTGGATATTGCAGCGGCTGGTCTTTGCCGGCTACATTGACTGGGACAGGTCAGGCTGGATTATTCAGAACGTAAGTGAGCATCATACCTTTTCAGCAGAAGACATGTCTAACAACCTCCCAGGTCTGGCAGTCGGCCTTCATCGGCGGCGTCATAGGCCTGACGCTGATCCGCGACTGGCCCTGGACGCACACCGTCTTCTTCGTCCTGCACGGCATCGTCATGCTCATGAAGCAGCACTCGTACGCCTTTTACAACGGCTACCTCTCGTCCGCCTACAAGAAGCGCAAGTACCTCCTCTCCAAGCTCAAGAAGCTGGAGCACGTCGCGCCCACCGAGTTCCCCTCCTCCACCACCCCCTCGGCCTCCACCGTCTCCGTCTCCCACCTCGCCAACCCGCCCTCCGCGGCCGAGATGCACGGGCGAAGGCAGTCCATCGCCCAGGCGCAGGCGCAGGCTCAGTCTCAGGCCCAGTCCCAGTCAAAGGGCGGCGGCGGCGACGAGCAGCACCGGCAGCTGACGGACCTGGACCGCATCGCCCGTGCCATCGAGTCCGGGCAGCCCCTCGACGCAGACCAGGTCCGGGTCTTTGAGCGCATCATCCGGTGGGAGATTGACGGCATCACGGACGAGCTGAGGGGTAAGGCGACGAGCGTCGTCCGGGCGTACCCCAATAACCTCTCGCTCACGAACCACTACGAGTACATTGTTCTCCCGACGGTCGTGTACGAGCTCGAGTACCCGCGTTCCGAGTCGATTGACTGGTATTACGTTGCCGAGAAGGTAACGGCGACATTCGGTATCATTCTTGTCATGATTATGGTATCACAGGCTTTCATCTGTGAGTTCCATTTTGTTTTCTTTTTTGAGTATTTCAACGTCCTCTCATCATGTCGTCGCCGCTGGGTCTACAGGACGTTCTATCACTAAGACGCTCGTCAGATCCCGTCGTAATGCAAACCATCGCCATGAAGGAGACGGGCATGCCCCTAGCCGAGCGCTTCCGCTACTTCCCCTGGATGCTCAGCGACCTCATCTTCCCCTTCATGATGGAGTACATGGTGCGTTGCGAGGCCCCGTCCCCCCCCCCAAAAAAAAAGACGAGACGAGACAAGACAAAATACTAACGCGAGACGCAAAGATGGCATGGTACCTCATCTGGGAAACCGTCCTCAACACCCTCGCAGAACTCACCTACTTTGCCGACAGAAGCTTCTACGACGCCTGGTGGAACAGCGGTCCGTCTACCACTCCCCCTTTGATGCCAATCCGCCCCAAACTCACTAACATTCCAAAAGTCTCCTGGGACCAATTCGCCCGCGACTGGAACAGGTAAGTTCCTCTCCCTCTAGTCCGTCCAGCGACTCCCAAGACGAAAAAAAACGACCTCTAATAAATGCTAATAACCGCACCCCACAGACCCGTCCACAACTTCCTCCTCCGACACGTCTACCACAGCTCAATCTCCTCCATGAAAGTCAACCGCCACACAGCGACCCTCATCACCTTTTCCCTCTCCGCCTGCGTCCACGAGCTCGTCATGTGGTGTCTGTTCAAGAAGCTGAGGGGGTATCTCTTGTTCTTGCAAATGTGTCAGCTACCGGTACGTTTTAGCAAGCCTGACTTAACCTCAATCCTATTCCACAGACATCGATATTTCCTCCCTTATCAATATTACCTAATTACTCGATTATACGCCTCTTGACGTACAAGTCTCTCTTATAGAACACGAGTAACTGACTGCGTATAGCTTGTCCAGCTCAGCCGGACGAAGTGGATGAAGGATCGCAAGGTGTTGGGGAACATAATCTTTTGGTTTGGCATCTTTACGGGGCCGAGTTTGTTGTGTAGTCTGTATCTTATATTGTGATGTGACATGTAGAGATAATTGCCGCGAGGCTGGGATGGATCGGTATGATTATAAAATAAATCCCAAGAGTTTATCCGTACTTGGAATGCGTATCAGCTCGTCACGATTTGCAGTAGAATGGCCACCAGACCAACGGCCACCAAAGAGTTACGACATTGTTACGGATAGGTCATGCACCCGAATACATGGAGTTTATAGACTACGTCAAGTCACGTTTTGCAAACAAGGTTCCATAAGTCTGTGGTATTCGTAATGGATTCATTCAACTAAAAAAACAAACAATCAAAGCCTCGCCGCAGTTTTGGCCTTTTTCTATCCTCATAGACAAGAAACCTCAGACGCGGAAAAAAAAAGAAAAAAAAAAAAAGAACAACAGCCTTCATTCGTCAAGACGGATCACTTCACAGCCCCTGCTTCTCTGCCGTGGCCATGAGAGAACCGATAAAGGTGGTCACCAGGCGACTGCGAATCTGGCAAATATCCTCCGGCACCAACCAAATGGTGGCGCCCATCTTTCTCGCAATGGAAATGCTGAGCTTGGCGTTGAGGTAGGCGTCGTCGTCCGTGTGGCCGGGGGTGACGAGGTCGTAGTCGACGTAGCTGCTCTTCATACCGCTGAGCACGTCCAGCAAAAATACACCGGTGCCGATGGAGGGGTCCTTGAAGGATCGGATGGCAGATGACTTGCCGCCCTTGCGAGACATTTCATTGGCCCATTTGACCATCTCCGAGTCCGTGATCTCCTTCTTGCCGAGACGCTGCGCCAGTGTTGAAAGAGTGACGGTGATATCTCTGCGCATCAACTGCCACACCAAGCCAAGAGTCAAGGTCCGTTGACCGTCGGTGATGTCTGCACCCTGGACGCCCACAAGCGAGAAGCGGTTCTGCTTGCCAAGCTCGATTGTGTAGTTGGTGTTCTCGACCGCCTTGAACCGCAGCATTTCTCCGCCATGCGCCGGGGGTTTATTCACATGACGCCAGTTGACGGATCCCTTGATAACCTTGTCGTACGCCTGCAGAAGCACCGTGCCGTCGCGCAGATCATCAAAGAAGGATTGCACAGCAGGCTGCACGTCCAAACTGTTGAGCCACAGAGTGAACACACGGGCTTCTCTCTCTCCTTCGGCGTCAAAGTCCTCAACCTCGAGCTTCTCCTCCTCGGTGATGGGATCGAGCGCGGGGTGGGTGTTGAACAGGTTGGCAACGAAAGCCAGGTTCAGCTTGGGGTTACCGGCGACCAGAGATGACGGGGTGAGGAACTTGCGGCATCCCATGTTGTCGGCGGTTTGCAGAATCTCCTCGGCGCGCTGGTGAAGGTCTCGTGTTTGGAGAGGGGCTCTCGTGGCGCCATATTCGGAGCCGATCTGTGCCAGGAGTACCGTGTAGTTCTCGCCGTCCTTGATGTCACTAGAGAAGTTGTTCACCCTGCGCCAATTAGCATGCTTCTTGAACTGGTTTCGCATCTCAGTATTTACCGTCTGTTCCAGCCAGCGGCCTTGAGGTGGTAGTTGAACCATCTGAGGAGGATCTGTTCGGGGGGGAGTCTCAGGAACTGCTCGAGGGTCTCGTCGTCCTCCAACAAGCGGTAGAGCTCGGGGTGCAGCTTAATGTCAATCTTGCTCAAAAGACCACGGCGGATAATCTGCCAAATCAGACCGAGAATCAAGTGCTCTCTGCCCTCGATGATGTCACCGCTGCCAATGTTGACGACGGACAGACCGATACCCTTGGAAGACTCAATGACGATGTTGTTGTTCTCCGTCATCTGGAAAGCGTTGAGCTGCTTCTTGTTCTTGGGTCGGTTCAGAACACGCTCGTCAATGGTGTCGGCGACACTGTCGTTGATGAGCTTGGCCAGCACCAAACCATCCTTGCACTCGTCAAACATCTCAAAGGTGTCAGTGGGGAAGGGAAGGCGGCTTCCAATGTCTGCGTCACCGGCCAAGACGGCGTTGATGTGACGAGTGAACTCGGTCCGCTCATCTTCGTTGATGGTGTGGGTGACGTTGGCGTTGGAGCCCTGGACGTGAATCTTGCCGATGCTCGACTTTGAGGAGTGGCCCATGCCTCCGGTTGCTTGCGCGACGATGGATGCGCCGGTAGCACCACCGGGGCCGGTCGACATGCGTTTCTGAGCTGGGGAGGACTCGCGGAGCTTCGCAATGAGCTGCACGGCGTGTTGTTAGCATGATTTGGGGTCGAACATAGGAAACTATGGAAACTTACGGCGACATAGTCCTCGAGCTCGACTCTGCGGGAGGAGTCGAGGTCGACCTCCTTCAGAGCCTGTCGTACGACATCGTAGGGTTGGCGCTCGCTCTGCTGAGTGGCCTTGATGGCAGTGGCTTCGTCAACGTAGCCCTTTTCGTCAATGTCGAGCTTGCGGAATGCGTCGCTGAGACCAAAGATTTCGTTTTGCGGGAATTGAGGATACTTCCTGTGGGCGGATACTTGGTTAGTGACGGAGAAGGGAACATGGAGGCAAGAGCAGAGCCCCTGAGCAATGCTGGCGAGAGTGAATCACTCGCAGCAGTGCGGGGCAGGGAATGCGATTGTGTGCGCACCTCTGAAGCTTGAGAACGTTCATGTTTGTGGTCGTCACTCGGGCGTCGCGGGAGAGGGGGCGACGATACGGGAAGACAGCAGGTTGAGGGAAGCGAAACCGCTGGGGAGGAGGACGGTGGAGAGAAAGAGGATGACGGGAGTCGGGTCTCTCTGGGTAATGCGCTCGGCGCGGAGGAGGAAGTTGGAAGCACTTGACTTGATCAGGGACCAAGCGGGAGTGGCAGATGCGCAGGAAGCTCCGGAACGCACGGACGTTGACGGAGGTTGGCTGAGTAGGCGCAGTAGGTACCTCACGGGGAAGAGGGTCCTTGTGAGGATGATTCGAGAGGTTGGATAATTGTGCAGTTGTTGGTGTTGTTGGTGTTTGTCGGTATTGTATGTCAGGAGAAAAGATTGACAAACAAGTTGAATAAACCAGAGGGAAGAGGAGGATATGATGATAATGGTCAACCGGGGCTAAAAGCAAGGTTGTACTTCTTGGTGCCCAGGTCAAGAATCAAGCAGGTTGAAGGCAAAAAAAAAAAAAAAAAAAAAAAAAAAAAAAAGAAGGATTCAGGCAAGCAAGCACAAGGTAAGCAGGTAGGTACTGTAAGTGTGGTACTATGCGTACTACCTCAAGGTACTGTGTAAGGTATTGTGTAAGGTATTGTGTAAGGTATGCTCGCAATGGGGGCTGGCTGTGCAAAATGCTGAGGTGTGCTGCGCTATGCCGTGACGAGGTACGAAATGCGCGTGTTAAGGCGGAAGGGGTGACTCTGTGAGTGTGAGGTACCTCGAGGAGGGGGGAAGAAGGGGGGAAGAAGGGGGGCAATGGGGGCCGGATGGAATGTGCGAGACTTACGTAGGTAGGTACCTTTTCTTTCTGGGAAGTCGATGGCGGGGGCGGGGAGGGGCCATTGATGTAATTGTACAGCCGTCGCCCATCCGGTACTTTGATCATGTACACTCCCGATTACCTAAGTCGTCTTACACCATGAGGTAGTAGCATGCTCACCTCCTGATCTCAACTTTGGCTGCCTTACATTACGACACTTGACTTTGCATCTACACTAGGTACCCAACGCAACGCTGGTGAAGCGAAGCAATGTTCAGCACGTGGTCTAGGAGAGACTGGGCTATTGCCGCGCCGTACCCGTGGACATGACCAAACCTCAGCTTCGAGAGTGAGGCAAGCCGCAAAAAGGAGGTTGATGGACCCATAGGTAATACCCAACAGCCCAAACCGGGGCGAGAGGTACATCCCAATTCCTCAGTGCTCAGAGGCGCTTAACCGTACGAATACACATCTGAGGCAAGCTGAGCATCTGAGGTACCTTGACCTGCCACCCGAATCAATGCGAGAAACAAGGTACCTACCCGCGGGAAGCCTGTTTGAATTCGGACAAACCGGGTAGCCGTAAGACGCAGCTGCTGGTACTTTACCCGTCCGCGTACCCAAGCAGACGCCCGAGGTACCCGACAAAATCACCAAACGGCCACCAGCCACAACGGCTTGCGTAAGGCGGGCTTCCTGCTCGCTCTCGTTTCGCGTACGAATACTTCTTTCTGTGTGGCCATCTTGCGTCTCGCAGCGTACGACAGTCTCAGGCTGCCGTTTACCATATTTGCCTCATACCCGATTCATGATATCTACCTTACCCAAGAATGAAGTCTAGCCAAGACGTCGAGTCATCAACAGATAGAAACCGTCGACGACGTGCACGCGTGGCTCGCCAGGCACCGCAACACATGTTCTGCACGTCCACGACGCTCTCCAACACGGCCGAGACTCCCAGCAGCCCGCGAGCGGCGAGAGTCTTCCGGAGCGCCGGGTCCCCATCGACGGGACTTTTTAGACGAGGTTCGCCTCACGACGACTTCCCCTGCATGATGCTTATGTAAAGCAGCCTGGAAGGCAGTACATACGAGGCATTTCGAGGTATCCGTAGAGCTGCTGCCCATTCCCACTTGGACTATCGAGCTATTAGACGCCTCCCTGCTCCGGCCCATGAATGCCTAAGCTCCCAAGGTACTCTCCAGACCGCCCAGCCTTGAAATAGATTGCCAACCGTCAAACTGCCCGTAGGCCGCTCTAGGCAATCTTCTGGAACGACCGGGTTCAGGGGAGTTTGACCAAGATATGCATCATGATCCCGGCTCTGTACTGGTAAAGCACTGGTCAACGTAGATGCACTGTATCAAAAACGGGAAACTCTCTCAAGTTGATACAGTGCTTTTGGAAACTGAACACAGTCCCCGCACCGAACGCCCCCCCCACCTCGAATTTTCTGATCCTCCGTGGCGATACCCTCATCGCGACCGACTCTTGCAAGAATTTCACCTCAACTTTGTTGCTTTCTCGATCATAACTCTCGAGAACATCCGTCTGTGTCTTGAACGTTCTGATACCGCCGAACCGAACCATCATCACCTAACAGCTCTCTGCTTCTTCACGCCCCGCGCCATCCACATTCGCCATGGCAGCCGTATGCAAAGCCTGCGAGGACCCCCTCATCATCACAATCGACCCAGACAGCGAAGACGAAGATAACCAAACCGGCGACGAGCCCCAAAACGTCCCCGATGACCTCGAGCTCCCTTGCGGCTGCCACTTTCACTGGTATTTCCCCCATCTCTCTCTCTCTCTCTCTCTCTCTCTCTCTCTCTCACACACACACACACACACACCTCACACCCCTCTCACCTCAAGTCACACCTTTCATCACTCACACTCCTACCTCCATCCCTCGCACCACTAACAAAAAACCAAGGCAATGCCTCCTAGACCAATCCGAACAGACAGCCCTCTCCCTCTCCTGCCCCTCCTGCACAACCTACCTCCCATCCCAAAACCCAACCACCGGCGAACCCGCAATCCTAACCCGCTACGTAAACGAAGGCGGCCTCCAAGACGCCCTCGACATCCTCCCCACCCTCACAGAAGAAGCCTACCTCACCTCCAACCCAGAAGCCCGCCCCGCCCGCGCATACCACCTCATGGCCGCCGAAGGCGACCTCGAGGGCATCGTCGCCCTCCTCCACGACGCAAACGAGGAGCTGGCCGGCAACGTCGACGCCCTGAGCCAGCTGATCCGCTACCAGGACCCGCTCGCCGGCGGCCGGAGCGCGCTGCACGTCGCGGTGGAAAAGGCGCAGGAGGAAGTGGTGTGGTTGCTTCTGTGGATCGCGTCGCGGTTGTCGACGGACGCATTTCCCGCTGCGGCGAGAGAGGTTGCCGAGAGTCTGCAGATTGTCAGGTTGACCAATGATGTTGGCGAGGATATTCGCGCGCTCAAGGCTGAGGATGGGACGACTGCCGAGGACGTAGCCAAGGGTTTGCCTGCTCGCTGGGGCGCCTTGGTTGATGCCGGTGTTCTGCGTGCCTAAGTTGTGTGAAGAGAGATGCGAATGAAAAAGATACCCCAGCCTGGTGTGGACGAATCATACAGTCTAGCAAAACACTCATAGCACGTGTGACGAAATAAGAACAGTTCGTGTGTGAAATGCCATTGCATTAATCAGGTCGCCCGTCCCAAACGTCTAGTCTAAGTTGTGGCAGGTCTACTTTCGTTCCGCCCGGCTTCTATTAGAAAGTAGTTGTGACAGGATGAAATGGCTGACGTCCTCGTCAGACCAGTAACTCATGTGCGACGCAATCGTGTTCATAGGGTTGAAGTCGAGAACGCTCCTGCAAGTCCGTTAGTGCATGTACTCAAGAAAAGCACAAAGCAAATAAATACTCACTCTTGAATGCTGTAGTCGACACGCCCGTTGCGATTCAGGGCCCGGACCTTCATCTCCTCCCGCCGCAGCTTCTGCGCCTTACGCTCTGCCTCAAGCCAGTCCGCGGCGCCGCCATCATCGTCCGTCTTGGCCAACACTACCCGCTTCTCCTGGAACTTGGAGTACAGCGTCTCGAGCTCGTCGTCAATCAGCGTCATCTCGTTCCCGCTGATACTGGTGCGGCCAATCATGGCCTTGGAGTCTGCCAGCTGCTTCTTTCGCTCATTCGTCTTTTCCCCAAGCTTCGACACGTCCGAAATCACACCGCTGTCTGCAATATTCGTGCCTGCTCCTGAAACCTGCTGTGGCGAGTTGGCCGAGTTCATCTTGGCCACATCCTCGTTGCTGAGGCCGAGGCTGCGATTCAGAATGTTGCTTGCTATGCCTGCACTCAAGCTGGACCATAGCCCGCTGACACTCTGGCCGACCTTCATACCGATGCCCGAGAGGCCCTGTTGCGCCACGTTGCCAAATATGCCCTTCTTGGTGTACGGCAAGACTTGGGGCTTCAGTGTCGACATTGCAGGTGAAATCAGGGGTTCGAGACGGTAACTGATTGGATCCGACGGATGAAAGACGTTGAAAAGCTGCGACACCTTTGGAGACGAGACTGAATAGGGGAGACCAGTGATTGCGGAAACACGATGCGTAGGAGAAGCCGGATTCGCGGCAAGGAATGGGTCGTCCATCAAATCTGGGTTCAAGGGGCTTTCCGACGGCCGCGAGTTGGGTAAGTGGCGAGCCGAGATTGTCCTACTTGTGTCAGTCTACTAGTACTCAAGAAGGAGATTTGCAGTCACTTACCGTCCCTTGAGCATTTGGAACAACCCTACCGGAGACCCAAGGCAGTAGAAATCTTCCACATCAAACTCGAATCGCAACTCGTTGGTTTCTCGATCCCGATGGCCCTCCGCCTTTTCATGTGCAGGCCAGAATCGAAGGGGGTTCCGGGGGGTTACCAGCGTCTTTTGCTTCTCTTTTTGCCGGCACAAGATATCAAACATGATGGCCGAGCCGAGGGAATGGCCAACAACATGGACCTTGCCCTTGAACTCTGGGTTCCGTTCCATGAACAGCTTGAAGATACGGTTCGACTCCTTCAGCACAATCTCCGATATCTGTTCTCGGTAGGCACTCTGGTATAAGAGAACGTCTAATGCGAGGTCGGAGATCAAAGACCTGGCGAACGCCACGCCTTCGATGGTGATGTCCTCTAGGGAGGGGTCTTTCGGATGATTAGTCGTGTCTCCTGAAATTGAGGCAATTCACTTACATTCGTCCTCATCTTGGGCACCGTCACCAATGTCTTGCTCCTTTTTCTTTTCTCGCCTCTTGGGGAAATCGAGAAGATGTCTCCAGCACACGGGCAAAACCTGTACGCGACAGTTTCGGGGGCCATCTTCGAGCTCCGAGTTTAGTGCCCGCAGGTCAGCAGAGATGGAGTACACTGATTTGATGTTCTTTCGCAATATGTTGACATCGTGAACGAAATTCACACTCTCCATGCTGCTGAAGTCAGTGTCTAAAGTGGGTAACTTTCGCGATCTGAGACTTACCGAATGCCGAGGAGCTGACCGATGCCGTGAGTGACTAACACAAGATGCTCGATTTCTCGCCCTTGGGTTTCGCCAAGCTGGCCGTTGTAGTCGTTTTCTATTTCCTTCTCCTCTCTCTTCCGAATTTCCTCCTCCTGCTCTTCCTGGTTACGCTCGGCCCCCTCCATCAGCGATGAGATTTGTCTTTGAAGGGAATTTTCCCTATCATCTTCCTCCTCTAGTAGCGAGATGTCGTCGGTTGACTGCGATGGCCTGGAAGACGGTGGTGCAGACCTCCTCTTGAGCAGTTTTTGCTGCTTCTCATCTAGCTGAGGGGTTGCGGTAGGGTCTGTTGGCGTCGCCGGCTGCTTTTGTTGTTTCTTGTTCTTTGCTACGTCAGAATAGCCTCTGACCAGCTTGACACCACTCATGTAACCACCGCCCGAGAATCTCTCGTACATGGTGGACGTCACCCACGAAAGCATGCTGTCTGAAGTGAGCCATGCCGTGCCTGCATCTTGATATGTCGCAATATTGTTCATCCAGGCGCCAAACAAGCGGTGCGAAGAGGGTTGGTGTTGGTTCTGTGGCCCCGGAGACTTCAAACTTCCGTCGGTCGTGGGAGTTGTAGCTGCCGCGGCCTTGAGATTTTCGACGGACGCCTTGGGCGTCACATCCTTGGCTTTGGGGTCCTTGTTCTTCGGGTCGTTGCGAACCCGCGGCTTGGGATATGTCCAGGGCTTGACCTTGAGATAGCCCTCCTCCAGCTGCGAAGCTAAGTTCTCCTCACATGGCCGCAAAGACGACCCCTCATCGTAGAACCAGGTGCCGCGCCGCACTTCATACACAGGACCCAGCCAGTAGACCGGGCCCAGCTCTCGATTTTCGATATCGACATCAAAGAGGTAGTCCTCGTTCACGGGGACGCGTGTTTTGGGGGCCTGGGTACCCTCGGGGCTCGTCTCCAAGCTGCTGTGGGCGCTCTCATCGTCAGTGTTTTGGCGACCGCGTCTAGAGCCCGACGAAACGTTGCGCAACGATCGCTCTTCTCTTCGCTTCTCTGAATCCTCCAATAAACGTTGGTATGCCGTCTCGATTGCGCGAGAATCTAGCTTGGAAAAAGGCAGAAACTTCTTTGGCTGGACTGGGGGCTTGGCATCTTCGGCAGGCTTCGCTTTGTCTCGGAGGAACTGGGGTTTGCGCTTGGGAACCTGGGCAACATCGAGTTAGTACGCCGATGAGCAGTTTTCGGCATGTTGATGACGGGCAGTCCCTTACATCAGTTGCGTGGTACCAGAGGACGTTCAGAGGAGGACAGTCGGAGGGGTAGGTCTTGATGCTCTGGCCGTATAAGTGGGTGATGCTGTGATCGCCTGGGCGGGAGGTCGGAACGGGCACGGGCTGTGGAGGAGGATCCTTGGGCGTCGGTGTTGAACTCCGGCTGCCGGCCCAAGGGTTGATCGAGTCGACAGCGGAGGAGAGGTAGGACTTTTCTGGTTTGCGGTCAGCGCCGCCGGGAGCCATGATCTGCGAGTGGGCCGAGTGCCATTCGGCGGAGGTGTGACGGGATGCCCAGCAGCGGCGGGAAGTTGCGGTGATGTAGGTGTTGGTGTATGTGCCGTGGAGGTTCGGCGGTCTGCAGTGTCGTCCCCAAGCCTGTCTGGAGCGAAGAATCGCGGGCGCCAACTTGACAGAGGCAGCAGCAGACGGGTACTTATCAGTGCCCTGCGTCACCGGAGTCCTTTGGGGAGGACGTGAGCGACTGTCGGGGAGAGCAGTGACCGGTTTGGAGGGCAGTTTCGGGGGAGCTTGGAGCTGGTTGGGCGGGAACCAGGAATGCTGGTTTCAGACTGGAGCAATGGTGCAGGGTTAAGGCGGCGACAATGAGGTGAGAGATATCGAACGAAAGTCAAGAGAGAGAGAGAGAGCAAGGTTGGGTGGGTTGATGGAATCTTGTATGTATTTAGGTAAAGCTGAGCGAGGGAAGAAGAGCTTAGGAAGAATGAGTATCCCAACACGTCGTGGGGGTTTTGGCTGCTTGGCACTGTCAAAAGGGACAACGTGTACTTCCTCTTTTGGCGGTATTCGCTCTTACGGTAAGTACCAATCCGCGTACCTCAAGGCAAGGTATCCGTAAGGTACTGGACGGGAGGCTTACATGAGAGTGGACAGTTCTGGATCAAAGGGAAATACGCGGTAAAAGAACACGAGGTGGCCTTGGTATCCATCAGCAGGTGCTTCCAGGCACAGTATCCGTAGTGAACAGAGTACCATTCAAATGTATGGAGGTCCAGGTGGATGATTGAAGGGCGCAGATGGCCCCAGTCAGCTGTACATGAACATGGGGAGCTCCGGCTTTCAGGAACCCCATGACGCAGTTTTCAGTCCCGTGTAAATGGAACAACGGTGGAATGCAAGCCGAGGGGCCGCCTTCCGAAGTACGTGAGTTTTCGTACCTATGTACATTGCACTAACGTTCGGGTGCAGAGCTCCGTAGGCGCCCTCATTGCTTACCTCATCTCCTGTCACAAGCGAGCCACCTCACTGCAGACTCGAAGACTCACCAACCACTACGCCACTTATACCTATACTTTAGGTTCCTGTCATCGAAAGACTCACACCGACAGCTGCAATGCCTCCAGGTACTTGGGTTTCTACTTCTGATGCTGATGCTTCAAATTTGGTCATATTTCGGAATGGGTAGAAAGACTGTGGCAATTTCAAAGCCTAGTCATCTCATGGCATGGAAATAAATCTCAGACTCGTCTGGGTAAATCACAGGGCTTGTAATATAGAGAGTCTGCCTTACCTAAGGCACTTTTTTACGCGACCTGGGGACGAAGAATTGAGGACCTCCACATACCACAGTCCACCACAGTCCACCACTCCACTGAAGCGACAGGCGATACGTACCTTGTGAGTCGTCGCGCATCACCTCAGACTTAGCAGTAGTAAGTACCTTCCCTGGTGAGGTGGGCGGGGCGAGCTGTGTTTTTCGATGGTGGGGTACGACCTGCATGCCGTCCCTCACTCCCACGCTAAGCCGTGCCTTATCCAGTGTGCCAGTGTCCCGCCGTGCCTCCATCTTCATAAAATTTCCAGCAAGGCCGTCTCCAATTCAGCAATCCCGACGAGCGACTCGGATCTTTACACGCCTTCGTACCGACCCCCCAATGCGCACCTCACCCTAGCATTCCGTTGCCTCGAACTTCCCGTCCTCTGTAATTGTCGTAGTATTGACTTCGGACCTCGATCATGACCTTGCGCCGAATGCGAAAATCCTCTACCATCGATTTCCTCCCGTAGACTTCGACCTCGGGTTGACTCACCCGCCGCTGCCGCTGCCGCTGCCGCCGCCGACTTCTCCCATTCGAATCAGACGAGCGCGCTCCAAGAGCAATTGCAATGGCGACCACCACTACCGTGACTCCGGTCAAGTCGCAGCTTGTCGATAAGCTGCCCAAGCGATTCAGAGGCATCAAGTTTGGCATTCAGTCAGTCTCTTCTCCCACACGCGCAGCTCGTGCCATGGACAGACGCGCTAACTCTGTTTGCTTGCTCCCAGGTCCAACCAAGATATCGCAAACCAAGCCGTCCTCGAAGTTTCCGATCGCCTTCTGTACGACATTGAAAAGAACAGAGCCCCGTATCAGCATGGTCCTCTTGACCCCCGTCTTGTAAGCGACTCCCACGACTTGTCTATGAGTCGATCTAACGTATTGGCCAACAGGGTACCTCGAGCAAGACAGGCAAATGTTCAACATGTGAGGAATCGCTGCAAAACTGCACAGGTCATTTCGGCCATGTCAGACTTCCTCTACCGGCCTTCCACATCGGCTACTTGCGCTTCGTCATGATGATATTGCAGGACATCTGCAAGGTGAGATTCCTCGGTCTCGCTTGCATCGACTGCCGCTAACAATACCTAGGACTGTGGCAAAGTGCTACTCACAGAGAGCGAGAAGAGATCGTTCCTCAAGGAGCTGAGGCGACCCCTGCTCGACAATCTGCGACGGACACAGATTTGCAAACGTATCAACGAGCAGTGCAGAAAGGTCAAGAATTGCATGTACTGCGGTTCCGTCCAAGGCCAGATTAGGAAAGTTGGTGTTCTCAAGCTCGCCCACGACAAGTTTGTCACATACAACAAGTCTACTGCAGCCAAGAAGATCCCTCCCGAAAGCAAAATCAAGTTCGACGAGTCCTTCGCCGAAGCTAGAAAGAACAATGGCGAGCTGGACAAGCACTTGCGCAAGGCCATGGAGGACATGAATCCCCTGAGGGTTCTCAATCTTTTCAAGATGATCAGCCCCACCGACTGCGAGCTTCTTGGCTTGGACCCCGCCGAGGGCCGCCCCGAAATGTTCATCTGGCAGTTCCTTCCTGCGCCTCCCGTGTGCATTCGACCATCAGTAGCCCAGGACAATGCCAGTAACGAAGACGACATCACAACAAAGCTGGCAGACATTGTCTGGGTCAGTGGCATGATCCGCTCGGCGCTACAGAAGGGCTCGCCAGTCCAGACCATTATGGAACAATGGGAGTATCTTCAGCTCCAGGTAGCCATGTACGTCAACAGTGACGTGCCAGGTCTGCAACAGCCAGGGTTCGGCAAGGCCGTGCGAGGTTTCTGCCAGCGGTTGAAGGGAAAGCAGGGTCGGTTCCGTGGCAATTTGTCCGGAAAGCGTGTCGACTTCTCCGGACGAACCGTCATTTCTCCCGATCCTAACCTTGGCATCGACCAGGTTGCCGTTCCCCAGCTCGTCGCCAAGAACCTGACCTACCCAGAGCGAGTGTCAGACTACAACATCAAGAAGTTGAAGGAGTGCGTTCGCAACGGTCCCAGCATCTGGCCCGGTGCTCAGCAGGTCATCAAGAACGATGAGGGAGGCTACAAAATCTCCTTGAAGTTCGGTAACAGGAACCAGGTCGCCCAGGACATCAAAATCGGCGATGTCGTCGAACGCCATCTGGAAGACAACGACATTGTTCTTTTCAACCGTCAACCGTCTTTGCACAAGCTCAGTATCATGAGTCATTTGGTGAAGGTGCGACCCTGGAGGACATTCCGCCTCAACGAGTGTGTGTGCGGCCCCTACAACGCCGATTTCGATGGTGATGAGATGAATCTTCACGTCCCGCAGACGGAGGAAGCCCGCGCCGAGGCCATCAACCTCATGGGCGTGAAACACAACCTGGCGACGCCCAAAAACGGAGAGCCCGTCATTGCGGCTACGCAGGATTTCATTACCGCCGCCTACCTTCTTAGCAGCAAGGACAACTTCTTCGACCGCAAGACGTTTACTTACATCTGCATGCACATGATGGACGGCAAAGTCCACCTCGACTTGCCCCCTCCTGCCATTCTGAAGCCCAAGGCTTTATGGACTGGCAAGCAGGTCTTCAGCATGATGATGCGGCCCAACAAAGACAGCCCGGTCAAAATTAACCTTGACGCCAAGTGCAGAGAATACAAGGCCAGAGCCGGGCAATGCCCCGACATGGACCCCAACGACGGATGGTTGGTGATTCGTAATTCCGAAGTTATGTGCGGTGTCATGGACAAGTCGACAGTTGGATCAGGAAAGAAAGATTCAGTATTTTACGTTATCCTGAGAGATTTCGGTCCCGATGCGGCCGTGGTTACGATGAACCGACTTGCCAAATTGTGTGCAAGACATCTCACAAATCGAGGCTTCTCCATCGGTATTGGTGACGTCTTCCCCACCGAGAAACTGCTCGAGAGGAAGAGCACGCTTGTCAAGGGTGCGAGCATCGAGGTCGACGTCCTCATTGACAAGTACAAGAAGAACAAGCTCGACAAGGCCACTGGTTGCAGTATGGAGGAGACGCTAGAGAACTCCATTTCGGGTCTTCTCAGTAAGGTCAGAACGCAGGCTGGTTCTCACTGTATCGAGACTCTCAGCAAGAACAACGCCCCGCTGGTCATGGCCAAGTCCGGATCCAAGGGTTCAGAAATTAACGTGGCCCAGATGGTTGCCCTAGTCGGACAGCAGATTATTGGTGGCAAGCGTGTTGCCGATGGTTTCCAGGACAGAACGCTTCCTCACTTCCACAAGAATGCGCCTCAACCGCCGTCCAAGGGATTCGTCGAGAACAGTTTCTACTCTGGCCTCTTGCCCACCGAGTTCATCTTCCACGCCATGTCTGGTCGTGAAGGTCTGGTCGATACCGCTGTCAAGACGGCCGAGACCGGTTACATGTCACGCAGACTGATGAAGTCTCTGGAAGATCTGTCAACGCAGTACGATGACACTGTGCGGACTTCCGGCGGCGGTATCGTCCAATTCCAGTTCGGTGCCGACAAGCTGGACCCGGTCGATATGGAGGCTTCTGCGAAGCCTGTCAACTTTGATCGAACCTTTTCTCACGCCGAGAATCTTACCTGGGACAATGACGAGGCCGCATTGCTCCCCAACGAGATGGTCAAACTTTGCGATAACCTGCTTGCTCGGGAACGCGCGCGTTATCCCAGAAAGTCGCTGCTTGGCGATCTGACACTTGATTACGACAACGAGGAAGAACAGTACACAGACGAGCACGAAGGCGCCAGAGACTTCTTACGCTCCCTAGAGTCTTACATTGCCGGACGAGCCAACAAGCTTGCCCGTGTAATGGAGCTCACCGGCCTGACAGCCAACGCCGACAGCATGGACGTCGACATTGACGAGGACGAGGTGAAGGCCAAGAAGGCCTTTGCTGACAAGGTCGCCAAGATGTCCGAGACGACGTTGCGACTCTTTATCAGACTTTGTCTGGAAAAGTACAAGAAGGCGCACGTCGAGCCCGGACATGCCGTCGGAGCTGTTGGTGCGCAGTCCATTGGTGAGCCCGGTACTCAGATGACCCTGAAGACTTTCCATTTTGCTGGTGTCGCCGGTATGAGTATCACCCAGGGTGTACCACGTATCAAGGAAATCATCAACGCCTCCAAGTCTATCAGTACCCCCGTCATTACTTGCCCGTTGATGCAGAACAGGGAGATGACAGCCGCGAAAATCGTCAAGGCGCGTATCGAAAAGACGTTTGTTGAGGATATTCTGAGCTATATTGAAGACGAGTGGTTCGCCGAGTCGGGAAGCGTCGTGCTCAAGGTCGACATGGATGCTTTGTCCGACATGCAACTAGGCATCACCCTTGGCGATGTGGCCGAGGCCATTTGCAAGCACAAGAAGATGAAGGTCTCAAGGTCCGATATGCATATTGGCGCTGGAAGAATCGAGATCCGCGTCCGCCTTGACGAGTCCGCGGCTGCCAAGCGATCTGTCAAAGCCAAGCCCGTGGATGAGCTTGGTGACCTCTTGGTGCGAGCCAACTATCTCCGCCGGACGATTCCGACCGTGGCCATCTCGGGTTACCCTGAGGCCACTCGTGCCATTATCCAATCGTCTGAGGACGAAACCCATACTGTTCTAGTCGAAGGCTACGGGCTTCTCGCTTGCATGAACACGGAGGGTGTTGAGGGACGAAGAGTCAGATCAAACAACATTATGGAGTGCAGAGACGTGTTGGGTATCGAGGCCGCGAGAAGCACGATTGCCTTTGAAATCGGCGAGGTCATGGGAGACATGGGTATCGACCCGCGTCACATGCAGCTGCTTGCTGATGTCATGACGTACAAGGGCGAGGTCCTTGGTATCACGAGATTCGGACTATCCAAGATGAGAGACAGTGTTCTCCAGTTGGCCTCGTTCGAGAAGACGCCAGACCATCTGTTCGAGGCGGCAGCCGGGATGAAGACGGATATGATTGAGGGCGTGAGTGAGTGTATCATTATGGGCCAGACCATGACTGTGGGAACCGGTGCGTTCCACGTGGTGCGCCGCCTCGCCATGGAGAGGGGGGATGTTGGACAGCGCAAGACTATTTTCGAGGACGCGTGGACTGCGCAGACGGCACTCAAGCGCAAGTCGAGGCGGAACGTCTAAAAGGGGATTACGGAGTTTTCAGAGTTTACACGTGGAGAGGCATGGCATTCATTCAACCAAGGACTGTACATTTCTGTAAAACGATTTGACAGAGTAGTACTTGCTGTCTTTAGACAGAGTCTAGTAGCAGACCAAACGAAGACATGAAAGATCAACGGCGTGTGCCCGTATGCTGTGACGCTCTGTACATTGTCTCGAGTTGGGTCAGCCTTGGAGTATCTTATTCTCATCTACTTGCATCCAGGAATCAGGCAACACTGAATCAGGCGGGTAATGACGGCGGTTAAAGGCCGCCTTGCAGTCTACGCCACCGGGCCGATGCCGGACGCCGTGGGGTTTTCTTTATCCCCGGAGCGGCGGAGCCAAAAGCAACGTCGCATTTGGCTACAAGCCTTGCACCTCGGACTTGGTTTTCGTTTGTTTCCCCCTCTGAGATGTTCATCTGACAAGACTGATATAAGATTAGCGCAACCAGATTGCGGGGTCCAAGTGATGGACTCCCCACACTCTTTCAACCATACGCGGGGATGATGGAGGTGGGATTGCGGAGCCAGCGGGGTGAAATCATGAGTGGATGCAACGGTTCAGATTACCTTCCCAGCCATGGGGTTCGTATAAGTACGGATACAGTGCCACGCCCATGAATAAGATGCGCAGTGCCAGAGTGTTGGGACGACTTTGACTTGGCATATCCTTTCTGGGCTTCTTGTTTGTCACGATGCCGTCTGCTCCGCGAATCCTTAGTCTCCTCTTGTGGGCGGCGGGATGCGCCTCTCAGGTCTCCTCACAAAAGTCCTCAACTCGGTGTTCACTCGAAAGCGTCAGCGCCCTCCTCACACCCGAAAACCAGGCCGAGGTCTTGACGACTTCAAAACTGGGCGACAATGGCACCTTTGGAGAGGCGGGCAACATCGCCTACCCCCAAAACGCAACGCACCTACCGCCCCTCTGCGTCGTCTCCATCAACGTCACATCCTCCCCGACATCATCCTACACATTTGGCCTCTTCCTACCAGACGAGTGGAACAACCGCTTCCTCGCCGTCGGTAACGGGGGGTTCTCGGGGGGCATCAACTGGTACGCCATGGGCACAGGCGTAAAATACGGCTTCGCGACAATGTCGACTTCCACAGGCCATAACTCGTCGAACCAGGACATGGGCTGGGCGCTCAACAACCCCGAGACCAAGGCCGATTGGGCCGGGCGCAGTCTCCACGGCTCGACTGTCGTCGGGAAGCAGATTGTCGAGGGGTACTACGGCGCCGCGGCTAATCGGTCGTATTACTCTGGTTGCTCGACGGGTGGCCGGCAGGGCGTGAATTCGGCGCAGGATTACCCGGAGGACTTTGATGGGATCCTGGCGGGTGCGCCGGCGTGGATGTCGACGAGCCAGCAGCTGTGGCAGCTCAAGGTCGGGGCTGTGAACTTGCCCGTGGATGGGGCTGGGTATTTACCGCCTGCCGTGTTTGAGGCCATCAGCGACGAGGTTCTAAGGCAGTGCGACGGGTCTGATGGCGTGGTTGACGGTGTGGTGATGAACCCTGCGCACTGCAACTTCCGGCCGGAGAAGATGCTCTGCAGCGACGCGAGGTCAAACCGCTCCGCGTGTCTGACGGCGCCGCAGATTGCGACACTGAAGCAGCTGTACCGCCCTCTCATTCAGCTCGGCGCCGGGGTTCACAATGTGACGTACGTGTATGCCAACTTTGGCCTGGGCTCCGAGAAGCAGATGCCGTCGTCGTTTGGATCGAATAACGAGCCGAGTCTCTACGGGACGGAGTACGCCAAGAACTACCTCTTTGATGACCCGTCGTGGGACTGGACGACGCAGTTTGACTACTCTACTTTCGTCGAGGCTGCACGGCTGAACCCGGGCAACGTGAACGCGGATAACTTTGATCTCTCTGCGTTCCACGGGCGCGGCGGGAAACTGGTGCAGTATCACGGCTACGCGGACGGTTTGATTCCGACGGATGTGAGCCGCGTGTTATACGACGAGACATGGGCGGCCATGGCGGCGCGGGGGGTCGACCTGGACGAGTTTTGGAGGCTGTTTTTCGTTCCTGGGATGCAGCATTGTTCGGGCGGGGTGTATGATGCGCCGTGGTACTTTGGCGGGAGCGGGCACGCGGCGGCGTTGGAGGGGAATGGGCAGCATGTTTTCCCTGTGCCTGGGATGGACGATGCGAGGCATGATGTGTTGCTTGCGCTTGTTGAGTGGGTTGAGGGTGGGGAGGGCGTGAGGGAGGTTGTTGCGACCAAGTTTGGTAATGATACTGTTGGTGAGGGGGTGTTGAGACAGAGGCCGATTTGTAGTTACCCCGGGTATGCTTCGTGGGATGGCAAGGGGGATGTTGATGCTGCTTCGAGTTGGAGTTGTGTGGGTAGTTGAGAGTTAGACTTGCGAGTATACAGAGGACAGCAGTGGCATTACATTGTGTTCTACGGCGTAAAAAATGAAGCAAGTTGAGATATCTCGTGATACTTCGAAGACGACGTTAAGGAGGAGGAGAGTCACGTGCCGGCGTGCGTCTAGCGCGTAGATTAGTCACGTCCGTCGCAATGGCCCGCGTCTCGACGACGTCATCAATGCATATGAGCTCTCGGCCCTTGAAGCCATCAAGCGCATCTCATTGCAAGCAATTGCAAAAAGATACTTCAATCATAGATTACTGGATCATCGAGGAACATGTGCGGAAGATACGCTTTAGCCCTGGTGAGTCTCGCAGACTAAGCTCCATGGCCTATACTAACACAACCACAGCGGCCGTCGCAAATCCGGCGCATGCTGGAAGACGATGACATGCCGGTGGATGATGCGCCAGAAGACGAGGGCCAGGGATCCCCGCGCCAGACATTCAACTTCGCACCGGGCTACCACGGTGTCGTCTACCGCGCCGATGTCCCGGACCGTGGTGCGGGGCACCGCCGTGATCAAGGGGACAGCCAACAGGATAGTGCCGCCTCCGAAGCGACATCAAGCCAACCCAAAAGCAACGAGAGCGGTGATATCTCGGTCAAGTACAAGATGCAGTCGATGCAGTGGGGTTTGATTCCCTTCTGGACCAAGCGCGATCCCGGCTATAGCACGCTCTCCAAGACGATCAACTGCCGCGACGACTCGCTGAGCACGCCTGGTGGCATGTGGTCGACCATGAAGGCGGGGAAGCGATGTATCGTCGTCGCGCAGGGGTTTTATGAGTGGTTGAAGAACGGGAAGGAGAAGACGCCGCATTTCGTAAAGAGGAAGGATGGGCAGCTCATGTGCTTTGCTGGGTTGTGGGATTGTGCACAGTATGAAGGTGAACATTATCACGACTTGGAAGGCTCTGTTGCAAGAAGTCTAACATGTGCGATAGATGCCCAAGACAAGCGGTACACCTACACCATCATCACGACAGACTCCAACAAGCAGCTCAAGTTCCTCCACGACAGGATGCCAGTCATCCTCAATCCGGGCTCCAAAGAGCTCAAGACCTGGCTGGACCCGAAACGGCACGAATGGTCCAAGGAGCTACAGGACCTCTTGAAGCCATTCGATGGCGAGCTTGAATGCTACGCGGTCAGCAAGGAGGTCGGCAAGGTCGGCAACAACTCGCCTTCCTTCATCATTCCCGTCGCGAGTAAAGAGAACAAGGCCAACATTGCAAACTTTTTTGCCAATGCGTCTGCCAAACAAAAGTCCAATGAGGCTACGAAGCTCGAGCCTACTATCGAGACAAAGGAGGAGCCTAAGGAGTCGCAAGTCGGCCAGGACCAGCCGGTGCCGCAAGTCATCGCCAAAGCGGCTGAAGAGGAGGGCAGCCAGGAGGTAGCGGGGCTCAAGAGGGAGGCACCTGACGCTGATGGCGATGCAGAAGAGGAGCCGCCCAGGAAGACGTCGAGGGTTTCGCCTGTGAAGGGGCGGCAGAGCAGGATCAACCCTACGGGCAACGGGAATAAGAGTCCGGTCAAGGCGAAGCAGAGCGGTACGCAAAAGATTACAAAGTTCTTTGCCAACAGTTCTTAATTCGTTTTACTGGCGTATGGGGGGGTGGTTGATGGATCAAAATACCGGCTGGTTTGGGCTAAAGCAAGCGTGGATGGCTGACAACGTGGGTTTTGGGAGCAGTTTGAGTGGAAGTCTCCTCTTCCGATCGTTTTATGGGATCCGCGGCGTTGTAGGGCAGTGGAGGAGTTAAGAGTCGCCGGCTCGTTCTATTAAGCACGATGTAGATCATGTAACAAAATGTGCCTCGTTGTTACAGCACGACTAGTTCGCTCGCATTTTTAACACATTGTGCAGACCAACATTTTACCTAAAGAAATAAGTATCACATAGAACATCTCTCTTGACGAAATTGAACCTCGAAAAAAGTGTCCAAAGGCAGACTCGAACTCCCATTATCACCAACATCGCTCTTATCCCCCCTTCCCGCGAACATCCTCACAACGCCGGCGCACGAAATTACATTAAACAGATCATCCAGCAAAATGAAAGCCACTCGTCGTCAAACGTCAAAAGGTTCCAACTGACAAAATGGTAAGATATGTCATTATTATGACCTCTGCTGTAACAAGGGACTACGGTCGGGCAGGCCAGTCTTTTAAATGTGAGTTCTCATGAGCGCTGTTGTGCACGTTAGACCACTTGGCCAACATGCACGCCGTTGCTCACCCCGACGGAAGACTTTGCGGTCCGTTCGACTATAGAGCATGGCAGGCCGTTCTTGGTTTGAGTCCCTTGTTGGCGTGGACTGAGGGAGGTGGCTTGATGGCTTTAATCGCGCACCGGGGTGGACTGGAAACATCCTCACCTTGACGAATCGCTTCATATGTTTATCTGCACGGAAGAGCGGATCTTAGACAATATCCACCAAGACCTATCTGTGTGCTTAACAGTTTGATGGTCAAGAGGGACATGCTTTGTGTCGGGATGATGTGTTTCCTCGCCATCGACTTACAATTTGAAGTAGGGCGTGTTCACCAGCACAAGAACGGATACGTGGTAGCCCTTTCAGTCGCTCTTAAAATAGATCCTTATCAACACTTTATTTTCACCAAGTGAAACCTGCCACAAAATTCTTTTTTGAGATACCCCAGAATCCCTCGCTAGGGCGGGGACTAGAACCGATGTTCTAGGCTAGACGATCGTAGTCCAGACCTCTTCCAGACATGTGTGGCGTACGGGGGGCTATGAAGCGGCGGATGACGACGCCTTTCTTGGGACGGCTGCGCGGCGGGAGTCGTCAGTCGCGCTCTGGGACGATGGCCGTGGGTGGGATAGAGCTGATGACGAATCTCTAGGCAACAACAGAGAGCAAAAGTGATTTTCGGAATCAGAAAACCTAGATTGCAGAATTAACGATTATTCATGACAGACGCAGCATCTCTCCAAGTATGACTCTGTAGATCTAGGCTACAGCACAACGATCTCGGCATGCCAGTCATGTAGCCGGCGGCAACAAGACGTCGTTGGCCGAAGAAAAGGGTACCATACCCAGTACCCGCGGAGAAGAGAGGTCCAGACGCATTTCCTTGGTTCGAGCTTCCTCGTATTGAGTCTTCAGCCTCTCGAGTTGGGATGAAAATGGGTTCAACGGGCCAACGAGATTGGGTGCACCGGGGATGCGCGGGCGAACCCCAGGATTCAGGGTTCAAGAAACGTTCAAACAGCTCGACGTATGTGGCTTGTAGCCTCGGGGGGAATCTCGCGTCGCGAAAGGGTCGGTAGGGATGGGGAGAGGCTCTTGCGGTGTGGCGGGTTCGAGACTTGAGAGGGGATATGCCGGCTTTGTTGCTTGCTATAAGTGCCCTCCTCGAGAGGAAGGGTAGCCTGAAAAACTCACATTTTGGTCTGATGTTTCTGACAGCACCCGAAAAGTCAAATGTCCATCTGCAAAGAAGAACGTTTTCGCTCGCCCTCGCGGCAGTCAGTCGAATTTTGTGGCGCATTTTTAAATACGCATGTTTGCGTGGATCAGAGTCAGGTGTAGGCAACATATCTCGGCGCATGTGCAGGGGCTCCCGGCGCGGGACTCCGCCGTGCCTCCGCTTCGCCGTGACGGTGCCGATGAGAAAGTGGGTCGCGAATCGGCCTTGTACCCGCTCTTTTTCTCGGCCATTCCGCCGGGCAAAGTGAGAACTGGCATGGCGGGGGAAACACTCAATTCTCTACCATCCATAGGTTTCCAACTGAATACAACCATGCAAATATGCGGATCGGAATCGGCACAGTTGACATGGGCAAGGACGTGGAAAGTCCAGGACCTCACGTCGCATCAGCCGCTTTCGCAAAATAGGCGCTACTGCGGCGTACTTGCGCCTTTGTGCCGGATTCCTGATGTGGTGGTGTCTTGGCCATGCACTGGGCTCCAGTAAGCCGCCCCCCGGTTCCAACGGCTCAGGATAGAGTTTTTTTTGTCTTGCTTCGCTGGGCGGGTAAGTCGGATTTAAGGACACGTCAATTTTCGGGGACCAACCATAGAGTATGGAATCTGTACCGACGCAAACTACTCACGGTAAGATGTTCATAGCTGGGCTTGTAACTTGACGGCGGGACCCGTGCTTCTAAAAGGCGACCGAGCGGGGAGGGAGGGATTTCCTGGGATCGACGACGTCAGCAGCCAAGGTAGTGTGCTTCGTTCACCACGGCCCTCCGAGGATCGGTGCCGAACGAGCTCATGGTGTCTTTCACATGGTAGCGTTCTACGGGCTATGTGTAATCCCGAGATAGATGCGATTGCTTCTTGAGTGGGCAACGTTGTCAAAAGTGATCTAGAGATTCGAATATTTGTGATCAACACATGCAGCACATCACCAATTCGACCCACACTGGCCATCACGAGTTCACGACGTGATTGGGGATGGATACCGGGTGGAAAAGCGCGTCGAAGCATCGGAAGAAAACGCCAAGCCTTCTGTGCATCGATGGACCGTTGGTTTGTTGGTGATGGTGGGTGGGGGGTGAGAGGGGAAGGGGGTGGCTCTCCCCGTCTGCTTTTGGCGTCAAGCTTCAGAAGAGGAAGCACGATGAACCGGAAGGGAGAGACAGAGACATAGGGATTTGCAGCGATACGCTCCATGGGATAAGCTTATTCAGGGATATCATGTACCACTGGAGTGCAGTTTTCTGCGAGACTCGTACGGGCGAGGATGATCAACGGGGAGCCGATTAACGCGAGTCCACCCTGCTCAAGTTGTCTCCATATCCCACTTTACGCCATGGGAACTACCGGGAATGAAACTGACGGCTCTGCTGGGATACTACCCAATTATCGCTTGTCACTTGAAGCCTCGATACCTTGACAGTCTTCAGTGCTTTACTGTGCCCCCCCCCCCCCCCCCCCGGCGCAAGCTGAAGCCGACCACCGACACGCCACCGACGCGAGTCCGACGTACCCGAGTCAGGCGTGCGGCACCCCTGTACCGCAAGGTCGTGGTTCCGACGGGAAGAACAAGAGGGAAAGAAAGGGCTGGACGTTTTCCCTAGGGCTGTGGCTAGACGCCCTAGGGAGGAGAGTTGTTTTGTTCCCTTTTCGGGTAAGTAGTGTTCACATCCCGTCGCCCGATGGCGGCTATAGAATTGGTCAATGCAGCTCTGTCGGAGCCGAAAGGGCACCGGGTAGCTCTGGAGGCGTCTGGACTGGACCGTACGGACCAGCAGTCTTTCAATGCATGGCGGAATTAACGGTTCGAAGGTTTGGAGAGGGAGGCAGCCACACGGGAGAACAGGTCCAGGCTTTTTGAGTTTCTGCCGATCTGATCACTGCCCATGGTCCCATGATGTCGTTGTGAGGGCATTCGCATTGGGGGGGGGAAGGAAACCGTCCCATCCAAGCTATCTTCAGCTGAAGCTGAAGGGGTTTTCTTGACGATGGGGAAAGAGTAATTAGAAAAAAACTTGTCTGAAATTTTCGTTTTCAATGGGGAGCGTAGTAAAAAGGGGCCGCCCACTTTGCGAGACGCCGAAATGCCGGGCAAAGTCCCAAGGTGACACAGAGAATCAGAGAGTCTAGAAAAACGGAGTGGAAATGAAGTGAGAAAATATCACGGGAGAAAACAAACCGTCTGACCCACGCAAGAGTGGTAAATCCGTGGAGCACTGCGCGAAGATCACTGAATGACGAGTCTCTACGGATACAGACTACGAGTCTGCAGGGCTTTGTTTTCGTTTTTGTGGCTCTGCAGAGCTTAACTGACACTTTGGTACCGGTGAGTCTCATCGTTGCCCTCTGGGCTCGGGCTGAGCTGGACGGTTGAACCCCCTCTGCGAACACATGTCAGTCTAAGTCTAGATCACCTTGGCAAACTCGCACAGAGTGAAGTATATCTGCATCTCACAGAGATACAGATACCAGAAACGCTCATACACATGCCATCCTTGTCATTGAGGGACGAAATGATATCATAACGGATGAGGCCGAGCTCGCCTGGATTCGCGTTTTACGGGCACACACACCACTCCCACCCACTCACACACTTTGTATCCGTACACTACCTTACGGTCCGCGGTCCACGGAGACAAGACATTTGACAGAAAATAAGGTGTTCTGAGCCAGTGCTAAAGCTAAGCTGAATGAGGATTAGCTCCCGCAATGATTGCAGCGGGGAAAATAGCGCGCCTACTGATTCATTCACTCACATTTCCTCTCACTCACCCACACTTTTTATCTCACTAGAGAGGTTCTCAGTGAGAGCCTCTCACTGAGACTGGAGTCACTGCTCCCCCCCTCCCCCTCCCCCCTCTCTCTCTCTTAACTCGTGACGGGGCCCAGTGGCTCCCCTTCCCTTCTGCTATTCCCGGAACGTCTCCGCTCGTCTTCGGGCCTCGACTTCTGCAAAACACGCGATTCGTCTCCGGCGTCCCGGGATCGAATGGGTCCCAGCCCGAATCAGCTCCTTGAGAGAGTCCTCTCTGGCCCTCTATTTTGCCCAGTTCTGTCTTCGAGTCCTGTCTTCGAAACAACGCGCGAATATTGCGCTGTTACCCTCCGTACTTGGTTGCTCTCGAGACGCTGGCTTCGAGTC